GGCTGTTGCGAACCCAATCTTGCCGTTCTGTATCGCTTCTTTGGCGTATATGTCCTTGTCCTTGTGCCACTTTGCAAGGTCGCCCAATGTAAGTTTAATAAAATGACCAAGAAATTCGGCTTCCCGAACCGTGCAGCCGAATATCATCAAACGCAGCCTATTTACACCGAAGAATCGATCGTATAAGTCCATGAGCCTGAAATTTGGCACTCGACTCGAGTGCATAAACCGGATCATCCGGTGGCAAAAGTCTGCATCGCTAGGCGAGAGTAAAATTCGCGGGATGAGACATTCTTCGATGAATGTATCAGCAATTGATTCTGATTTTGCCGATGACACAAACCATCGTGGACTTTGTTTGATAAGTAATATCTTAGTCTTGCTCACTCTTTCGTGACAAGTACTAGCTTCGGCAGAGAGATCCCTGTTAAGCTGGATAAGAGCATCAAGGGATTTCTTCTTAGTACTCATATCGCCTCGTTCTCGTTTTAATTCGGTATACTGTTTCTCCACCCTAGTAATCTCGGCTTCATAACTGTTCATAGGAACCACGAGATCTCCCGTCTGCAGAGACCAAAAAAGCACAAAGAATTCGGGATTGATTTTGTCCCACACTTCTGCGGGCAATATATTTCGGACAGCGTTGACGATGGGGCTGAGTACTTCTAAGAATCGGTCAGGTTTCTGACCGTTTACTGCTGGCGGTAATTGAGGCTGAGTTGCCTCATCTACATCCGGTGCGTCCACCACCATGTGATCCTCACCGTCTTGGCTGACGGCTACCAGTGCACCATCATTGGCCTTTGCTTCATGGGGTGAATCGATATCCGCATCTGGCGTTGATTCAGATGTGGCAACAGCGAGCTTCTCTCCAGGACCCATCATGAAATATTGGAGACTGGCTCGGCCTATCATAAAGGCAAGATTAGCATCAAGGCCGAAATCCGTCATTAACCGTGGGATGTTAGGTATAAGTGCGTCGAATTGCTCGGGGGTGAGGTTGTTTCGCAGCAGCTCTACATATTGAACGAGAGCTTGCTGCGAATCGTCAATCACGGTCGCCAAGTATTTGATATGTGTTTCATTCTCCGGTAGATGATAGATGGCGGATTGTCGATACTGGGCCATATTTGTTAGGAGTCGACAAGCGAGATCCGTCTGTACTAAAGCCTTCATAAGACGAGCAGCACTCTTAGCGGACTCGTACCGCTTATCGCCCAAACTGACTAGCGTCTGGCGTCGTAGAACCTCACCGCCGCTCAGGGCGAATAATTGGGCATCTGTAAAATCAATATCCGAGACAATTCCACCCATGGAAGTGATGAGCTCCCGCAGAATGATCAAGTCGGTGGGGTTCCCGTTAGTGATTTGATCGTTCACGTAATAAATGACGGGCGTCGGATCCATGTTGCTATAACGTCGGAAGACTCTTCCCGAAAACTTGGATAGAGCCTGCAGCCATCGACTGGTCAATAGTACAGATACCTCTTGGGTTCTGCTTCTTTCTTTGCCACCCAGTGAGCTCAAGAGAGACCAAACAAGAACGTCATGGCCCATTTCCGTAAAGTACTTCGTACACTCTACAAATGCCTCAATGAGATTGGTATAGGCCTCGATCTGTTCAAGGGCGACCTTGCATACGATGCCGGGCGACGATAGCGCTACTTTAGCGAGCTTCTTTGCAGAGCTAGAAATATTCTGGTAAGAAAGCCGTTTTAGGGTAGCTATCGTGCCTGATTTGGCATATCTGAAAGCTTTAGCCATGGCAGGAAGTCGAGATATTTGCCCTTCATAGCACTCCGAGTAAATGCTATAGCGGACCTGTGTCGGATAGTATTTAAGAAGTTCCCAAACCGCACCTACGGCATCGACGTTGGCATCGCAAAGGCACAGCGACGGTACAAGCGTGCGTCGAAGAAGATCTTGCCAACGCGCCACATTTTCTGGCGACTGGTCTTGTAAGAAGCTTTTGACGCCAATGGCGGATAACTTTTTGACCAGAGAAGGTTCCCTTCCGATATTAACACCGGATACATTGAGGAGCGTGCTGCAGAGCGTGAAAACGTCATCGACTGTTTGGCATATGGGAACGTTATCTGCCCATTCGTCGAGGTAAAACCGGTAGATGATGCCTTTATGGCTACCATCGGGATGGGGCCATTTCAGAATTTTTACAGGGGAACCCTCGGTAAGCTTTAGGTTGCCCTTTGTCATTCCAGATTGATCTTGAGCTAGTTCTGCTTTGATGGGATGGTTGGTCACGGGTCGAACCTCAATAGGCCGGGTCTCTTCGAAGACTTTGTTGATAGAATGTAGTAGAATACGATTGAGAGCCGGGTATATTTCATCAGGATATGCTTCAGGGAGCCAGGGAAAACGACCGATGATGAATAAAGCTTCAGGGATGGCACCCACGACCAATAAGTGAGTTACTAGATCTGCCTTATGAGCCTCTTTTGGGTCGGGCAGACTCGTCTCGTCGTCGTCCTTTGTAGTATTCGCATCTTGCTCATTGCTATCACCATTCGCAACCGTAGATTCTCGTGGTTTAGAAGAGGTTGGTAAAGTGTCATCGGTAAGAGCTCCAGCTGTAAGGAGAGCGTTTGGCTGGTTACCGTTTCTCTTGAGCGACTCTTTTTGCTCAAGTTCCCTTTCTCGTCGTTCCCTCAAGGCTTCCATCTGGTCATCGCTCGGCCAGAGGTGAGGATAAAGATCAGGCAGAGAAATAAACCCGATTTTTATGAAGAAGGCAGCAAGATAGTACAGATTTGCTGGTAGTGCTTCGAGCTTAGCTCGAGCGTCGGACGCATAGAATCGAAATTTGAAGCCCAATAACTGCGCAGCTATCTTATTGCCGCACGGTGGAAGGGTCTTCGTGGTTTTTATCCAATCGAGAGTAGAGTCGTTATTCACGTTAGAACCAGAAGCAGTTTCCGTAGAGTCGTATTGATCGATGTCTTCAACACGTCTTCCACCAAGTTCAAAAAAGGCATCCAGGTGAATTTCCCGAGCTCTATCCCAGAACTTCAGGTCACGCTGATAGCACCGTTCGACAAGCTCGGCTTTGAGATCCTCGAGACTAGTGTTTTCATATTGTGGCAAAGCCCATTTTGGTAGGCCGCCTGCGAACACCCTTTCAGAATGCTCGACCTGATTGCGAGGCCACCAAGAACTTATTCGCAAAAATCTCGAAAAGAATACGATGTTTCTTAGCATCGTTGCAGAAAAAACGTCAATGACAACATCCAGAACTCTGCCAACATCAAGGTCGAACGTTCCAATTAAACCCTTTACGCGCTCCCAACAAGCTTGCACAAGAGCAAAGTCATGGTTGTCTCGAGCGTAATACGGTGTGCGATAGAGTTCTGCAGCAAGCTTAGAGTATCCTTCAGACTCTTCCCGAAGCAGGTTATAATTGGCTTGCCGGTATAGTTGATTCGTGGCATATCTGATACCTAATTTGACGAATGTTTCGCGGATTAGACCAAGTTGCTGTAAGGCCGGGGCGTCCAGTACTTCGCGCAAAACCTTGGGAGATATCTCTGTGGCAGCAACAAAATCTCGTAGTTGTGGCCGGGATGCACCATCCTCAGAGTCGATGAAAATCGAAAGCGTGTCGAGGAATAGTCTCTGTGCATCAAAACCGAACCCAGGACCATCGGCATTCTCGACCGCTGGCCCGAGGATTTGCTTCATGCAAATCCCCGCGTCGGTTGGATTAAGGCGTCCTTCAAGAACAGCACGTGTAAATTCTTGAGATATAGTTGAGATTTCTTCAACGTCTTCGTCGTTACGAGACTTGATGCCATGCTCAACAACGTCCTGGCGGCCTTTCTGCTGCCATGCGGAAAGTCGCGACTCTGTTAATACAGCGTAGTTATAGTTGGAAGGAATGGGAGGTCGAGGTTGGCTAAGTTGGGGAGGAGCGGATGGCGTAGAAGGTATCGTGGGTGGAGCAGCCTGCGACGATGAACTAGATGGTCGAGCAGTTGATGGAGAGACGGGGCCTCGATGACCTGTAGCGGCCAGTTGATTACCTGCCGAATCGCGACGGTCGGCATTTCTCCTCGTATTGCGACCGCTTGATGGACGGCGATTCTGCGATGAAGGACCATCTTGGAAATCCCGATCATGCTGGGCGAGATTTGTGTCGGAAGGACGATGAGGAGCCGGCCGATTTGCTCCAGCATCAGATGGCCGTTCGTTTCTCTTTCGCTTTGGAGGCATTTTGATTATGTGCGACGGATTCTATGTCACAAAAAAGGGCATCGAATATGAAGCTAGAAACCGAAAGGCTAGTAGAAGTAGTAGTAGTGGAGATGTTCAGATGGAGATGTTCAGAAGGCGATGAGAATTAGACCTCAGCGTATCATACTTAGTGTAAACCTAGATGAATAGTGTTGCTGGAGGGGGCGGCGATGATTTCTGACAAGTAGTCGGAGTAACCGTGCAGCATTGCCAGAGAAATAGTGACGAGTAAAAGAAATCAAAAAACCATGAATTGATGATAAGAGTTTGAAGCACCCTTATGAATGCGAACAAAGAAAGCGTGACTGTTTGAGTGTTGTACAGCGTCACCCTTCCTACAGATAGCCGGCCGGTCGGTAACTGTGAATAGTAGGCGATGATTACCTGAGAGAAGGGGAGAACGTTGAGTTGGCTGTGAAGGAATGATGCCCGTTCGACAAGACGGCGGTCGCGTTGAATGAAGAAGCTAGGTACTATCGCGTGGTGGATTTTGGAGGATGCAGCCTCAGAGCTTGCAAAAGGTAAGGCTACATGCAGGCAAATTGATTGTAGAAGGAACTTTGACTTATTTGCGAACTGTATAGCCACCTAAAGTATCGAGTACATCCCCAAGTAGGTACCTAAAAACTGTACTTACCTAAGTACCTATGTAGATACCTAAGGTATCCCGCTCGGACCACTAATGACATTCTTACATAAGCGAAAAATTATCGGTATCTACACTACGTCAGGTACATTACATCCCCGATATCTGGAGGGGGAGTCATCCATTGAACACCATCCGCCTGCATCTTGCGCATGTAACAGAATGACGTGCGAATCAAATCCGGTATAAATACTTGTTACATCTCCCAGAAACAGATTACCTAGCGAATTATGTTACAGCGTCTACGAGAGATTGATACGGTCTTTGAATTACTATTCGTTTAACTACTTACCTCTATTCTGTAATATATCTTCCTCTTACCAGGTATTATACATCTATTATACTCACAGAATTATCTGTCATACGACAAAATGACACAGGAAACTGTTATTGGCAAGCAGCCAAAATATGGTCAGTCAGAATTTATTTCTTATCATGATTTCTCTTTGCGTGCTTTTAATACAGCTAGCTGCTTCTTTACCCCTAAGCGTCTATAGTATAGAGCAGTGGCTGAATACTTGGAAGAAAGAACTCAGCAGCAACCTGAGAACCCGTTTGCGAGTCTGATTCCAGACCAGGAAATTGCCATCATTCCAAGCTTCACTCTCGAGTCCGGGGTTACTCTACGGAATGTACCATTGGCATATACAACCCGAGGAAAGCTGTCTCCAAATGCAGACAATGCTATGGTCATTTGCCATGCATTGACGGGCTCAGCTGATGTTAGCGACTGGTGGGGACCTCTTCTCGGCGGTCCTGGCCGTGCATTTGACACTTCTAGATTCTTCATTGTCTGTATGAATAGTCTAGGTAGCCCCTATGGCACGGCCAGTCCGGTAACAGTCAAGGATGGCGATCCGAACAACGAGAGATACGGCCCCGAATTTCCTCTTACCACAATAAGAGACGATGTCAAGTAGGTCGCAACTCAATCGAACTCCAGATCCACTTCTGACTTAAGACAGTTTGCATAAACTTCTTCTCGACGACCTAGGCGTACGCCAAGTAGCTGCCGTCATCGGTGGATCCATGGGCGGTATGCTTGTCCTCGAGTGGGCGTATTTCGGTAAGGATTACGTTCGGAGTATTGTTCCCATCGCTACTTCAAGCCGCCATAGCGCTTGGGGAATTAGTTGGGGCGAAGCCCAACGGCAGAGCATATATGCAGACCCGAAGTATGACGATGGGTATTATTCATTCTCCGATCCGCCTAAGACTGGCCTTGGAGCGGCCCGTATGTCCGCCCTTTTGACCTACCGGAGTCGGAATTCCTTTGAGGCACGGTTTGGGCGCAATATCCCAGACCCGGCTAGGCGCCAAACCATCAGGGAAAGACCCCGCCCGAGCACCCCATCTGAGGCTCATTTTCATATTCACAATGATGGGCATAAGACAACTCGGCTATCGAGGCACAATAGCCACACTAGCGAGGCCGACACGGGCATTCATAATGATACCAACGGTCAATCACTGGATCCCCAATTCTCCGGCCCGAAGACAGACATTCCTACCGAAGGTGATTCATTGCCAACGACAACCTACTTCTCAGCTCAGTCATATCTTCGCTACCAAGGCGAGAAATTTGTAAAGCGCTTTGACAGTAACTGTTATATTGCGATCACGCGGAAACTAGACACGCACGATGTTTCTCGATACCGCGCCAGTAGCATCGCTGAGGCACTTGCTCTCATTGAGCAGCCCACCTTAGTTTTGGGGATCGAAAGTGACGGGCTCTTCACATTTGCTGAGCAACAGGAGTTGGCGGAGCACATCAAGAATGCCCGGCTTGAGAAAATAGACAGCCAAGAAGGCCACGATGCCTTTCTGCTGCAATTCGAACAAGTCAACAAGTATATCCTAGAATTCCTACACGAGACGCTGCCAGACATTATGGCTAGAGAAGGCGAGCACGTGGAGGCAGCTAGCGTTGGCCAATTAACTAAATCGAGCACTTTCGGAGAGGCAGAAGTAGAAGACATCACAGCATGGTGAATAGCTCATGTACACCAGACTATGGCGAATGAATTGATATTTGAGTTACTCGAGTTAAAAGAAACTTACCCACCTTGAGTTTATTTCTACCACGGTTAAGCCATGTTTCGAAATCCGGAGCTGATACTTGGCAGTTCCGGGTTATGTCTAGGATCGAGAGACATACATACAGAACATGGCATGCCTACCTAGTCGTCCCGAGTCATTGGTAAAGATAGCCAGCGTCAAATCAGACATCCTGCCCATGACATGCGCATCCAACTGAACCACATACGGTAGCATCTGCTGCGGTAGCGTGTGGTGCCGCTGGTCCGAGCCAAGTAAACTTGCATACGTGCAAATTTGGGGTTTCGGTGAGCGCCGGTAACTCTAAGGTATGATAATATTGACGAATATCGGGAGCTATGACTTATACTATATATTGTTTAGGAAGTGAGGTTATCTTTCAACAAACATAGATTAACTAATTATACTGGGAATACACAATCTTTTTTTCGGGGATTTATAAAATCGGGATATGATTTTGAAAACCCCTTTCTAGAAGGAATATAAGATAGTACATGAAACCCTAACACTTGCAGTTATACAACATGTGGTGCTTCTTAGATGGTAGCCACCACGTGCTTATAATGCAGATATCCGTGATTAACAAACACCCACGAGGAGACTCCCCTCCCAGAAAAAAGAAGGGTTAATGATCGTCACGTTGCCGATCTTGTGGGTTTGTATTATTTACCTGATCTCGAATATATATCACCCGTTATCAGCTTAACAAACGATCACCGTTACGATCTAAGGTAAATGATGTTTCTGTTTGACGCCTATGAATTGAAATGCGCGATATAGGTAATGTAAATATGCCTACCCAGCCTAGGCAGGTACTGCATCGCAGCGCGTAACACATGGAAGCGTGGTGGCTTGCAGGCCTGTATTGCTGGGATCGAATAATTTAGACCACGTTCCGAAATTCTGTACTCCGATTGGCGATATTACCTTGCATAAGATGACTTCCTGGGCGTTTGCCGCCAAGCTAAATGGTTTCTCATTAGACCGCTTTGCACAGCTTTATCCTAACTGCCTAAGCACATGTCTCCTGCAGAGGGGACAAAGCTGATACTCCCAAGATTAAGAAGCATCTGCCACGCGTCGAGTAATATATTCATACTTCAGCTTCATCGATATTGAGATGGGAAAAAAAGAAAAGAAAAGGGAATAGATACATGGGTCTGGACTACATAAGAGACTAAGTTGATAAGTTGATAAGGTGCTTAGTTAAGTAATCTTTAAAACTCTAAATCGCGGGCCGGTGGGTACTATGCGTCGATTCGCCCCGCGAAATCCCACTCGCACCCGTAAACGCGGCTCATCTGCTCATTCGCAACTGCATCTTGTACCTGTGCCCGTATCCTTGCCGTATCCTTGCCGTCCCCTGCTTTCACCTCACCTTTGGCAGCGTGCCCAGATCCTCCAAGATATGGTTTGGACGGATGAGTCCCACTTGAACTTCACCGAACTCATGCATATGTATGGTATAGAGCAGCTCTAGTGTAGTTCCACACCCACGTTTTGAACAGACTGCATGTAGAACTAGGTATTACATACCCGCCCTATGTTTATTCCCTAACCATGAACCCCGATGAAATTTAGCAAATATAATAGTAGGCCAATTACGATACCCACCCCCGGTCCGAATGCTAGGTACCTAGACGAGCGTGATGATGAAGCTGTTAGCTTTACGATACTTGTCATAAGCCTAACATGCTTGATTATAACACATCACATCACCTTTCGACACCATGTCACTTTGGACTGTCGTCCGACAAAGCGTTGCACCAGGACACACAAATAGGTAGGTCGTGGAACGGGGTGTCAAGGCTACAGAGCCTAGACTTTTGCGCCTCTTACATCTTTGCCCTTCAGCGCTCATCTTCTTTCACCGTATCGCCGTATCGCATTGGATGTCATCCTAACGAAAGACCCCTCAGCCCATATATCTAACGTTTAACCCCTAAACTCCTTTAGGAGCCTCCCGAGAAATCCGTCCACCCACGCCATTGGGTCGATGGGACCTTGTCAGACACAGGGAAAAGGTTTAATTAACCTAACGATCTTCGGAGTGCGTCAGATTACATCCCTCCCTGCCCCAGTGCAGTGCGCATCGAGGCTCTGTCTTAGATCTCCAAGGGCTTACACAATTCTGTTCGTTTTACTTAGCTACTTCACTTTTCATCTGGTATCTGTTGCTATTTTCTATTCCATACCCAGCGCATTTTACCCACCGCATCCGTATTTTTTCTATAGCAAGTCGGTTTCACAGGATCGACGGCCGTAAGACGTGCGTTCCCGACGGGTATAGCCGCATTGTATACTCTCACGCGGACGGTGGGCTCGTCTAACAAAAACAGCACCATGAACACATCGTAGCCTCGTCGAATCTAGCGCTCGAATCTCCTCTTGGGTAATTATGCATTTGTTTGCTTCCGCAGCCGATATTACGAAATACTTACGATAAAGCAAAAGCTTGTCGAGATTTTTCGACAATGGCCACGCCGGAACCTATGACGCCGGCAACCTATGACCGGACGTATGGCGGCAATCGAGCTTTTCATAATTTCTTCAACGATTTCAGCCACATCCAGGATCCGAATCTACGGCGACGGCTCGCGCTATCAGAAATCGATAAAGTTCCTTTTGGAATGTACCATGTGAGGGCTGTTTTAGTCGCTGGTATAGGGTTTTTCCTTGATTCGTACGATATTTTCGCCATCAATCTCGTAACAACGCTACTCGGTGTTGTGTTCTGGCATGGAGCACCGGAGGATGCGAAGAATGGGTATGGAGGGAACTTTGGACACCTACCGACCCCGGTCAGCCAAACTCTGAAGGCGTCAACGAGCGCGGGTATCATCGTAGGTCAGATCCTATTTGGTTGGCTGGCGGATAAGTTCGGAAGAAGGCGGATGTATGGAGTTGAGCTAGGCATTATTGTCTTCTCGACTCTCTCTTGTTGCTTGGGTAAGTATAGAAATATCCTTAATTGGACGCCAATTCTTTATAACCCTCTACGGCTCTCATTGTTCACTTAAATTCCCAAACACGGGGAACTATTAATGGGATTTAGTGTTCCAAAAGTTAACGTTTACATAGTTGCGGCCTCACAAGCTATAAGCTTCACTGGTCTAATGACGTTTTGGAGGGTTATGATGGGGTAAGACGACGAACAATAAGACGCGCGAATTTGTGCTAATGCCATGGCTAGAGTCGGTATAGGAGGGGACTATCCTTTGAGCGCTGTCATCACCTCGGAGTTTGCGCCTACGCGATGGCGCGGCGCTATGATGGCCGCGGTGTTTTCCATGCAAGGGATGGGACAATTGCTGGCCGCCGTCGTAGCCCTTATCGTTACCGCGTCGTTCAAGACCGCCTTCGGAAACGCCCCGACCGTCGACCAATGCGACTATGCATGTCAGACGGCCGCCGATCGATGCTGGCGTATTATTGTGGGAGTTGGAGCTTTTCCGGCTTGCTTTGCTCTCTACTATCGCATTACAATCCCCGAAACGCCTAGATATACCTTCGAGGTAGCGAAGGACGTCGAGAAAGCAGCTGCTGATATCAAGGCGTACATGTCGAGCAAGTCAGAAGGAGAGGTAGATGAAATAACACAAGCGAGGATGAAGAAAGTCGCCGCTCCAGCGCTCAACATACCTTCAGCGTCTTGGCACGATTTATACACTTACTTCACACAATGGAAGAACGCCAAAGTCCTGCTAGGAACGACTCTATCGTGGTTTTTTCTAGTGCGTACCCCTTAGCTACCTTCCTGGCCGAATTTGACTAACCTTGAGGTGCAGGACCTAGCTTTCTATGGTTTAGGGTTAAATAACCAGATAATATTACAAGCGATCGGTTACGCCGATGGAGACTCGCTTTATACAATATTGTTCAACGGCGCAGTCGGCACGATCATCCTAGTCGTTGCGGGCTCTCTACCTGGATATTGGACTGCGATACTGACGATTGATAGCATCGGTCGCAAACCACTCCAGATTATCGGATTCGCTATACTTACCATCACCTTTTGCGTGCTAGGATTCATGTACAATAGCCTCAGCAAGGGTGCTTTATTGGCCCTATATGTCATTGCAAACTATTTCTTCAATTTCGGTCCAAATACCACTACCTTCATCGTCCCCGGCGAGTGCTTCCCGACTCGATACCGCTCCTCCGGGCACGGGCTTTCGGCAGCCATGGGGAAAGTGGGTGCCATCGTCGCGCAAGTTATTTCCTTGCCGCTTCTCACAAAGGACGCTCCTACCCCTTGCTCAGGGAAATCGTGCACGCCCTGGCTCGACCGGCTGATGCAGATATTCGCGTTGTTTATGCTCTGCGGGACATTTTCGTCGCTACTCATTCCCGAGACTAAGGGTTATACCCTCGAAGAGCTAGCGGGGGAGCCTCCGACATCGTACAACTCGGGCCGTAACGGCAGCATCATTGAACGGTCTAAGGGCCGGTGGTGGAACCCGTTCTCGGGCGGTCAACCGGCCGGCTTCTTCTACCCGCGCATGGCGCCGAGTGGTCGGACGGGTATCATGACGACACCCGAAACGGTAGTCCAGAACGTTCAGCCGAAAAGGGGGTGGAAGTTCTGGAAGCGCAGTAATAGCGGTAATGCGGTTGACTGCGCCGCCAGCTCGAGCTCAACAGCGGGTTTCGCCATGTCAGGGGAGACGGTGGTGGCGAACGCAGGCGTATTGCCCGGTTGGGGGGCTGGGTGGGGTAGGATAGATAGAGGAGGGAACACTCTCGCTATGGATAATATACGGCTGCAAGATGTGGGAAGCCTGTTAAAGTAAGGGGTATCTAGACTATATGACCTATATAAGGCAACTTCGATTCTAAAGGGGGGTATAAGCGTGGCGTACGGGTCGGATCGGGTTGGGTTGGATTTGGATTCGGGGGGCTTTTTACTTACTTAAGATTAATGCCTTGTACGTCTTGAGAAATAGAACTACTAACAGGCTCTTTGGTATTGTATCATTTTGCTATTATGACGGTGCTCATAGGCAATTTTTGTGCTTATCATCGTGTTTCGACCTCGGATCTTCGTCGCGAGTGCACTTCGCTTCTAGTGTAGTTCGACCCCTTTTATAGGCCTCTATTTACCAACTTCATAACAATTTTACCGGACGGTAGGTACTATTACTTGGAGCTTCTTATCCTCGTCTAGTTCTAGAGGGATTATTGTTAGTGGGGCTCTTGAGTAGAATGTTTTTATAAAATAATTAGTTAGACCAACTTGAAGTGTCGCCGAATGTACCTAACTCACGCATACCTTATGTGATTACCAAGAAAGGGGTAATTTGTGTACTGCCAAAATTTTTAAGATTTTTGTAATTAGGAAATAAAAAACTAGGAAATAACAAAATAGAGGTACATATAACGAGTACATATCTGTAAGCCTGAATTAGGTAGTCTTATAGGTTAGACACTTTTATTAAATGTAGCTGAGATGGAATAGGGGGCTCTCTTGGAGCAGAATCTTGGGATCTGCTGAAGTGAAGATATGCTGCTACATGTAGGTACCTGCTTAGTCTGTTGAAGTTGTTCATATGTATGTATATATTATAAGCAGGCACTCTTTCCCTAGGTCTGCATGAAGAAACCATATATGGATATGTAGGAAGTGGCCCTCTCTCCCAGTTACACCTTCCAGATCTACAATCCCCCCTTTACATACCTGGGAAAGTGGAACTGTTATAATAAGAGAAGTATGTGCAATGTAGCATTGTTTTATGGAGACTCTATCGTCCTGAGCAACATCGCCTGGTCAATCACAAAACGTGAAGCTAAGAAGCGTTGCCTAGACGCCCATTATTCACACAGAAAATTTTCACCAGTTTGCTCCTTTAAATTCCTCTCGTGTCTTTCTTCTTCCTCTTAGTTCCTTCTTTACTGTGCCGAGTTCCCTTCATAACCAGCCGTTTCGACATGGGTAATAATAGGCCCAGAAAGAGACGTGAGGGTAGAATAAGGAGATCTCAACAAAATAAGTGGAAGGGTTATGCTACCGCGCCTGATATGCTTCGGTTCAATAATTGCACTAGTAAAGTAGCTTCTCGTCAACAACCTAGATCTCGACCCTCAAGACCGGCAGTCCAACCCAAACAGACCGGCAAAAAGCAACCTTTCGGCCACCCTAGTCCTTGCGATTCTCGGTTCACGAAGCCCACCGTAAGTAAACTACCTACCTTCTACTAGCTACATCGAAAACTTACGGAACGCTGGTAACTGACGCTCAAAACCACAGTTGATAATACAGAAGGCTAATACTGCTCCCGCCCCAAGGAGCCTAGGTGACGTCCTAATGGATTACCCCGAGAAGCGATTTGATGGCTTCAACCAAGATGTCCTTGTCTTAGTCGCTAAGTCTGCGTTGCAAGTCACTGACGAAGCAACGGTGAAATGGCTACACAAATGGTGTCCTTGCATGGACTTCGCGCTGATTTTCGACTGGATACGATCTATGGACTGCGTCGAGAACAACTACAAACACAACCTCTACATGGTACCATCTGAGGCCATGGACATCAAGGGCACCGGCACGACGCTAGCAAACCTATATCGTAATTGCCGAGCAGTCTACTCTAAGTACCCCGTCCTCAAGATGTCCAATGTCGTGGAGGTTTTCGATCAGTGCATCATTCTCTGCCGCGTACTCAAGAATGACAAATGCAGGGGTCTCCTTCAGGAGGCCAAGCAGATCATCCAGTGGCTCCCCGTCGGCCTCGGATGCAAGGAACTAGAGGTGAAGAGGAGATTATCTCGCAACTTGAACGAGATCCCTGCCTCCCTGGAAGACAGAAAGGAGTTGGAGGAGGAATTTCTGGACACAGCACTCGTCGAGTTCGAAATACATCGGCAAGAATTCACCGTCAAGCTTCTGCAGCAAGTTAAGTTGCTGCTAGACTCCTCCGACCCGTTTGGGGTCCACGATAATTGATGGGAGACCATCTCATACATTTTCACGGTGTAATCAAAGCCGTAACGGAGGTCATTGAGTTAGTGATTAGTTCAAACCTCATTGTCCACCAGCCACTCGACTTCTGTTACCTACTTTTCACCTGGAACTCTTTATGAGTGAGCCATCGCGACCGTAATGCAATCTCTGGTCCGGGTTTCAGTTCCATCATTTCTTAATCTTTAATGCAGGTTTCTGGAGCGCCACTCCATGAGCCTTCTCTGATTGTACGAGGAATGAGATACCCAGGGAAAAGCTGTCTCGTCCTGTATAATCGATTTTCCTTCAACAGGACGGGTGAAATAGGGATTCGATGAATATCCGAATAAGGATTTCTTTAATAATTGCGTTTTCAGAACCCATACTATTTCATTTTGCATCGTTGCGAGAGGTGGTCTATTCATTCAGTAGGGGTAGGGTCATATTATGGAAATCATCAACCCGACGCTCGACGCTAATTAGTCTAAACAGGCAGGGTTACCGCCGCATGGAGGAGGGAGAATGGGTTGTAAATTTCTCTAGGAGAGATCATAATCAGTTAGATAAGACTTGCGAAGGAAACCATCCTTGTTAAGTCATGTTCTTTAATACATTCTCATCTTCTCCTACCCCTATAGTTTCTTAGGGCGACTTAAGTTCGTACTATTAACCTTAAAAGACCATTTATAAGGTAGGTTGTAACTAATCTTCCATCTATTAAGATGCTGGGGATCATAGTTTGCCCATCCTTCTCGGATATAAGTAGCGTGAAGTTATAGGATCTAAAAATAGCAGTCCCTGACGCCCTTCTAAGCTCTATTCAGCCCACAGATTTTGAGCTAACTCCAGCCCTCATTCGTCTAATTGTGCCGCCTTCTCATCCATCTGCCGCATAAGGGCCGTCTCCTCATCTTCCATCTCTTCCTCACCAGCCTCGGCCCCGGCACTCCCATTCCCGATCCTCAGCCCCCTCTTCCTCATCTCCCCCTCCACATACGCGCGCGTGATGACCATCCCCCTCGCCAGCACACCGCCATCCTCCTCCCGCTGCTGCGCCCGCACCCAGCCCTCGAGACTGCGCATGCCGACGACCAGAAACCCGAGCTCCTCGCGGTCCACGTCGAACACCTCCCACCACGCGCACGTCGGCATCTTGGCCCCCGCGTCGCGCGCCGCCGAGTATATCGCCGCGACGGCCAGCGCGTGCGGCTGGTGCGTGAGGTACAGCAGCTGCGGCGACAGGAGCGCCGCGTTGAGGTACGCGACGGCGCGGCGCGCGATCTCGGCTCGGGGTTGGTCGAGGAAGTCTAGCGCTTGGAGGTAGGTGATGGCTAGGGGGTGGGGCAGCGCGACGTGCGTGTCGAAGGATAAGGAGTACAGTATGCGAGCCTCGAGCGCTAGGATGCGCGATCGGAAGGAGGCGTATGCGCTTTCCGAGAGGTAGTATGATGACGGGTCCCCTCTATCCTTGTCGTCGACGTCTCCCCTCCCTCCTCCTCCTCCTCCTCCATCATTATTATTACTACCGCTCTTAGAGAGAGCGGAGGCCGGAGATAGGAGGTAGGCGTATACATTGCAGATATCGCGGGGCAGACAAGGGTGCGCGCTGAGCTTGGCGACGAGGAAGAGGGCCGCGGCGGAGGTATCGGCGAACTCGTGGGACAGAGGCGATTCGACGAGCCAGTAGCGCGCGAGTACGACGTTGGCTTGGGCTGTGACGGATTGGGGGAGCCGGAGCAGGATGCCGGCGGCTTGGGTCAGACGTTGGGTCGCGAAGAAGATGGCGTCTTGGAGGTCGGAGGGTAGCGCGCTGAAGGAGGTCCGCTGGTATAGCTGGTCGACGGTTGCGAGAGGATTGGTCATGTGCGCCATTTTAGGTTAGGGGATGGGGGGAATCAACTGGTATATCGTGGCGCATCTACGTGTGTTCAATCTTTTTGGTATAGGTAATCTCCAAGCTTTGTTGACTACCTAAGGTACCTACGGTAGGGACCTAATGTTTGGAGACGTCATGTCATGCGAGGCTGCGAAAATTTGACTTTGAGGCTGAGACAGCCGTGAGCTGATAAGATTGACAGGGGTGTCCTATCTTGGTCCCCATCTTGAATCCTCTACGGAAGTCCCCATCAAAAGTTTTGTCCATAGGCCAGCCCTTATTAGCTTTTGACTAGCTTTGACAGGGCTTGGCAACAGCTGTAGGCCATCGAGCGCATTATACTACTTTCGCTTATACATAATAACTCAAAATCTTCTCCTCAAACAATAAAAGTTATATAGGCGTATAAAGAAGCTTTTGTACTTATAATAGATCCAATTTTAATGTTTTCATTAGCATATTGAAACTAAAATTGGATATGTTATAAAAGTTAAAATTTTGTATACAATTTTAATCTTGGCTGCCGCATGGTGTCAGGTTCTAAACAGCTGCATCAAAAGCTGTCAGGTGGCACGTATGGACAAAACTTTTGATGGGGACTTCCGTAGGCTCTAGGTTAAATAGGTAGTAAGGCTGGGAGCAAAGTCCGGGGCCCCGGGTGGAGACGACTCGACAGGGATCTAGCTGACGCCACAGCCAAGCCTCAGATTTCGGTACTCAGTTTCAATATCTCAACTTCAACCAACAATCCTGAAAACCGTCACTGACTCTACTAAACTTCTTCCTTTTCTGTCTCCCGTTTTTTCCCTGCACGTTTAATATTCCAATTCCTCTTGCAGGAAGCTAAGTAACGTTCATGCAATCACTCGCATCCGCGAGCCGTCCTTTATCCTGGTAATCTTGCAGTCTTGCCACTTGGTACCCTGGTCCGCTGTTACAGCAGTTTGCCCTACCCTCTCTGCTTCTTTGGAAGTTGGGTTCACCAGCATGTTCCCTTGAGCGCCATACAAGTCACTGTACAAGACCCATTATGCGAGGCTAGCTAACTACCTAATTGACGGGATACCATCCTGGCGAGTCTTGGCGTATTCGCCAATCTGTGGATACACTCTATGATAGTTCGCCTGGGGATCAAAGGTGCCACCAATAAGACAAAATGCCTCTCTTATTTGCACCCGGACTCGCCGCCGGGGAGACGCACGTTCATATGCAGAACAGAAGGACGAACTTGTTTAGGATATTATACCCAGTTTCGGAACCAGCCTGAGTGTATCAGGCATATCGGCCCTTGTCAGATTCGCAACCGGGACAAAAACACCCATGGAACAAATATGGAATAATTCCAAAACAGGATGGCAACTACCATTCACCCTACGAGGCGTGTCGTGTTCTTTTTTTCTACGTGGGGGTCATGATCCTTGTTAAAGCACTCATATGTATAACGACAGAAAGATCACTGACTCCCCGGATCAACGAGTACTTTCCCGGACCACCGGCTTTACTGCCGAACGAGGTATTGTAGCCAGTTCGGTGCAAGTGAGTGTATAGCCGTCAAGGCACGATCATGAGGGCCGGTTACGGTTCAGGCCCCTGGACACGTCACTCGGTAAAGACAACTTATATTCGGGTCTTATATAGGACGCCAAGCCAGCTATCCGTCTGGACTTGGTCTGTTGGCGCAAGATCCGATGCCGAAGTCGGGATTCTGATTCTGATACTTTGCAGTTAAACGATGGGACCGAATTTGCCGGCAAGGTGCTACCCTCGCCCTCGCTTCTCCCTGTTTATCCCCGGCCACGTCATACTTCTAGATCTATTAGGACCCTTACTACGTAAACAATACGTTCCTATAACCACGCTCGCAGCTAACAATTTGATATTTCACCTTCTTGGCGTTCCTTTAGACCGGGCCATACGGCGGATCCTCCGCGCCGTCGTACCGTATTACCTGGATCTGTAGTTCCCATTCGCGTATCGAGATTACTCTGTACGCAGTGAGCCGCTGACTGATGGATTAATAGTCCGGTCGCTTAAAAGTACGAGCTACCCTATCACGTTTATTTCATCATTTAATGTAGTTCCAACCTAGTGTTCTTGCAACAACTTCCACGATCGTCCGCCAGGGTTTCTAGAATACATGGCTTCTGTTCTGCCGGCTTCAAAAATCGCAAGGGTGACTTACAATATGTAATGTGACGTCTTATATGAAGAAAACCTCAGTCTGCAATCTCTTGGTAAGCTATCGTGGTTTGCGGATCTTGCGTATAGGGCCATACGGTATTTTCCGGGGCGCATTTACCTACAACACTTCCACGAACCTAGACGATGCCTAATTTGATATGGAACTTTATGCCATACTCTAGCTGAACCAGTTTCTTAACCGCGTAATATGGCTCCAAGATGGATTAGTCCACCAGCCCTTTCATATAGCGTATATTCCCATCTAAATGCTATGGGTACACCATGGGTATATTAGCAATGTACCTGAGACGGGAACACTAAGAACTGACTTTGGCGCCACGAATCGACGAAATCTTCAAGGTGCGAACGAAATACATTAGCACTAACCTCTCGATAAAAGATAGTAGTTTAGTCTGATTACGCTCTCTAGTTAAACAAGCGCAGTTGGGTTAATTCTACTACTGTAGACAATGGAAACCCTTCATTTCAGGGGGCATTTGGCGCCGTACGAAAAACGAATGTTGTTGTCAGAAAAAGTTTCTATCCCATTGTCTTAAGAACGGCCTATCGCACAACTATAAAGCAAGTACAATCAGACTACATAGGTATAAGCCTGTATAATCCAAGACTTACCATAAACCCCGTATTCAATACCCTTTTGTGCGGCTTTTAAACAATAGGGGTAAAATCCTTTGTATAAGCTGCCTTGAAAGCTACTATTCACTCACAATCGACTTGTTGGTATAGAGAAAGACGCTAGATTAAACAATAGGATAGATACAAGAACCGAAGAGAACGCTTCTCTTTATCTCTTAGAGAGGCTCTAGTCTGAACAATGTCTTCTTACTACCAGATGCCTCCTATTTAATGTATCGGGGTGACTATCTAGACGCTTCCATAAACCAACCAAGGAAAGAAGCATAATTGCGTACGAGAGTATCGAAGCAGAAGTAGAAATCTGACTCAATATTAGAAAAAGGTAATTTTATCGTATTTTAGTCTTTTAAAGTCGAAAAGAAAATACATCATGTGTACCGGCACACAAACTGAGATGGCCTGTGGGCACGTCCTAACACACTACGACCAATACTGCGACGAGGGACGCCGTAAACCGTGTCCGCAACCTGAGCTTAGTGCACCGCGCGCTTACCTCGACGACTCCTGCGCCGAGTGTGACCCAATGTACATGTCGAACCTGGTCCGCCGCGAGCATCGGGACCGGCGCACGGAGCTCATGGACCAGATATACGCGCATAAGCGCGCAGGGCACATGGAGGAGGTGCGGCGGCTGTTGGAACGTATGGAAGTTGTGCAGCGCGCGGCGAACATCGCGATGGGTGAGATGCGGTATTTATGCTCGTCTTCTGTTGATGTCGAGTTCCCCGGTGGTGGACCCGATGCCATAATGCCTAGGGGCACGAGTAGGTGGGTTGACGGCAAGTGTGTCTGGGAAGAGGACGTACCTTATTCCGTACCGGGAAGCCAGCGGAATAAAAGGGCTGCTCCAAAGCAGACGCATGTGGAAGAACAAGAGCTGCCGCGGATTTCGGGATCGCCGCGATTGCGTTCGACGAAGAAGGAGTACGTCGATCCCTTCAAAGAGGAATCAGACTTTCAGCTGCAGCAGGAACAGCAGCCTAAGGTGAGCCGACCGCCACGTCTACGGACTAACAAGGAATACACCGGCCCCCGCGGGGATAGCGTAGTAGTATTCGACGGAGAGGAAGACACGCGCCAAGCCCCGTCACTGCAACCCCGCCTCCGGCGATCGAAGACGTATATCAATAAGCTTGATCATATTAGGCCTACTAGTCAAGGATCCGAAGAGCTCTTGGATAGCGATAAAACGGTACGTCCTATTGTACGTAGCTCGCGTACTAAATATGTTGCGCCAGGAGTTGACGAAGAAGAAGAAGACATTTGGCTACAATTAGCCGAGAAATGTGTGGTAAAATGAGATGGACTTTGTAGATTAATAAGATATTGTGCGCATAGTATCGGATAGATGGAATACATACTGATAATCTCGCTCCTTGTAGCCCTACACTCCTATTTAACTCTCAAACGTGACATGCCCCATTCCTCTATTTTCTCACGATTCTTCTAAGTTGAATCCATCTGGAAAATTTACCTGGCCTAGCCGATTTGCGATGTCTAAAGGCTTCACGACTACTTGATCTGTAGAGTCGGAACCATTCTGGTTACTGGCCTCTTGAATTGCTTTCTTGGCTTTTGTATACTCTTTGACACGTGTGGTAGCAAGTTTCCCTGCTCGTCGCCTATCGGTCGGGCACCGTAGAAGTGGGACCTGGATAATGGCCGCAAAGACGTCAAAGACCTTCTCTACGGATACATTATGTCTTTTCGCGACGTCCTCGAAGGGGAATTTCTCCTGGCACGTCTCTGCGACGTCTACAATTAAGTTGGGCGAGGGCTTGCGATAGGTATGTTGGATAAGAGATGCTGGCGGTTTCACTGGGTTCAAGACCGTGGGGGATTGGGGTTTATCGGTTACTGAAGTTGACGAAGGCTGAGTTTGGTCATTGATATTTGCGCGGCTTGGCCTAGAATTCTTCTCGTTGACTTGATCTTTCATCTGTGCTGGGCTAGTCATATGACTTGGAATGGTAGTGAAATTGTTGCTATTGATAGGCATCATGACTGGTGCGAAGCCTGGACTAAGGGAGTGAATGCTGCTTGGACCCATGGCTATCATTTGAGGATGAAGATGCTGAGTGAACGGCTGATGGCAGGCGATCTGTGGAAGTATGTGGTGTGGTACATTATGAGGGAACATAGAAAACCCTTGAAATTTCGCAAGATCTGCCTGTTGCCGCATTCTGGCGCAAACTTGGCACGGCCGATTTGTTGTATCTGACCGAGTAGCAGTAATATGAGTGGCGGTCTTCAATGGGGAACCAGTTCGTGCGGATTTAGGGGTTGCTAATATCTCAGTGTTTGGTACTGGGGGTGGCGGCATGGCTGAACTCTTCGGATCTGCCTCTTTAGGCGGCCTAGGAGGCGATGGGTGTGCATGGGGAACTGACGTTTTGAGAGCATGTAATTGGTTGGCTGTCAAGTTAGGATTGAGCGAACTTGTAGAATGTGCTTCTGGCTGGGCCGCATGTTGGCCTATTGTGATACATGGCATAGGTGCCATGTCAAATCCAGAGCCTCTAGGGCTGTTCCCATTGGTATTGACACTCAGCATTGCTGGTGCAACTGTTTGTGGTAACTGCTTGGGCGAGAGCTCTGGTGAGCTTGGAGGTCTCGGCCCGCGAGAAGGTTGGTCGAGGACAAATCTTTCTAGTACAGGGAGAGAAACACCTCTTAGCATAGAGGCGAGTTCGATGGTATTGAAATCTGAAGGGAGACCAACCATGCCTGTACTAATCCGCCTATCAGAGTCCTTGAGCTCAGTAGGCTGGATAGAAACTTGAGGCATAGGCGTGATAGGCATTATCGATATATTCTGTTGCTGAACTGTAGGCTTTGGAGCTTGCTCGCTCATCTTTGGTCTCTTAACAGGCTTGGATGATATAAATTGAACATCATCGTCTGATCGTTTCGCAGGTATAGCTGACCTCGGGGTAGAGGGAAGTGAACAGCATTCGCCAAAGTGTCCCGGCATACCTGAATACCGCGTGTTTTTTTTTCTGAGCTTAGTGCTGAAGACTCATAGATATTGCTGGGAGTGAGATCTGCTCATAAGTTTGGGACTAGCCGATGAAACGGCAGATATTAGTTGCTCGTAATAGTTCGAAGGGCCCGAATCACCAAGAGGAGAGTAACGATGCCAGTCATCCAAGTATTTGTATAGAGTAGATTCGACTAGGATTAAAATAGGTAAGATTTACTAAGACAAAAAAGCTATCAAAGTCAAAGACGAAAGAGACGTTAGACCTCACAGAACACCATTTTGTCTCTTTCAAAAAGCACATGGTAGAAGAGCAATGGGAAGAGGCAGATCGAATCTCTATCCAGTCAAGGATAGTCAAAAAAGAGGCCGGATAAGGGATGATCTTGTGCACTTGCACGATATTTCACGTAACTTGTCTTGAAAAGAATACCACAAAAAATGAGAATACAATCAAAAGACCTGTATAGAAATAGTTAGAGACTATACTTCTCGGGTAATGAATCTGTTCTCCATTATGCAGGCGATGGCGAAAAATAAATAAATAAAAGGTATCCGTAGGTGGTTCCTATTCACCTAACCAAGTAGATATTCTCACTGACATAGAATATCCTAGGAGGTTGAAGAAGTTAGAAGTTGTTAATTCAAGAGAACAATTTGAAGGGAATTGTAGGCTAAGCTAGAGCTTAGACCCCACCATACATGTACCTAACCCTGTCCCTGGTACGTACCTGTCTTAGATAAGGACCTGTGGGCCTAGGCCAGTTGATGGAAGTAACGCAAAGCCACAAACGCACAGCCAACCCAACGCGGGGCACCTACTAAAGGCAGGTACCGCTTAAAGGTACAACTGCAGCCTTACGATAACTTGTAACTTACAAACTTCCATTCCTACAAAAAACAATTTAGCAAACTAACTTCACAAATTCCTTTCTTATTATCTTTCTCATTTGGTCCCGTTAGGAAGCAATCAACAAGATGGGTGTGGTGGATCCAAATCCCCTACTTTCATCACAGAAGTCTTCAGACTCTGGGCTCCAGGCCGTTCTCCATCCTCTCGTCCTTCTCACAATTTCAGATTACATCACACGACATTCCCTAAGGGCGCAACAAGGACCTGTAGTTGGCGCTTTAATAGGACAACAGAATGGAAGAGAAGTTACTATTGAGCATGCTTTCGAGTGTGCCACTATTGCCAAGGATGGCAATATCGTTCTTGATGCCAACTGGTTCGCACAGCGATTAGAGCAGAGTAGGCCATCCTATCTATTTTCCATATGGTTATAGTTACTGACTGTGAATTACACAGTGAAAACAATACATAAATCTCCCCAACTAGACCTTGTCGGCTGGTATACCGTTTTACCTAAGAGTGGCCCGACTCCATCTATACTCCCTATTCACAACTGGATCTTATCAGAGCATAATGAGTCGTCTCTACTACTCGGATTCCACCCTGAAGAGGCCGTCCAACAAACAGCAGGAAGCAAGCTCCCCTTGACTATCTACGAATCTATCTACGAGGTTGATGAACCAAAAGCGGATCAAGGCGAGGACAAGGAGATGCGAGACGGAGATCCCCCTCTAAAGTTAAAATTCAGGGAGCTACCCTATTCGGTAGAGACGGGTGAGGCGGAGATGATAAGCATGGATTTCGTGGCTCGAGGTGCTGGAAACGCCACGGTGGTCGAGCCCAGGCAGCAGAAGAAACCAGAGTCGGACCCCAAGGGTAAACAGCCTGCGAAAGCAACCGATGCTCAAGATAAGGACGATAAATCAGAAGAGCACATACTAACTAGCGAGGATGAGGAACTGATCGCGGCACTTACAGCTAAGGCAAATGCTATCAAGATGTTGCAATCTCGCGTTAACCTTCTCACTGCATATCTCGAACGGCTACCCCCATCCTACCTATCTCCGAACAACGCCGCGAATCTCTCCGAGGGTCAACAGACCACTCCTTCGCATACAATCCTCCGATCTATCCAGGCCCTCGTTAATAGACTATCGCTACTAGTGCCATCCGACACAAATGCTTACGAGGAGGAGATGATTAGTGAGGCCAACGATGTACATCTGATGGAGCTCCTAAACGAGGTGCTCCAGAGTGTCACGGAAGCCCGCAATGTCGGCAAGAAGCACAGTGTCGTTGAGAGCACGAAAGCCCACTACAAACGAATGGTGGAAAATACGACACCCCTAAGCTTTGGTCATTCTAACCCGGGAGACCTTGCGATTTCATAAGCGACATAGTTGTTAGGGGATAGGCGTCCATCCAAGACGAGGTGCACTTTGCAATATGGTTCTTTGCATCCGCAAGGCGTTTTAGAGGTTAGGTTAGGTTAGGCAAGTTGTGTGTTGGGCAACAAGCCAAAGTCGAGTTACGACGGACGGGATTACGATATCAGTAGGTCTTGAACTTAACAACAAGGCTTATTGGGGTTCACAATGGATTGAAAAAAAGTACGAGGCAAATGATTAATGGATTAGTTTATGAAACCCTCGGGCCCATTAAAACTATGTGACAATTATTGATCCGCTTCTGCTAGTCATCATGGCATTACCCCTATATCGGGGAGACTGGGGAAAAATGAAAACGAAGAAAAACTGAGATTAACCGGCCGAGTCGCAAAGTCGGCATCCCCGGGATATAAAAGACAGAATATCTGCACCCAAATGCGAATGTTGCGAATCTCCAGTTCGCGCTACCCCAGCCCAGCCTCAATGGCACCAGTCTACTTATCCCATGCCTTGTCGTAATAGAGCAACGCGATAAAATGATAATGAAGAAATATAGGCATGTAAGGAAATATCTCGGCGCAGCCGGTGAACTGATGTCAGATGTGCTTCTCAGTCCGAAAATTGTTGCAGTACTTTTCATTACCGGGCCCTCAAGCCGTTCATAAAAGTTTTTGCTTCCCGAATCACCAGTGCAATGTCGCCCAAGCTTCTAAATGCTTTTTTTTTTTTTAGTGCTTCGTCGATATTCTATGTTGCTATTGTTGCTTGAATTCGTTTTTCGAAAGAAAGGAGATAGGGGAAGGGTATCCATGATGATCAAGTAGACGAGAAAAATTAAGCCTCGATGACGACTTTTAACACGAGATTGCCGTCATCGTCCATAGTCCTGCTAGCAAGTTCGAAAGCATGTTTTGCAGCGCCGAGACCTTTGAATCGATGGGTTACCATGTCGTCGAGACTTGGTAAGGTGAAGCCAGCTCCACCCTGCCCCTGAGCAGAGAGTAGTTTTATGCCAGTTCCGTACGTATTTGCATACCGAAATATTCCCAGGATATCAACTTCTCTTAGGTGTGCAGCAGACATCGGAATTGTCTGAATTGGTGTGCCCATGCCCACCATGATGACTTTACCACCCGGACGAGTAGCATAGAGGCTAGTATGCATACAAGCTTCCTTTCCGGTACACTCAAACGTCACGTCAACGCCTTCGTCTTCATCTTCATTTTGTAGACTTAGCGGTGGCCTCGTCAGGGAGAGTATATCAGTTGCGAGACCTTTCGCGGTTTCGAGCCGGTCGTGAATTGAGTTGGAAAACAAACTTGCCGGGGTCATTGCACCAGGATCTAAGGGGGTGGAGCTTCCAGAATTCGTGAATACGGAGCTGCTAGATGAAGTATTTGACGGATTAGGAACAACGTAACCATGGGTAGCGAAGCCCTTTTTCAGTGCATAGTTAACACGACCAGCGTCCACATCAGTGATGGTGACTGACGTGCAACCAGATTGACGTGCCATTGCGGCAGTCAAAAGTCCAACTGTTCCAGCACCAATGACCAGAGCTGTAGAACCCGGCGTGGGACTAGCACGATTTACAGCATGGATAGCAACGGAGAGGGGTTCAAGTAGGGCAGCGGCTTCGAAGGAAACTTGATCTGGTAGTCTAATAATATAGTTAGTAGCCGTATATACCTAGGTAGCAGATAGGCAAATAGGGGGTTGCCCGTACTTATGGCACCAGATTGCCGGATGATTTATCCTCTCCTGAAGAGTTCCCTGGTAGTGAGGGACACTCTTGGCGCTGCTCCTAAATCGCATTTTCTTGCACAGATTATACCTGCCTTTTCGGCAGATACCACACTGGCCACAAGGAACGCCAACTTCTAGAGCAACACGGTCACCAACCTTGAATCCACCGACCTGGGGCCCAATAGCCACGACCGTACCGGACGATTCATGGCCAAGGGACAAAGGCGCGCAAGCACATAGGTCACCATTGGCGAACTTTTTATAATATGAGACATCTGAGCCACATATGCCAGTGGATTTGATAGCAATTTGTAGTTCACCAAAGCCAGGCGCCTCGATACTTCTGACTTCCTATCGAATTAGGTTAATTCACTTCCAAATTACAGTAATAGGGACAACTTACTAATCGCAAATCTCGAGGCCCGTGCAAGACGGATGCAGTGACCTTGTTTGAGTGTTTTGAATAAACGGGTAACTGCATTGGCGCTACATCATCCATTGCGGAGGGCGCCATTGTCAAATAACTGCTAGTAGCGTGGGATGAAGTGGGATATGGGCTCAGGTTAGAACTAATTAAGAGCCTCTTAGACGTTTTGGACTATGAGGCACGGGATTGAAGCGTGGAGAAGAGTAGCAAATTTGGGGGTAAGTGAACAGGGGAGCTTGAGCTCGAGAGGGTAGATAGTCTAGGCAGCTCGTGGGATGATATGAAAACTCGAAGAAGCCAACTCAAGCCAAGCCGGCGTATTTTGATTCTCTTGATAAAGAAAATCCGGGTATAAGTGGTAAGAATTCGTGATCAATATGTCAGCGAGTCTGACCTCAAGAATTGCGAGGACCCCCACTCCCTTATGTATTGATGTATGGGGAAACACCGTAATAAGCTACTTGCGTACATCTATGTTAATTATCGTTAGGATAGATCCTGGCGTCAGAGTAAAAGCCAAGGTCTTGCAAGGCATTGTCTGAATTTTTCCAGACCCAGTCAAACGTCAACAAGCTATCTCAAAAAGCATAGAGCGGACTTCAATCTCGGGAAATCATATGCAAGAAGCTAGCAATGATGCGACTATATCAAGTTCGGTAACGAGATCCCTGATGGCGCCTCGCGTAAGGGTGTGGTGTAGTCGTAGACATGCATTCTTGCATATCCCGTACCTATACATCCAATACCAACTATACTTGCAGACAAGGCTGGCAAGCTAGGACGTGGCATCACGTATGTATGGAATCGCAATTTACGGCACATGGTTGCACTTCACTTCGCGCCAACCATCAACCTTCTCCTGGTTCTCGGCGTATGTAGAGAAGTAGCTGAGATGCCCCACTGAGATGGTAGTATACATATAGTATGCATAGCTATGGCTCCGTGAAAAACTGGATATTGTAATCTGTCTTTCTTAGGTGGGTGTGTAGTATGCCTGGGTAAGTATCGATACCATCTAGTATCAGGTACATATTCTAGGAAGTGAAAAGCGGCTCTCGATGCGGCGAATTCGGAAGTGTCTCCTGGGCGCGGCATTGGGCCGAGATTGAATCAGTACTGGCTTCGGATCAGAGACTGAACATTCCTTAGATAGGACTCGAGGAGGGCTAGCGGGATCGATTACAACTCCGCTAACACTGCGCCAGGGGAGGCTAGACTGGTTCTGGAGAGACTGACTAGTATTGACCAAAAGAGACGGGAGGTATTTCGCCGTTATTCTGATATTAAAAATTCATGAGATAATTGGATTAAAAGATTTGGGGGAAGACCCTGAAATCCTGGGATATGGAGCTAGTCAGTTAGTCCAATAGTGTACGGCATACAAACAAGGATATATGATTTCCAAACATACGGGACCGTCCCTCGGTCCATGTCCATGCAATCGACCAGAATAGGTGTCTTACAGCATGTCAGAGTGAAAGTGGTGAGGGTAAAAGAAGATGTAGGGAATGAAAATGGAATTCAAAAGCGGAGCTTAGATTTCCTAATGGGGACATCCTCGAAGCTTTGAGTATGCATTGCGCCTCCTTAGGCAAACTGAGATACTTTGACCACCATGTACCTTCCAATACCAATACCTATGTACCTATACGTCTCAGATGTACATGTAGCTTAATGATCCCGGAACTTACCACATATATAGGAAGGAACGTCGTCCCAAGAACCGTCAAGAAGGTAAAAACGTCGTTGTTGCCATCCAATGATCTTTAACTTGCTTGGTGGAACGTGGTGGAACATCACTACCACTTAAATCATTACCTACCACTTAAGTTAGATGTTCTATCCGTTCCCAACTTGTCTTCTACTACCACCTAAGAACCGACAACTTCCTATCGCATTATGAATGTCGTCAATAGGACTTGAATTATCCATTCGACTAAAGGATCGACTTTTAAGGGCCTAGACTTCTCTTCTTAGGTCCGTTAGGAACTATTAGCCTAGAAGCACGCTGTCATGCTATGGGCTCGTCTATGCGATACTTCCCCAAGGATCTATTTTGCCGCTACCCCCGGGCCTGCAGCGAGATGCTCGCACATGGCAGCAGGGACAACGACAAACGAGCGCAACGAAAGGGGTTTCCCTTGTCTATAGTACTGCGTAGCAAGTCTTGGACATTGCGTATCAACTACGTAGGCTACCTAGGGTCAAACTACATGCTTGAGCGAAGTGGGCTAGATTTTGTCCATTGCGCCATTATAGCCTGACTACGATGCGCTTACACAAGTTGGTTAATACTCATGTTCGACCTATCAGAACTTGCAGTTCCATGCCGTGTGCCTGAGTGTCGTCAACTTGTTTTGGCACTGACACGGCATGAGTATAGTATGCTCCCTACCTAAGCCGCATATTGCAACTCTCTCGTACCACAGGAAACACGACATCATTTTTCACATGTTCCATCGGGTTTCTGCAGAACTACGACATGCAATAAGAAAAAGATGAAAAAGCACTGCTAGCGTCGGCATTCTCTTGATGGAGAGAAGGTACAGAAGCCCCTCACGTCCCATTGGGAGTCAGCCCCAGGAAACACCATTATCGCAGCCGATTCGAAACTAGTTCGGAGCCGTGGCCGGTATTCCTGCACCCAAGTGGTGATCAACTGCTGGGGCCATGCCGTGTTACTGTGACTCGGTTTTGCGCAGATCTGTCTGTCCATTGACGGAATTCTGGGCGCGCCTCTATACAACCAATTGAGCTTTATCGACAGTCGTTTCGGAAGCCGGAATGCTTTTCCCTTTACTACATACGGTATCATGCAGTTAGTATCTTATCATATTTTGCCAATCTTCGACAGATACCTAGGTGATGGAATGGTCCCTTTGCCCCAATTGACTGTTTTGAGGGGTTCCGTCCCGCTGGACAGAATTGGAGAAATTGGAGATCATACATCCAGCTCCTTCACAATGAGCGGGTGGGTAAAGTATTCTAAGATTGGTCTAGGCCGTCTTTTGTTACTTTGTTTACCCTGTTTTCCGAAGAAGCTAGGCATTATACAAGCTATCTTATTACTCCGTAAATGGATCTCCAAGATCCATGAGGCTGCACACATGCAACGCAACGGGGCTCTCGGGAGCAATTTCGGCGGTAGGGTTGAATAAGCTTCTCTACGTCAAGTTGTAAGGCAACTAACAGGCTTAGGACCTGCTCGGAACTGCAAGCCTGCCTTCTCCATACACCATTATCCAACAGAAAGGACGCCGTGAAACGCCCGTACGCCACGTCGACCGATCTCGCTGAGGCTGTGATAGGTTGTCGCGCAGCTAAGTTTTGTGCTCAAAATGGCTCTTCAATGGTGAAGTTTATTTACCCTGGTCCTACTGATAATAGTCTATTTTGCTCCGGAGCATTTCAAGCTAGGTACATGCTGATAAAGCAATGGTTAAGGTTGATACAACCCCAGTCTCCCAGCCAAAGGATTGCTATAGCTACCTAGGTAGTATACAACATGGATGTTATACAGAGTTACGTCTTACCCACAAGACCGGGTTGGCACTACTTAACTCCCCGATATTGGCCATATCGACTACTTAAATACGATGATGTCGAACTACCGACGTTAAGGTCCATGGTAGGTTACCCAGCATTAGCGGGCTACAAACCTATCATGCATGTTCTCGCACACCTCTCTAGCCCTTGGTGCTTATCTTGACATACCTGTAGTTATTTTTATCCTGCTTATATCTCTATCGGCGGTTTCATACTACATTTGTGTCGTATTACATGAATGATGCGAGCATGTCTGCTATGACGCTTAGCAAGCGTTCACTCCAAGCGGGAGGTTGACAGCATCGCAAGCTAGCAAATTTCGGGCCGGCTAAAGACCTTAATGCGTAGTAAATCAGCCACCTCATCGATCGAATGGCAACATTTGGATCGTGAATATACTTGTATCTTAAGGATAACGCTATAGCACCATGGCTCCGACGACATCTTAATGAAGTAGCAACGAAGCCGATAAAAGCAAACGATATACCACAGTACCAGTAGCATGGGCATGCATGTACGCGTACATAAGTATGTATGCGCTAATAGTCCAAAGAGGTGTTGCATATGGCCCTAGGTATACTCTATACGTTATTGGTATCCCAAACGTATCTAGGGTGGAAAGTGTATGCAGACATGTGAAGCATATCTGCACCTTGTTGGGTATTGGTATAGCCGGAAGTATGTGACTACGCATATTCATCATCGCTACTTAGTATGGCGTCCATTTATGAGTTGCGCTCTGAATATGGAAATGCTGCTGCTGCCGGGGCCTCTGCGTTTCCATATTCCCATATGTATTTCCCTGGAGGTAGTTTTACGCACTACCTACCCCCAACTTAACCCCACGATCAACATATCGAGACTGCCGGCAGGTTATGGAAATCATGATCGGCTCAGCTTCGTCACTTTCGGTGCCAACCCATATGCAATAGTGTTCACGTTCGGCTGAGGAGACAAAAACAGTTAGGTCTGACGATATATCCACGAATATAGATTGTAGATTGTAGAACTTAACATATCGGATCGATGCTCTTCAACCTAAAGGTTAGTCTGCATAGCAAATGTGTTGTTATGCATGCATGTCTAGCTTATGTAGCTCTCCTACACGGTTCCAAATCGAAGCAAGAAGAAGACGATGATCCGAGCTCTCGAGGGCAGCGGGGGTACGACGATACTATATACTGCATCCCCATGTGGCTACCCGATGACGCCATACATAAATTTCACCTGGAGAGGGTAAGAATACGAAGGGGATAGTCGTGCCGGCACATAATTATATTGATCTTGCTAGGCTTACACGAGGATTGATTGGTGGTGAATCGACAAAAACATCTTTGCCACCTTATAGTTCCATATTGGTGTAACGAAGCTGCAAATATACGCACTATATAGAAAATACCGGTTGCCCAGAGAGATCTGACGAGCGAACGGCCGCATGAAATAGGCTAACTGCGAGCGCCGTATCTTGCATGGTCCATACTACCGTAGTGCAGCTGGGCGCCGCAGATACCGTCGCACCGAAACGGTAGCCAAGCAAGCTTTCTACGTCCGGTCGTACTCGAAAAAAGAATCCTACTTTCGGGGTGACACCAAAGCGTCGTAAGGGTTTGCTGCTCCTTACCAGGTACCTAACATATCTGATCTGTAATTTTCAGGGTCACGGCGCGAGGGGAGAGACCAACTAGCCAAGGGGAGCCAAGCAAGGAAGCATGCAAGCAAGCAAGCTACGCTTCTGATTTCATTGAACGCCAGGGAAGAAAAAAAAAACTGGTCTGGGATCAAGGGTTGTGGGAGGAGAACATCCCACGTACATACATGCAATGACTACATAGGTATACGACGACAAAAGGGTTTCTTCGTTGCGGTGAGGAGAAAAGGGGATAGTTCCGGCTCTTATTAGCGAGCCGCAATCCCCGATAAGTCAGTTTCGTTTGTGCCAACAACGTCTTAGAATGTGCTCGTTGCCAACCGGCTCGCAGCATTTCTGGCGTCCACGCGGTCCTCGTCATCCTCCTCCGTAAGGCCGGCCAAGCTCGGGTTGATAGTAGTGCCGCCGAGCGCCTTGGACCTCGGGTGCTGCGCGTTTTCTCCGTCGTCGTCCTCGGCTACGTTGGATATGAAGCTACCCGACATACTCCTACTGTCCGTGCGCCGGGGCACGCCGCTCCAGGAGTCGCCCTTGGGTCCCTGGCTTGCTGCAAGGCTGGCGCGGCGGATTGTTGGGTGGGCCTCGCGCCCTAGTCTGCTAAGGCCGCCCGAGGCGTCGATGGCTCTGATATCGGGCCGAACGCTTTCTAGGAGCGCGAGGGTGCGCCGCTCCGCCTCGATCTCGCGAGTCACGAACTCGCGGATGCTCAGGCGCAGATCCGCGGCGGTTCTCGCGAACCACTTACGGCGCTCCTGCACTAGCGTTTGCGTTACCCTTGACGTCTTCCGCGCTAGCTCTAGCTCGACATTTCTCGCTTCATCTAAAGCGGCGATGGCCTCGTCTACCTTCTCTCGTCGCACGGTGGAGTTGGCTCTTAGCCTGTCCGCAGCGTTAAGCTTGGTCCTCGTGGTCTCCTGAGCTCGTACGAATTCGCGAATGAGCAGTTGCCTGTTCGTCAGCGTTTCCTTGACGATGAATGCATCCTGCGAGTGATACTGAAACGGGTCGCTAAGGGTCGTTGCTTCGGCAGTCGCCTGGGCTGCATGATAGTCACCCACTGTCTGTACGATCTTGCCGAGTTTCCGATATGCGTTTGCTAGGCCTTGATGCGGTTCTTGAATGTGCATTGCGCCAATTTTGACGCCGAAATCGGACTCTGATAATCCTAGGCCTAATTGCCATGTTAGCTACTGATAGCCTCGTAGAAAAGAGCAGACGTACCTCTACGGGACTTGACGAGTTTATCAACCTTATGCCCCGCATCCATCGAGCCTAGATAGAATAACTTCACTATTGGTCGTGCCTCTGCTAGCTCCGGTGTGTCGTCGGGGGGTGGTGCGAATTGCTTCAATACTTTCCTCCGCATACCCGTTGCTGGCTGCTTCTTCTTGACCATGGGACTATACCCAAAATCACTTTCCACAAATAAAACCATTTCAGCATCTCTCATAAGAACCTCATTGCTACACACGTAGTTGAACCATCTCTGCATGAGGGCTTTTACCCTCGACTCGTCTTCATCGGTTCCGGCGCCTGCCGATGTAACCGAAGGCGGCACAGCCGGGACGAAGGCATCGGGATTGGCAGATATGAGGTGTTCGGCGAGTTTAACAAACTCGGAATGTAAACGGCGGACATCGCGGAATTGAGTAGTTCGGAACTGGGGGATATTTGTCTAGAAAAAATTAGTGTTTAAGGCGCAAACCCTCATCACGTCGAAACTCACATGTACGTCGAATCTCAAGATGGGATCTTTGCGACCCGTGCGTTCCAACCCTGTGATCTTTGCTTGCAACTTGTCCTGAGGACCTCTTGACCTTCCTTGTTGTCGCTGCGATTTCGGCGGCGTGCTTGGTTGAGGTTGATGTTGAGGTTGAGGTTGAGGCTGAGATTGCTTCGCGTCGGCTTCGGTAGGCTGTTCCTGTTGTCCTTCTGAAGGTGCTGATTGTTCTGAGGGATCATATGCTGATGTAGAAGCCGTGCTACTGGCAGTATCTGGCCGTCTGAAAGCGTTAACACCTAGGTCATCGTGCGCGAATCCATTGCTTGAGTCGTTGGCTGTATATTGATACGGTAAAGACGGCGATGGTTCATTGCCTATAGGGCTGTAGGTAGATTCGTTGCGGCGCGGTGAGGCCGCGGGCGACGAGGATCCCCAAGGAGAAGCGCCCGCGGGATGCTCATCATCGGCTATCGTAGAACGGTAATCCATTGCGTCCTGAAAAAAGAGTGGCGGTTGGAGGGAAAGTTTGGTGGAAGTTGATAGGTCCAGCAGGAGAATGGGATAGATTTAGATAAGGGGTCGCATTCCACAAAATCCACTGAACGACAATGTGTTGATTGTAATAACTAGGATTTGCAGGTCTAAAACTGCAACTTCAATACTCGAGTTAGTTCATCAAGACTAGCTGAGAGCAAGAAATGTCTTAGAAGCTAGGATAATGAAGTCGAATATGGGCCGTCTTTACAAGTAGAACTAAAATCATCATCGGTGGGGAATCCTGCCTGCCATCTACGTTAGTTAGGTACTTTGCTATGTACATGTATGCACCTACCCTAAAATGTAGCTGTGTACGAAGTACAGTGTATGGTCCGTGCGCCATCAGCTGTTGCACGTTATAGCGCAGTCCCTTGCTTTAGGTAGGTACTAGCATAACACTAGCCATTTCTACTTTGTTGGTCTGTGCACTTTATGTATATTGAATTGCAATGCTTTTTGCAAGAGAATTATATGATAGGTATTTTTCTTCTTAACTTCTCCAACTCTTATGTAGCAAAGGTTAATTGCAACTACAGGAAGCTACACGAGCCGAATAGCTTATAGAAAACTGAGTCTATCTATCCATTGCCAGTTTTCGGTAGTTTACCTAGTAATGAACCTAGCATTTGCTTATTGGAATCTGCGGGTATGAGCTTACTCGCACTCACGTGCCGAGCTCCCCTGAGGTGCTCTCAGTTGGCTATATTCTCGTCCACGTACTTAAGGCGCTATGAAAGCACACGCTTCAGTATCAGACGGCTCTCGAGTCATACAGCTACTCCTCGGGATACTGGCATCGAATATGTCCGAAATATAGGTATCATTGCCCACGTCGATGCAGTATGTTTCTTATGGATATAAGTATTATCTTATAAACCGTCATACTCACGACTCTATAGGGGAAAACAACTACTACAGAGCAAATGCTCTATAACTGTGGTGCTTTAAAACGTGCAGGGAGTAAGTTATTTGCCATGTACAATCTATGTCTAAGTGCCCTTGAAGAAAGGAGAAATAAGTAGACCTTCGTCCTGACATATTATGACTGATGCATGCCCTAGACGTTGATCAGGGAGACACTGTGACCGATTTCTTGCCAATGGAGAGACAGAGAGGAATTACAATCCAGTCTGCTGCCATTACTTTCAACTGGCCGCTAAAAGAACGCCTAAACCAGGATGGCCGGCAATATATTATCAACCTGATTGATACCCCTGGCCATGTGGATTTTAGATTTGAAGTCGAGCGCTGCATACCCGTTCTCGATGGGGCCGTATGCGTTATTGACGGAGTCGAAGGCGTTGAGGCACACACAGAGAGAGTCTGGTCATCCGCTCAGGAATTTAAAGTGCCTCGAATTGTCTTCGTTAATAAACTCGACCGCGATGGTGCCTCCTTTAAAAAGTCCGTGCAAGACATCGGGCTAAAACTCAACGGCATGCCATTGGTCTGTCAGATACCCTGGTGGCAAAATGATACTATAAGAGGCGTAGTAGATGTAATCAGTCGTTCTGTTGTCAGTTGGATGGGAACCAAAGATGCCCCTGAAGAATTGTCAAGAAAACTACCCGAGGGCACAATCAAGGATGAGATCGAACGCGCACGGGAGCGGATGATCGAACAACTTTGCGAGAAAGACGACGAGCTAATGGAATTGTGGATTGCTCGCGGAAATGACCTGCCTGACGCAGCTATCAAAGAGAGTATTCGCCGTGTTGTTAGTACCGGTGATGGATCTCTAATACCCGTCTTTGCAGGATCTAGTTTGAAAAATATCGGTGTTGCCGCTCTGCTCGATGCTGTCACAGACTATCTACCTAGTCCTTCGGATCGTCCCGAGCTCGAAGTCCGGGTAGGTCGAACATATCAACCCCTTAGCCATGTCATTCAAGCACCGAAGCCCTCCAAAAAGCCTCCGCCGCGCCTCGAAGCATTGGCGTCGGTTTTCAAAGTAGTTAACGATCCTCGTCGAGGAATGCTCACATTTGTGCGCGTTTACTACGGGGTTCTCAAGAAAAACACCCGCATGTGGAATGCTAATCTCCAGCAATTCGAAGGCTCTCTCAACATGATGCAAATATCGGCAGGGAAGACTATCGAGATACCTCACCTAGCTCCGGGGCAAATAGGTGCAATCACGGGCCTGAAGGCCGCGAGGACGGGAGACACCTTGCTTACTTTTAATTCAAATTCAGCGCCACAGACAGAAGTTGGTACTATACAAGTACGACCGCCTGAAATACCTCCCGCTGTGGCTTTTATTGTTCTCGATGCGTACAATCCGACTGGTGCAAAGGCTCTCGAGACGGCCTTGGAAAATCTCTCTAGGGAAGACCCGAGTCTACGGTGGTCCAAAGACGAAAAAACAGAGCAATATACGCTCTCTGGGATGGGTACACTTCACTTGGAGGTTGCCCGTGATCGTCTGGAGAACCATTATAAAGCCGAGGCTTACTGGGGTGAAATCTCCGTTGACTACAAAGAGTGTTTAACCGCGCCAACGGCCCCTCATCAAGCCGTTTTCGATGGGGTGGTAGCAGGCAAATCTGGTAAGGCGGCATGTTCCGTAGTAATCGAGCCTCTCCAAGAGGACCATAACGATACGTTATTAGGGACCTGCTTCGAGCGAGACGGCAACATGATTCAGGTCGTGTTTCCAAAGGAAGGCGTCGTACCTAACATCGAGGAAACAAGACAACATCTTACGAATGGTGTAATAGCAGCACTTGCGAGAGGTCCTCGCCGCAATTCACCAATGCATCAGTGCCTTGTTACAGTCACGTACGATCCTTCGATCAACTCCAGCTCAACTCCAGGCTCGCACCTGGTCGGTGCAGCAAATAAAGCAGTAAGATCAGCCCTTAAAGAAGCGCACCAGCAAGGCATGATTGGCATCCTCGAGCCAGTTATGAGGGTTACAATCGTCTGCCCCGAAGTGTCAGCAGGTGCCGTTCAGCACGACATACACACAGGTCGCGGGGGGCACGTCCTCGAGGTCAGGGATATGCAAGAAACGCAAGCTCAAGAAGGCGACATTGTCAACGTATCCAATATCTACGCACCGCCAGACCCATACGAATTCCAAACGACGCTTCGGGAGACGCGGAAAGGCCGCCTGCGTATGCTGGAGATTACGGCTCGGGTACCGTTTGTGGAGATGCTCGACTACGATACCCAGCTGAGGGGAAAGACGCAGGGACGGCATACCTTGACGATGGCCCTGGAGACTTTCGAAAAGGTTACTGGTCCGAGAGAAAGGGCCCTCTAGTCCGTCTCGGTTGGGTGCCTTGCGTAGGCCTTCCTTATTATCAAGGAGACGCAGTTCAATATCCTAGTTAGGCAGTCTTAGCTATGGAAATAATGTACAGTTACTACCGTTACATATGTTATGGATGATGCTATGATTCGGGTTGGGAATTAAGGGACGGGAACTAGCTATATTGTTACAAACAGGATTCAAAATACGATGTCGCGCGCGCTATAACAGCCTTAAGTCAAAGAAGATAATTGGAATGCCTGGCTATCGGCATCCCGACCTCGGGCACCTGCTTCTACACCGGTCCAAATAGCCGACATGGCTTATTTAGGTACTTTCTGAAACATCTATGGCTTTTATGCTGGGCCTGTCACGATAGGAAGTTGAATAACACATGTTAATCCTGTAACGATGTCTTTGTTGTTGGTACTCGGTGTGTGGCTTAGAACCTTGCTCGGCGGCTATGGTTTATTCTGGCCGTGAACTCGGTCGCAAGTTTATGCAATCATTGGAGAACTGTTGGAACATTTCGGAAGGCTTCGTCGGAGCCCTCTCAATTCCAAGACATAAATTCCTGCCGAGCCATAGAAAGACTTGTGTAAAAACTGCCTTGCCTTAGTACTTGCCTACCTGCATATTACATGTCATGTATCACACCTCGCGGCCAATCGCTCAATCAACGGGATGGAGGCTAATAGGTGAGGCTCGCAGACTTTCTGATATACTTTTTTGATTAACTGCGCATCATATACTACATACGGACTTACGCAGGAGCCAACCTATCAATGAGCCTGTTGTCTCAATATGGTCGAATCGTTCCGTTTGCAAATGGGCGAGATGTAGTACAACAGCCACCCAATGTTTGGCCAACACGTTAAGTCAACTTTGGTTCAGAAGTCGACAAGGCAACAGCTTTGGAAACGAAGCGGGCTATGAGACCCCCGAGCTTCCTATCTATATATTTGGCCATATATCCAAGCACTCCCGTAGGTAATTTTGACTTGCTTGATATTTCATTCATTATCCCGAAGCATGTCACAAACCTCGACAAACTTCAACTTCGTCAGTTATTCTCTACATTAAATCCACGACAAAGATCCCTCAACATGGGCAGTACTACGGAATGGACCGTACTGGAAGATCAGCCAAACCCTGGCAACCATACCATCTTGACCAAGGTGGACAAACTGCGCGAGCTTATTGGAACAAAGGTCGCCTTGCCTCAGGTAAGTTAGTTGAGAGCTCACCGACGAAGAAGTTGATAGACTGGTACTGATAATTCCTAGCTCGTAGTCGTGGGTGATCAATCATCTGGAAAGAGTTCGGTTCTTGAAGGCTTGACAGGTTTCGGGTTCCCTCGAGATGCAGAGCTCTGTACGCGCTACGCAACTCAGATAACTTGTCGCCGTGAGAATGTAGAAAGCATAGATGTTTCTATCATACCTCACGCCGATTCCCCTACCTATGAGCAGGAACGTGTCAAGAAGTTCCATCGTACCCTAAAAGAGATGACACCTGAAAGCCTTGCCGACCTGTTTAAAGAGGTCAGTGACTGACATAATTAGAACTTATCCATATTTACTAACGGAAACCTTCAGGCAAACGAGGCTATGGGAATAAGAAGCTCTACAAAGTCTACGTTGTCGGACGGTTCCATTCTTCCAGCATTTAGCGAGCACATCCTCAAGATCGAGAAGCTTGGTCCTAATGTAAGTTCCGCGACATAGTACGACACTTTTGTTGGAGGTAAATGGGCTAATAAGGTACTATAGGAAGAGCACTTTACAGTCATTGATGTTCCTGGAATTTTCCGCAAGGAGACTGAGGGTGAGGATCCATTGTGACTCAATATACTAGGAGGTAGCCATACGAACAGAGGACTGACAAGAGATATTCAGGCGTCACCACCGAGGACGACATAGCACTTGTCATGAACATGGTAAAGAATTACAGTATGTCGTATCCATCTCCTTCACAATCCAATACCTATGCCATAGTTTACTAACTTAGATCTATAGTGAAGGACACCAGAACTATGTAAGCTACAACACGCATTATGATAGCGGCTCTTGACTGATATGATCGTCACTTTTTAGTATACTAGCAATCATGCCTAGCAATGTCGACCCTGCGACCCAAGAAATCTTGAAGTTAGCCAAGAAGGCCGACCCTTCAATGACCCGGACCATGGCGGTTCTAACGAAACCAGACCTGGCAATCGAGCGTACAACGCAGAATATCGCCATTGATCATGTCCTAGGCAAAAGGAGCGATCTCTCGCTTGGATATTACATTGTCAAGAATCGTGGGCCTGATGATTCTGATATGACCCTCGAACAAGGCCAAGCCGATGAGAAGAGGTTCTTTTCGCAAGGTCCTTGGGCAGCTCTTCGAGGCACCGGAAAAGCCGGAATAACGGCGCTTAGGGAGCGTGTTCGTGAACTTCTCATTGACCTTATTAAGAAGGAATTTCCAAAACTCAAAGCGGAAGTCGCCAGGGAATTGACAAGATTGAGAGCACTGTTGAGTGACATGGGACAATCGAGAAGTAATCAACATTCGCAGAGGGAGTACCTGAACAGGATCAGCGAGGCATTCCAAGCACTGGCTCGAGATGCCCTCGATGCATATTACACCGGGAACACGATATTTGAGGAAAGGCACGATCTCAGGCTGATTACTCGCATCGTTGAAGCAATTGAGAATTACTCGGACGACATGGCAACTAATGGGCATACTAGACCCTTTGCCTCTAATTTTACATCCGACGAAGACGATACCGAGACACTATTCACACCGACTAGTAAGAACCGCTCTAACAAGGTCCCAGAGCCTGAAGATGGCACCTACCCCGAACTCGAAGAGATATTCGACACCTTGGACACTGTCATGCCTGATACCAGTGGCCAAGAGGACATTATGGATTATATTTCAGGTGTTTACAGGGATAGCCGTGGGCTGGACCTCGGAATAGTAAGTTAGACGCAACACTTCGAAGATTTTAGCATACTTACACTCTAAATAGGCCGGTGGTCCACTTACATCAACTATGTTCAAGGAGCAGTCTAAGAAATGGAAGCCCATTACGTTAGATTATATGAGCCGAGTTATTTGGGCTGTTCACCATTTTATTGTCCAGGCTCTCGAAGCTACTTGCCCTGACGAACGTGTACGTGAAGAGCTCTGGAGCGGATATCTACTCGAAGAGCTTCAAAAGTCTTACCGCGGAGCCATGGACAAAGCAAAAGAACTACTTAGTATCGAACGTGAAGGCATCCCGCTAACCCTAAACCATTATTTTAACGATAATCTCCAAAAAGCCCAGAGCGGTCGCTTAGTCTCGCATATAGAGAAACTAGGAACAGAGGGAGACATGGGGACGCCGGATGCCAATGGCACTATCATTAAATCGGAGCCAGGAATACACTTGACCTGGGCACAGTTGAAGAATCTTTCGTTCAATATGGCGAACTCGCAGTACGTTCAGGAATACATGCATGACCTGCTCAAGAGTTACTACAAGCTTTCCCGCAAACGGTTCGTCGATGTGGTTTGCCAGCAAGCAATCAACCACCACTTGCTGCGAGGCGAAGGTAACCCTCTCCAGATCTTTAGCACCCGAATGGTGCTGAACCTTAACGAAGACCAGTTGGATATGATTGCAGCGGAAGACGCGCCTGTCAAAGTACGCAGAGCAAAGCTGGGGCATGACATTGAGCAGTTCGAGCAAGCCTTGAAGGTGCTGAAAGGCACAGATTAAAGCAAGTCGAGGATGGATTGTAAGTTGAAGGATATATGATATGTTAGATGCACCGCTGGTTTGTTATGACGTTCTGGTTGGCTTGGATAATCTATATCCTAGGATAGAAACGCTATAACTACAGTCTGCTATGGAAGTTGTTTGGGTAACTAAGGCAATAAATTCAGTGTCTTGTTGATTTCTATAACGTACGTAAAATTATGCTATAGTGACTTCATCTGATCGTCCTTAAAACTATGATCCCAATAAGCTGACAACATAGCTGCTAAATACCTGGTTAACCTACCATATCTACCTAGTCTTCGAGCGAGCTAAGGACTTGTGGAATTATAATCGTTTCCTACGGGAGCACGGTATTTTTAAGATAAGCTAAGTACAATGGCTACGAGTCCTAAATATGGAAAGCTTTAGGTATATTATGTATCTAGTCAGCTGCTTGGTATCTACTTCAATGGTGATATGAAGGTATGTATTCAGGGGGGGGGGGGGGGGGGATTAAGAAGAATCTTAGTGCTTAACTGTATAACAACTACCTTATTACATTAATAGATTCTATGCAACAATGGGCTGAATGGATCAACCGAGGGGCTTAAAAGTTTTGGGGGGGCAGATAAGAGATAGTGGGGTACCAACTAAGCTTTCTCAGACGTCTGTTTTTGCTGAAGAGCTTCAACTTCAAAACTTTCAACATTCGCCTACAATAGTTCACGATAGCTCTCAATTCGAACAGCTTTCGCGAACAAGTAAAAATGGGGCGCAAAAAGTTTCGGGTAAATATTAACTTAAATAATATCTAGTATTTGCATTAATGAGTCTAACCATTCACTACAGGGTGGTCGCAAAGGCGGTTCCAATCGCGCTCCTCGCGGCGACGGTCCCGCGCCGTATCGATCATATAACGAGATCGTGAAGGAGAACACAAACCTGGAAAAGTATTACAACAGCGCACTCCCCCTCGAAGATGAAGAAAGATCCGAGTTTTGGGAAGCATTGAAAAGGGAGCTGCCTAATTCATTCCGTTTCTGCGGATCTAAAGGCCACGCGCTTGCGGTTAAGCGACTTTTAGAAACAAGATATATACCTGAGATTGTTAAGATCGAACGCTACGACGGCGAACCCGTACAGCCCCCTCAACCAGTCCCTTGGTACCCCGACCAGCTTGCCTACTCTATGAATACCCCAAAGCATGTCATTCGCAAGTTTCCTCCCTTTGCCGCCTTCCAGAAATTCCTAGTTTCCGAAACCACCGTTGGCAACATCAGCCGACAGGAGGTTGTCAGTATGATCCCACCTCTACTGATGGACCTCAAGCCTGGGATGACTGTTCTGGATCTCTGCGCAGCGCCTGGAAGCAAGGCTGCCCAGCTACTTGAGATGGTTCACACTGGAGAGGAGACAAGAATTCGAAAGCTCACGCAGTTACTTGCTGAGGGTAAGAACCAATTTAGTTCCACGGACCCTGACCTCAAAGTGGATGCTGGCGACGATGGTCGCGCAACTGGACTACTTATCGCCAATGATGCGGATTATAAGAGGAGCCACATGCTTGTCCACCAACTCAAGCGACTTTCTTCTCCGAATCTTCTCGTTACTAACCACGACGCAACCCTTTACCCAGCTATCAAGCTACCGCCACACCCAAACGACCCGAAGAAGGGACAGTACCTAAAATTTGACAGGATACTTGCGGACGTGCCCTGTTCGGGTGACGGAACTCTGAGGAAGAACGTTAACTTGTGGAAGGATTGGCAACCGGGAAACGCGTTGGGACTTCATCTTACTCAAGTTCGGATTTTGGTTCGTGCCCTCCAGATGTTAAAAGTTGGCGGTAGGGTCGTATATTCGACGTGCAGCATGAACCCTGTTGAAAATGAGGCGGTTATCGTTTCCGCGATTGAGCGCTGTGGCGGTCCTAGCAATATTGGAATCGTCGACTGTAAAAATGAACTTCCTCTACTGAAGCGAAGCCCGGGAATGCATCAATGGCAAATTATGGACAAGTCTGGTCGCGTTTGGAACAGCTGGGAAGAAGTCCAACAGCACGTCCTGACAACGGAGGGGCAAATACCCGGAAAGCTTTCGGAAACCATGTTCCCCAGGCCAGATACCAGCGAATGTTCCGCCCTAGAACTGGACCGTTGCATGCGAGTGTACGCTCACCAACAGGATACTGGTGGTTTCTTCATCACAGTACTAGAAAAAAAGAACGAATTTAAAGCTAAGCCAGAGGCTCGAACTCGGGCTCCCACCAATACTACCAGCTCTAATGACACTGATAAAGCAGAAACGGAGACTAAGATAGAGATAGAAGAAGAGAAGGCCGCTTTGGGTGAGCCGACTGATGTACTACCGACCATTGGAGCCAAGAGGCTTTTAGATGATGAGGAGGCGGAGACAAACCCAGACGCCAAGAAACAAAAGACCGCCTCGCCTCCTAGCGAGAAGCTTGAAGCCCAAACTGAAATTGTTACTGAAACAGAGCAAGTACTTTCAGAATCTAAGACAGAAGAAGCCAAGCCAGAGCCTGAAGCCGCTCCTCAAAACAATGTCCAACCCGACCGAAAAGTCAAGCCATCCGATGGCAATTACGAAGAACCGTTCAAGTACTTGCCGCCGGACCACCACGTCATCCAGGATATTAAAAAATTCTACAAAGTGTCGCCACGCTTTCCTTCAGATCGATTTATGGTACGAAATGCTACAGGTGAACCAGCAAAGGCTATCTACTACACGAGTGCGCTCCTTAAGGATATCCTATCTGAAAACGAAGGTCGTGGGGTTAAGTTCGTGCATGGAGGTGTTAAGATGTTCATGAAGCAGGATGCCCCGTCTGCCGAGGTTTGCAGATGGCGAATACAATCAGAGGGTATGCCTATCATTCAAGGCTACGTCGGCCCGGAGCGCGTCGTCCGCCTGACAAACAAGGAGACTTTCCGTAGGCTTCTAAAGGAGATGTTCCCTAAATTTATCGATGACGACTGGAAGAAACTCAACGAGATTGGTGAGAGGGCTAAAGAGATTGGTATGGGCTGTTGTATCCTTATCGTCGAGCCGGATGGAAGCGATCCGGATTTCTCGGAGCGCATGGTACTGCCATTATGGAAGAGCTTCCATTCGTTGAACCTAATGCTGCCGAAGGAGGACAGATCTGCAATGCTTCTCCGCATCTTCAATGACACTTCGCCGGTTATCAACCGAACGTTGAAGGAGTCGGCCAAGAAGGAGGACGCTGCTGAGGCGGATGGTGAGATCAAGAACGATCAGACCATGGAAGATGCCCCCACAGTCGAGGAAGCCAATGGCGAAAATGAGACGGCCGAGCAGCCTGATGAAAATAATGGTGACGAGGTAGCGGGAGACGTTGAAGTTGAGGCTAATTAAGAGATGGTTTATTACCCACCTAGAGATTTATCCATCGTGTTAAACGATTTAAATTTATCAGAAATGATACATCGAAGCTCAAGTTAGTCGATGAATTGCATAATACGAAGCTATGAATGAAACGCAGATTTGTGTCGAAAAAGGGAGGCTCATATTTTTGCTTGTTATGAAGTCCATAATCATACGAACAGTCACTCTATGTACATTATATACAACTTCGGGTTTAGCAGCATACAAATGTATAAAATGAAGTCATCAACGACCTCTGAGATCTAGACTACTCTGTTCATCACTCGTCTAGTAGTCCCACTGTCCAGTGTATAATTCTATCCACACCATGTCCGTGGATAGCACTTACAGGTATCGCAGCACAGTCTTCCACCCACGCGCCCTCAACTCCGCTAGGATGCGGCTCCTGCCCGTCGGTAACAGCATCTAGGTATTCTTTCAACCTGGCGTAGTTATCCTCGGTCCCTTGCAAATCGCCCTTCGTAGCAATTACAAACCACGGCTTCGCCGCAATATGCAGACCCCCTTCTTTACCGGCCTTCGGCTCCGGGAAATTCGCTACCATCAACTGCCCACCGAAACCCATCCCGCCGCGGGCGTTCGGGGAACTGCTACCGTCCCCCTCCCAGTCGATCCGCGCCGCGATCTCCCGCTCTTGCTCTTCGTCCTCGCGCATCCGCGCGTACAGGCCTACTTCCGTCCACAGCGCCTTGAGCGCTTCTACGGCGTCGCCGGCGCTTAGATCTACGACGAATGCTAGGACGCCTGCGCGCTCCACGTGGCGCAGGAACTCGACGCCGAGACCGCGGTCTAGATGCGCGCCTTCGATTAGACCTGGGATGTCGGCGACGGTGAACCGTGTTCGTGGTTCGGGCGTGTAGCCTGCCGGCGCGCCGAGCTGGTCGCGCTGCGAGATTACTACCGATCCGTACTTCGCGTCGTGGATTATGGAGTGGGGGGCTGGGGGTGAGGGTTTCGGGGGAGCGACGATGGGGCGTCCTTTGTGGTTGTCGAGGACGACGGTGCCGATGTTGGGCTGCAGCGTTGTGAAGGCCCAGTTGCCGACGCGGGCACGGCTGTTTGATAGGGCGCGCAGGAGCGTGCTCTTGCCGGCGTTGGGGAGACCGACTAGGCCGACGTCTGCGAGGAGCTTGAGTTCTAGCTCTAGCTGTAAGCTCACGGCGCGTTCGCCTTTGGTTGCGAAGAGGGGCCGTGGGCGGTCCTTGGATACGAAGTGCGGGTTTCCTAGACCCCCTATTCCGCCCGCGGCTAGCAGTATGGGCTGCGGCGTCGGCGTCGATAGGTCCAGATGTATGGGCCCTTCGGGTTGCACGTACAGGCGCTCGCGGCGCGGGAGGCGGGGAAGTGTTAGGGTCCGTCGCTCGGTATGTGATATCCCGGGGTATAGCAAGAATTTGTTTAGGTGAGGGTGTTCGGGAGCATCAGGCAGTTCGGCGCGAATGGCACCTTCCACATCTTCCGCCTCGGCAACAGCAGCTTCAGCTTCCCTTACCAGTCGCATATACTCGCGCTCTTTTTCTCTCGCCTCACGATACCTTGCGTTTTCCTCGATGAGCGGGTCTATACGGTTGAGCTCTCGGACCACCGTCCCCACCGGCACCTGGATGACGATATCGTCGCCGCGGGCGCCGCCTCGATTGCTTCCCTGCCCCGTCTTCCCCCTTCCCGCGCGCAAGACGCGGCGCCGCGCCAGCTTGTACAGGGAGGTCTCGCCGTGCACGGCCTGGATATACACGTTTCCGCCATGGCCGCCGTCGCCGCCGTTCGCGGGGCCGTTGTCCAGGTACGCCTCGCGCAAGAAGGAAATGCAGCCGTGACCGCCGCCGCCGGCGTGCACCGTGATGCGCGCCTTGTCCGCGAAGGCCGATATCGAGTAGTCGTCCGGCGCCGGGTTGAGGCGCGAGGACGGGAGGGCGTCGCTCGAGGTTGAGGGCTCGGTGCTACTCGAGGAGGAGGAGGAGGGAGTGGGGGAGCTAGATGAATACAGGGTTGTGGTCGTAATGCTCGCTCGGCCGATTATACGCGGGGAAGCGGATCGGAAGAGAGTCGGGTATAGGAATGGCAGGAATACGCCAGAGCCCGGCGAGCACCTAGGAGGCATCTTGGGTAATCGAATGAAGCTATATTGAATTCATAGTCGTCGTTGAATTTTTATTTTATTTTATTTTTACGAAGCTTGCTGCTCCCTTCAGCTTCCAACTGGTTGGTCCTTGGATAAAGGTCCTTGGATAAACCCGACCGAATCCTTCTCTCTTTGGCTCATTCTCCTCATTCTCCCCCAAAATGAAATTTTATCTAATACCTAGCGATTAAAGGTGGCGCGTTGTCGATAAGATAAGACTAGCGTTTCGGTTTAAGCTAAGTTTTAGCTTTAATGCCGGCTGCCGGCTTCGGCTAAAGGTGTGGTGGCAGGTCACATGGTCGCCCACGGGACATCTTTTCCGGAATGGGGATGGGGGAAAGGCGGGATGTGGACGGGACCCAACCTCACACGACAGCGCAACACGCACAAAAAAAAAAAAACCAACCTAGGTAAAAAACCAACACATATACACAAATGTATATGTATAAGTGCGAAATCACCAGAACAACATCCAATCGAGGAGATTTTGCACACCTTAATATAGTACCGTTCAAAGACGTGTAGTTGCTCTGATCAGTCACGGCCCTTTAATATAGTTGGTTCAAAAAGGAACTTCACTGGACTGATAGGCGCCAATGGCTCGCCTCAACCGGAGTCTCAAAAGCCGCTGGATGCGCTTCGAAAGGCGGTGAGCCAATGCTAGGGGCCAACAAGAGACGCCATTCTGCTGTACAACTTGGGGGGTGACCTGGGTGACCTGGGTGACCTACAACCCACTAGGATGTTCAATGTTATTTAGTGGGCGCCAAGCCGCCAGGCATCAACATCTTTTGAATACGGCTAGTATGTATTCCCACATACAAATTACTATGAGGAGGTACAAAAACAGCGACCCTGCCGAAAGCCCCTTTTTCAATATATACTATTATCTCTCAAGCGATTCCTGAATAGCCTCCCCGTACGTACAGTTTTTCAACACGACAACGCCCCTCCCACACAGCCAAAAGGACCTTGAAATGCCTGACGATCTCGAGATTTTTACGATTGAATGGCCCGATTGAATGGCCCCCGGACAGCTCTGATTTAAATCCTATTGAAAAGGTGTGGGCTTGGATGAAAGACTGGCTACCTAGATAGTAATTACGATTTAGAGTCGTTGATGTCACGGGAATTAAAACAGGCTATTGAGGCTGTTTAAGAGGCTGTCTCTGAAGACTTTAATGTATAATAGGACTTTGAAATGCCGTAACTCTGGGGGTAGACAATTGAAAAATTAGATTATATTGAAGATGAGGCTATTCTCAAATTATGTATCTTACAGTAGTAATTTGTATGAGAGGTTACATATTAGCCATATGAAGATATGTTGATGCCTTGATGCCTGAGACCCACTAAATAACATTGAACATCCTAGTGGGTTGTAGCAAGATGATGCATTTGCGGGCAACTCGAGCTTGGCGGGCGGCCAGTCAAATGGGACCATCTCGGAGCCTCTGAGCCTCTGAGCCTCAAAACAAAACAAAACACACTGTTCGAGATTGCGGGCCTTCTCCTTTTGTACGGATTATCGAGCATCAGTGACGCTACCGCTACCGCTACCACCGCTATTACCGCTGCCACGTTTGGAGTTGAAGCTGACCCAAACAAAGCAGACAAGCAAGCGCTTGAGGGATCTTCTCTCTTATTCTGTTGGTCGAGATATATATAAATATATATATGAATGGTGTGCTATCACATAGTAGGGGTCTAATCTCATACAACTAACTTATCTAGCCATCCATTCAACCATTCATCCATCCATCCCTTTTTCTATCATCAGTCTCGACGCCCTCTCGTGATCGTTTGGTAACCCGTCGTCGTCTTACAATAGTTATATCTATCTAGGGGTGAGAAACACATCATCTCTTTTTATTTTTTCTTTTTTCTACATACGTGCCTAACAACATAGGTAATAATAAATAATACATATCGTATATTACATTTGCAATATACATCCATTACCTTACCATACATACCTTACTTTTTACCTTACATACCTACATACATACATCTACAATCTACATCTACATCTACATATACATCCCCCCCCCCAGTCACATCTTCTCTCCAACATTCGATTAGCTACTGGCTCGTGCAGCAACACCAGACCGGCCGGATTATGCAAACTCTCGATTGGGTTACTCTCATGCACACTGCATGCTACTAGTAATCCTGCCACCCATTCGAGCCACGACAGCTACATTTCTTCCTTGTGGCCAAACGTGGACATAACTGTCGTCCCCCCTCACGAACCTCCTTGCTCGCTAAGCTCGTCTTTGGCGTCTTTGGGCTCCGCTGGGCTCCTCGTCTAACATCTTCTCCACTAGCAATTGGCTTTCCCAGTTCCTCTTTTTGTGGGCTTGTCGATGCTGCAGGTAGGCTCTGCAAGTCCCAATCCCTACCTAGTCTCTCTCTCTCTCTATCTTTCTCTTCTTGTGCAAGTGTCTTGCAGTCAGTCTTGCGGTCTTGCGGTCTTGCAGTCCTGCAGTCTTGCTAGAGCTAGTCCAAAGAGAATCGTCTTCGACCCAGCACCAGCCTCTCAAAACCTCACTATCTCACTTCCGCATAGGGGAGCGCCCCCCGTTGATCCACCGACAAGTCTACTATTCCTCGTCTCTCCCGTCGCGGGTTCTTGGAATTTCCCTCGCTCTCCGCGTTCCCCACGCTCCATACAAGCGGTATCTTGCGCGCCCAGATATCGGTGCCATCGGGACGCAAACTGACTACGGTCCTCCTTATTTGCTGCCCTCAATTGACTATCGCGGCACTCAACAGGGCGGTCAGCCTTTGGCTCCTGCAGGCCAACTTTCTGAAGCTAGCCACTGACTGCTTCTCACTCTCGACCAATTCCCCCTCTTGCTCCCACGTTGTCCTGCTGCGACTCTGCGCATTGTCAAGCCTGCTGTGTTGTTTCTTCGCTATTGTTCATAATACAGGTCAGTCACTCCTTGTGCCTTCGCCCTGCTCCCCCGGTCCTTTTTCCTTCCCTCTTCTTTCCCTCTTGTCATGGACCCTTCTCGGGTCGTCAAGTGAACAGCGTCGTCGTACAATAATCCCATCTATACTCTACACCTCCGCCCATGTTCACCATTTTCTACATCCCGGCTTTCCTGCCCGCCACCTCCGGCTTCACGCCGCTAAGATGTATACCAGGGAACATAAACCCCGCAAGTCCATCATCAGAATGGACCCGGACTGTGCTATCTGCCACGCTCCCGCCAGCCTCGCCTGCGATTGCGAGGCTAAAGGGCTCGAGATTGCCGTCGAGCAAGCAGAGTCCCGCATGATGCAATCCGTATATAATGACGTACGGTAAGTGTTTCGTGCTTCGTGTTTCGTGCCTATCCCCGGCCGACTCTTGAGCCTTCGTATACCTAGCAGCCTACTAAACCTGCACTAGTTCGTGGGTTCGAGCACACGCTCAGGACTACATACTCGAGTATTTCCGACTGCTCACGGAACGACGCAAGGCTGCACACTCGCAACATCTTGAACGACTAACAGCCCACGCATACCACTACTACCACGCCCCCCCGCATCCCAACGAGATTGCCGCGGCCCAAGCGACTCTGAAGAGAGGAATCGACGAGGATTGGCAATCTAGCGTTCAGCGGTACCCAGAAGTGCTAGAATATTTTTACAGCTTGGTGGAATTGACCCTCCCACCCGATGACGAACCTGCAGTCAAAGACCCTCCGTTGAGTGCCTTAAGCGGATCACGGAAGGTTAGCAGACGGGGCACCGGTGCGTCAACGGCTACGGTGGCAGGGGATACCTTTCACGAGAGGGAGCGGGAACGGAACCCTCTTGCAAGAAGGACACCCCCGCCGCCCATGGACAGAATTGACAGGATAGATAGGAGGACTCCGGGACCGGTTGCGAACCCACTTGCACCGCCACCCGGACCTCAAAGAAGGCATAGCACCTACCGGCCGCCGACCGCACCGCCGACTGCTTACTTCCAGACCTACTGACTTTGAGTCGTAGCTGGAGTGATAGTTGGTTGGAGAAGATGGTTAGAAGCTTTATCTCATCTAGCCGGCCGTGACCTCGACAGCTTTACGCCTAGACTATCCTGTTCCCCCCCCCTCTCCGCCACTCTTGTAAAATTGGATCACAACACGGCTTGCATATCTACTACCTACACACGACATATTTCATTTCTTTGAATTAATTCGAAAAGAACAAGCAAAACTATTCATGAGACCACGAAAGCGCATCATGACCACCGTATCTGTTGCATGGATGGGAGGAGGGAAAACGTCCCAGATACCATTTCTTTTCTGCATAGCGGCGAGACATCTGCTCTTTTTGACAAACTGTTCACACAAGACACAACTCAACACAGATTCTATTCATTTTGTTCCTGTTTTCCTTGAGGAGCTGGGTTCTACTTCGACCTTGGGAGTCATTTCTAAGACGGGTGGCAATATCTTCCTCGGGATTCTATTGGGCGTACGGGGTGTTCCATATGGGTATTGGTTGGACGAGCAAGGGCAAGGATCCGGCAAGCTTTTATTTCTCACTTGCCTTTTGGTTGCTCACTTGTTTCACTTCTGCGATGTGTTTGTTGTCCGTGCCCGCTGTCGGCACATAGGGACGGAGATTTTCTTACCTGCGCGAGAGGGAGAGAGGGAGAGAGCGGAGTTACGATATACCTATCGACTTATCGTCCAAGCAGAGAAGAGCAGCATAGCAGAGCGAGGTACTTTAGTCAAATCAATATACAACAAAGTTAATGAAACATTGTCTTAAGTCAAATCATGGCTCGGAATGACCCACGGATATGGGCGTTGGTAGGCAAACGCATGTGCCCTTCTTCTTTTTTTCTTTTCTCTTTTTTTCTTTTTCCCCTCGTCTCTTTTGCATTCGGGCTTGGCTCGATAGGGTAGGCAGACGTGTTCACCCTCCAGCCGGGCATCAAAAGCATCAGATCAGATTAGGTAGGGCACGGCAGCAGGAGTGAGTGAGCGAGCGAGTGAGTTTCGAGCTGCTTCTGCTTGCTGTAGCTGTAGCTTGCCGTTCAGTCACGCGTCTCGGTGCTCCCCCGCCCTATGGCGATGCGGCTGACACGTAGGCGACGGGAAGTGGGCGAGCCCTTTTATATACTACATGTACGTACATACATACATACATACATACATACATACATACATACATACATACATACATACATACATACATACATACATACATACCTCATATATAGGTACATGGTAAGCGGTTCCCGGCTCGGGATGTAAATCAGCGAGGGGGGAGGGGGAAGGGGTGTCAACGACCGTGCTTGCTGGACTACATAGGGGACTTGATACTGCGAGATGGAGATGTAGTGGGATACCTGCCTGCCTGTCTACCTAATGGTAAGATAGATCGGTATAGATGCGTTTTCTTTTTTTTTCTTTTTTTCCTTTTCTTCTTCTACACGGTACCTTCATGCTCTTGCTCGCTCGCCTGTATGAGCTAATATAACGTGATCGTCAACCGGCTCGCGAGCTACGGACAACAACTTGAATATTCGTCTGTCTGTGTACTACATATGCGTATACCTAAACTCTATAGATAGATAGATAGGTAGATAGGTAGATATGAGTACGGGCGAGCATGTGAATACATACATGATGCATACCTACCTACCTACTTGCTAGACAAGCAGTCGTCGTAGACGTATCATACCTAGGTACCTACCACTGTATACATACATGAACATGCATACATACATACCTACCTATCCACCCATCTACCCATCTATCTATCTGCCCCATCCCATCTCCACAGGATCCGCATCTGCCGGGAACGAAACGAAACAACACGAGCACTTGGAACGATGGAGGAGGAGGAGGGGGCAGTCCCGACCCGACCCAATGTTTTTATGAGACATTGCCCATGCACGACTAAGTCAGTCAATCAATCATCAACCAACCAACCATCCCCTCCTTCTCCCCAATATACATATATGTAGGTAGGTATGTATGTGTGTATTAGTGGGTTGAGCAAGGGGGCGAATCAACGAACCTGTTCAGACCGAAAAAAAACAAAAGGCCAAAATAGATAGGGTCCCGCGAGGATCACGTAATAGAGGACAGGACATGAGACAGACTTACTTACGAAAGGCAGCTCGCCGAATGGAGGGTCGTGTATGCGTATCCTAATATATGTATGTATGTATGTATGTAATCGAGGATGCCGCTTGTTTGTTTGATTTTAACTACTGTTTTTTATATTATACCTACCTACCTACATAACAATCTCATAGGATATCTACATAGCGTATACTGTTGCCGCATACCAATATAATGATTATCTACCCTTCTATCAAACCAGATGGACAGTACCGTAATAATAGAGAGGCGGGAACGAGTCACACGAGACGAACTGTGATATACATGTACAATAATATGTGTGTGAGAGATGCGGGAATAGGGTAGCTAGGTAGGCGTTTTAATGCTGTGCTAAATACATGGTGATAATAATGATGCTGTGAAATCTAACCCTCGAAAATTTATTTTTCCCTATAGTCCAGCCAGCCAGCCCGCCCCCCCTTTGTTCGTTCGTGTTCATTCATTTCTTGTCCCACCCGAGAAGAAAACCAAAAACAGCAATTCGTCTTTTCTCCCTCAAATAGGAAATCGAGTTTGGATGTTGCGTGGCGGTGGAAGCTTTTTATTTTTTTTAATTCCTTTTTTTTACCCGATCCGAGAATTCCATCTAAATAACCTCGACTGACTGGTGGCTGGCAATTAATGGCGCGGTGGACTTCTAAGCCGACTTCTCCTCCAATGATGCCTCCTTTAGATCCGACGTTACGGCCGCCACCTTGTCGTCAGACTTCTTGTCCCCATTGACACCGTTGGGGGTTGCGGTACCGGAAGCCTCAGCAGCCTCCTCGGCTTCTAACTTCTCAATTTCCTTCTTGGCTTTCTCGATGTTCTACGTTTCGTTAGCCATATTTTATAATATGAATATGAACTCTAAGAATGCAACTTACACGTTGAGTTTGGGCCTGTTGGTCCGACTTCCAGTGCTCCAACTTAGCCTTGACCTTCTCGACAGCAGCAGCAACGTCCTCAGAGCCCATAGGAGGGTTAATTCCTAGGAATGAGCAGTCATCGATAACAGCAGGGGGCAGGCTGAAGCCCTTTTCGGCATTGCCGCCCTTTTCGGCGTTGTTACCCTTCTTGCCCTTCTTCCCCTTCTTCACGGCAGGTAGGTAATCGTCGCCACGGTCTTCCTTTCGCACTAACCTGGTTCCCTTCAAGCCCGAGTCGTCAACCTTGCGCGAAGCTTGAGCACTCAGACCGCTGTCAGCTAGAAGAGGAGCCTTCTCAGCAGGGGCGGAGGACGGGTCGAAGTATTGTAGGAGACTGTTGGCTCTCCGGATCTCCTCGAGATAGGCAGGGTCGCTAGCCTCCTGGAGCAGCTTCTGCGCACGCTCTTTCTTCTTCTCCTTCTCGATGCGCTCGCGCTCGGCCCTCTGTCGTTCTCGGGCTCGTTGGCGTGCCTCGCGCTCATACTCGCCAAAAGCTTTCTTCGCACTGTAGTACTCGTCCTTAAGCTTACGTACGGCCTGGAACTTCTCTTGCTGCTCAGCTTGTAGCTTGCTTCGCTCGTCGCGCAGAGAATTCAGGTTCTTGAAGGCTTCGTCTTGCTCTGCCTTGATGGTGTCAAGCTCAGCCTGGATCTTGGTATACTGTTCGCTTAGCGCACGGGCTTCGGGGTCGTCCATGCTATCCTTGATTTCCTTGATCTTGGCCTTTAGCTCGTCGATTCCTTTCTGCGAAGTGTCGAACTGGGCAAAGTTCTTGCGCTGCTTTCGGAGGTTAGATATCTCGGCTAAAGCCTTCTTCTCGTCGACCAATTTCATCATGCCGCCGTTGACCTGCTTTTCCAGATGCTCGATCTCACGGTCGAGATCCTCGACGCTCTTGAAGTTAACCTTGCCACGCGCATTCTTCTGCTCTGCGATTCGGGATCGCAGCTGTTCGTCGAGGCGTTTGATCTGATCCAGCTTAGTGTTGCGGGTGTTCTTGCCGGCGCCTTGCTTGTTGCGGATTTCGTTGGCTTGAGCGATAAGCTCCTGGCGGCGCTTTTGAAGGGGAGACTGAGTGTCCTTGTTCTTGTTTCCCGTGACGAGCTCGACCTTTTGCTTAACAGCATTCTATATTTTACTATTAATACCTAGACGCCTCTACCGTAACTATTGCGAATGGGCGGATGCGCAGCTTACGTATCTAGCAAAAGAGTCCTGGTATTCCTTCTCGGCCTTAGCCAATTGCTCCTGGAAGAGCTCGGCATTAGGCTTCTCAGGTTTCTTGTTCTCGGCCGCCGGGGCGGGAGCGGGTGTAGCAGCAACCTCAGCCATGATCGCTCTCTATAACGTAGGGACGGGTTAGAGAATGAATGGAATAGGGTTAAACGACAAGGACCAAAGAGTGAGTTTTTGATCTATATCTATTATATAAAAAGAAAGAGAGTAATGCCTAGGTAGGGAAGATAGGTCATGAAAAAGTGACTGGCAAACCCAAGAGATACCAAGGGGAAAGAAGGCCAGATCTTCAGGGTCCTTAAAGGCCTGCCAGGTTCAGCACAGAGGAAAATTTCGGAGTCGGACCACCAGTTAGGTAGTTTTTAAAAAATTAAAAAAAAAAAGTAATCTTGATTTAACAATGCACTTTAACCTAACTTTAACCTAACTAGTTGAATTTACTAGGTTAGTGGCTGTGGCCGGAGCGGGCTCAGTGGTCAGTGCACTGTGCTCTTATACACTACTGGAAGTGTAAACTGGAAGTGTAACCGAGATTCTCCCGTCACTCAACGTCTCACCAATCTGCTTACTACGTACCTAGCCTTACTGTGTGACTATTAGTGGGTTGCACTCATGCAAGGATACTGGCCACAATTGACAGGTACGGTACGTACCTTATCTGCTGCATTAACCCCTGCAGATAAAGCCAGACAGGTACGAAGTACCTTGGAATTTTTCATCTTCGTAACGCAAGGCTGAACTTGCATTGTCTTTCTTTACTTGTCAATTCTTCAACTCCGGCACCCACCTCCACCTCGTGAAAGCGTCGCGACGAACCATTTACGCGAGTACAGCATCCAATCATCCGATCATCCGAGCATTAAATATCTAAAGTCGCGTAGCCCCCACGATGTCGGACCAGGAAAACAACCCTAACAACGAAGTAAACGAGAAGACCGCGGTCAAGACGTGGCGAGCATGGAGAACCGTTCACGAGATGGTCCAAGACAGAGTAAGAAAGCGACTATGCCCTTCATCGCCTCATAGCTCCTAACCTATAACCGCACAACCTGCTACGTCTGCCGCGCAAATACGCCATTTATACTAATGCGCTACTAGGGATACGAACTCTCCGAGACAGAAGTTAACATCTCACTGGAGTCGTTCAAGAACATCTACTGCAACATGGACGGCTCTGTCGTGTACGTATTCGAGGACACTACCTACCTAGGCAACCTATCTCAGATGGGAATAACTACCTAAGCTAACCTACGCCTTACCTTGCAAAGACGTTCGAAGCTCAAGTTCTCGGCGCGACCGAGCCCGGAGATGATGAAGAAACTGGCCTCTCCCACCACGCCGTCAAACTCGGAACCGAAAGCCGAAGTTGGCACGATATGGGTAGAGTTCCACGACGAGGACTCGCTGGGAGCGGAACACATGCGCAAGTTCGGCAAGTCGTGCGCGCAGGAGAACCACAGCACGGGGATCCTAGTATCCCACGTGGCCGTGTCGGCCTCGGCCAAGAAAGAGATCGCCAAGTTCGCCCAGTGGACCTCCATCGAGTGGTTTCTCGAGGAGGACCTTCTGATCAACATTACGCACCACGAGCTCGTGCCCCGTCATGTCCTTCTCAGTAGAGAGGAGAAGGTCGCCCTGCTCAAGCGCTACCGCCTCAAGGAGACGCAGCTCCCTCGTATCCTGCAGAAGGACCCCGTCGCCAAGTACTTCGGCATGAAGCGCGGCCAGGTCGTCAAGATCATCCGCACCAGCGAGACGGCCGGTCGCTACGCCAGTTACAGACTATGCGTATAACCCCGAACCCGAACCCGGACCCGCACTTACACCTACACCTACACCCACCCCGCGGCTATCTCTAGGTAATGGCGGAAGAAGTAGAGGAGGAGGAGGAGGGAGGAAGAAAGCTTTGCAAAATACCGGCGTCTACGAGCATGACTTGATTTGGCAGAGGACGGCGTTATTTGGTCTGCAGCTCGGGAGGTCATTTTAAAAATCTATCCCCCGCAGCTACTCAGAGGTTGATTGATTTTCTACTAATTGAGGAAGAGGGGAGGAGGAAGCTTCGCTCTCGTTACAATTTGAACATAGAGCCACCACCACGTGAGGAAAAAGGGGAAATTGCAGTTCTAGTAATCGAGAATACGTGTCAAGCTCACTACGGCAAAGTCCATCTTACTTAGATGTGGTTATCTCCAAGTTCTTATTACCTACTGTCCTGTCGCGAGTAATTAGATGTAGACATTATCAGATATTTTATTACCAAGGCTCCTTCGTTCAAAACGTCGTGGTTCTTTCGTGAACACTACATTTATTGGTTACAATCTATCAAACTCCCCTCTACGCATGTCCCAGCCCCCGCAGAGGTATTATCACCAACTTGCAAGAAAGGGGGCGATTAAGCATTGAAGTATATATAAATCAGATATATAATCTAGCATCTGTATGTCACGTATCTATATAGATTTTAACGCCCTATGAAAAAATAAGCGCGTAGCGCTCGGGGGTATCTGGTACGAAGCAGCAAACGACGACGGCGAAAACACAGCAACAACAAAAGGCTCTGGTATGAACATGACCCCGTGTGTTCTAGTATCAGGGCCCTTGATTTTCCCCCTTCCCCAAGAGCGCGCCTCGAGTGCCTCTTTTAGTGTCCCCCATGCACCTATCCAAACTCCGAAGGGACACCCACAGCCCCGTATGCCCTTATTCGTGCCACTGCGACAAACCCCTATTCCAATCCGAAAAAAAAAAAAAAAGATTTTAGAAAATAACGCCAGGTAGTCCAGTCTTGGGACAAGCTCGATTGTTTTTATAGAAATATATATGATTAAATCTTTATTCGATCTTATGTCGTTGAAAATTTTCGTATATAGATAATAGATGTATTTATACAACGTATAGAAGATTCCCAGCATCGACGTCGTGATCTCATAATATGATAGAGTTTAGCAGGTGAATAAGTATGTTCATGTTATTTCGTGAATTTCGTAAGCCGCGCGCGGTCGTGCGTATTAGTATCTCGTCCTGTGCACCCTAAAGCGCTCCAGACGCTCTGACAGTTGGCAAGCTGTTGTCTCCTCAAGACATTAAATTATGGGATAGTTGAATTCGGCAAGCAGGTAATTATTATGTTGGCGTTGTAATATTGAATTATAATGACGTTATGATATAGAGGGTGATGCGTAAGTTACGACTGTCGGCCTAAGTCGATTCCTTTCTCGGGAACTGAATAATTGCAAAGGAGTTCTCAAACCCTGAATCTTAGCCATAACTCCCCATCGTTCGATTACGGTGGTTAATGGTTATAATGCAGACGGTTGCCGATTAAGCTACTGCGTCAAAGAGGTGCAACGCCTATTATTAAGGAGAGCCATAGGAGTTAATCCGAATATTGAAAATCACCGCAACGAAGTCTTACGGGAACTGCCAGCCCTCGAGTCTTTCTGGTCTGTGTCTATGTATGTGTCGTTTGAGCTGTTCCGGCTATTGGTAGGATCGTGTAGCGCTTCTTGGGGGTGCTGAGGTATTGATTCTAGTTCAGTTCCATTCTTGGAAGTCGCCCGAGATTGTTTAGGATTAAGAGGATTAAGAGGATTCAGAAGACCGCCTAAATCTTGTAAAACGACTTGGGAGCCACGGCGGAAACCACTGCTTGTCGCTTGCTTTGTGGGTGGAGGGGAGCTTGGAGAAAGAGGAGACGGTGGTTCAAGGTTAGAGTTAAAGCTATCCCGTACACTTCGAGACGGCTCGCCATCCAGTAGCCCGCCAACGTCGAAGAAGGAAACTCTGCGAGGAGTTATGGAAGAGTTGCTTCGAGATGTAATAATTTGATCCCGGTCCAGTAGATCATGTGCTGCATTGCTTTGACGACGTTGAGGAAACTGCCAAGTATCCACAGTTAAGACAGGTCTGGCCGGCTTTTCGGCCTGGCTTTGTTGTCTTGCAGCATTCTGAAGTTCGCGATCTACGCCAAGGCCCAAATCTCTCACCAGGTCTTCATCACTACCCCAGTTCCTTTGGTACATAGGCCTGCGTTCGATCGAGTGATCAATAGACTCGGCAGTTGTGGAGTTGTGTCTATATCTAGTCTTTTTCACACCTCGATCCCGGACAAACGATCCGAGGACAAGCGTATTAGCCGCGGCTGTAGCAAAAAGAAGTTCGACGGAAGCAAGCAGAGAGCGTAACTGCTGGTTTCCATGCTCGCGGATTATTCGAGGGATACGATAACCCGTCATCGCTACGACCGTCAGGCTCACGGAAAATAGTAATGTTAGTTGGACCTTCCTCTTAGTACTCATATGACTGGTGAGGATTATAGGAATCGGATAGAAAACGAGGAGAAGGTCGGTTAATATGTTGCAAGTCGCCATTGTGATGAGTTGGGCAAATCCCTGACGGCATTGGCCTCCAGGATCGGGCATAACTTGCCAATAGTGAACGAACGGATGGCATTCCGTCAAATCTGCTATTAGAACAGCCACGAAGGTCGCAGCCAGAGTAGCTCGTATGAAGATCAATGTGATTTCGTGCGAACGATTCCAGGTAATACTCGTTAGGCGCTTGAAAAATTCAAGGATGGCGCCTTTAAGAGTCCAGAGCCTTGAGTCGACGACAAGTTAGCATATAAACGGTTGATGGCAAAACGGCTTGCTAAGTGAAGTACACCAAGAAGAATTCGTCTGATCTAAAGGACGAGGTACATACGTTGCCGCATAGAAGATCCGGCTAGCAAGCACCAAGCCACTAGCCACGGACTTCATATGCATCTCTTCGTCCGTCATCTCGTGGTGGAAGTGTGCATTATTAGTCCCGTAAACCAGAATAACGTGAACACATCCCATGCGCAGATAGAGCGGAATGATGGCCAGCGCGGCCGTCTTATCCTCCCTAAACAGCTTCTCAGACCGGATAAAACGACCGGCGATGCGTAATAGAATTATGACGGTGCAAAATAGCGTAATCCACCAACAAACCAGAAGCGTCGGCTTGTCCTGCTCGGGAGTACGGTACGGCGGCGGCGACGAGTATAGGGGCATCTTGCCTCTGCCCGAACTTGACCACGCTCGTCAACCTCCGTAGAGGGGACGAGCGGGGATGGATACGTTGTCTTCAGAGTACACCGAGCGCAATAGAATCGCAACGGTGTTCACAGTTAAATTGGAGGGTCAATTTGGCCCACCGGAACATGAGTTCGTCGACCGCTGCAACAACTGGAAGTCTTTCCTTTTCCTCCTCCTCGTTAAGATCCAGACGAAAGGGGCCGTGTGAGAGTTGTTTGTTGTATTTCGAAATATCCAATTTACGAAAAATCGGCTCAAAGGGATCCAGAGTATCGTATCCGTATCCCACTTATGACGATGAATAATTGGATTGTGATCCTCTACCAACGACACTCGCATCAAGTCTACTAGACGATACATGGAATACGCAGTTATAATGATGCCGGTGGTGAAGGTGAAAGGTATATGACATCAAGAACCTTGAATCGCGCATCGTAGTAAATGTCGTGTTCTCGATACTGACAGATAGAAGATGAGAGAAAACGTGCCGTATGGATCTATGGGGGAAACTAGAGAAGTTGTAGTTTATGGTAGCATGGATGTGGGAGTAGGGATTTGGGGACGGGTAGGTTGAGGGCTAAACGTTATCATGTACATCGTGTACATGGAACAGGTACCTCATGTACAAGCTCATTATCCCACATGTAATATATCTATCTAACAAGGAATACATGTCTAGTGTATGCACATAGTGTAAGTGCAAGCGCAAAGTATATCCGCCACCACGGCTCAGCATCCTTTATGTACCTAGGTATACACTAGAAAAGATAACACTACTGTAGGTTAGGTAGGATTGCTCGAGTTACAAGGGGCTATGTGCCTTGTACGCCTATGTGTTACTTACACTAGTGTATGTACACTAGAAGACTAGGTACACTAGACTTCAACCTTACCTAACTAGGATCCTTATTAGATGGGATCTAATCTATCAAGCCCAAGATTTGTGGCCATCATTTTCCGTACGCAGATGTTTACCTATATCTAATACTTCGGAAATATGCACGATGACCTCGGCCAGGTAAAGTATGTGCGATGAAATACAACGTCTAACGTAGGTACTATATGCCGTACATATGTTGTGCGAGCACACCATTTCCACGTCCGTGTCGAGAGGAAGGACACAGACGTGAGAGACCGGATGATTGCAGTTCGCTAGAGTCGATCGATATAGTTGATGGCGTGGCTGCGTGGGAGCTGGGGAGATATCAAACAAATTTATCGAGGTGCCGTTTTCCCATTAGCGCACTTCCGTTAGTGCCATTTTCAATCTTAAAGCGCTAATCCCTCCATGCTCAACTCATCTTAGCTATCACGAAGCGCTCAACGCCGTTACCCATCACGGAGTTTGATTTGCCAGGCCTTATTCTGTCACCTCCGCGCGCCAAGTAAAGAGGCTGGGTTACCTAGCGGTGTCACGATCAAGTACGTACCTAGATATGCTATTAGACCCATGTGCGATGCGAACTAGCATGTAACGTACATCTGTACATATGCCGTCCCCACGCTCTTCCTAGTGCCGCCTCCGTCACCAATACGATCTCCAAATTGGCGTGATTGGCTTGGTACAAATTCTTTAAGCGAGGTTTTCTGACGGGAAGCGTGCGACAATTGGCTCACGCGAGCACTGGGTTAAGCTTGTCTACCTGTGTATGTATGGGCTACACTAGATACAGGAAGTCGGACGATAGGATTTTGAACACGATGTATATCGGACCCGAAGACATGGGCCGAGTCTGTGCATACGTTAGTAGTACATACAAGTGGGCTAGGATGTTCAATGTTATTTGGTGGAGATGTTAGGTACTTGAAGCAGATAAGCAAAACGTTTGCTAGGAGCCACTACTTCGGGACTTATCTATTCTTATGCCCATCTTGGAGTTGGCAAAGCACAACCCGAAGGAATCATCGTCTGATCTCGTTCCTTAATATCGGTCATTGATTGTTCTACATAGCGTCTGCTAAAGCTAGTGTCCTACTACCTAATTAGTAGAGATTCTAACTAGGTAGGTACCTAAAACAAGTATTTATTTGTAAGACGCATTGGGCAAAATTTATAGTTTATAAAGAACTTCAATATTCTAGACCGCTATATTGTATTATTATGCGCATTGTGTACGTCTATTTGCTTTAATTAATCTATCCGGGCTGAGACATACAAACTTATGTACCTCAGGTAATGTAGTGTAACCGACTAGCGTTGCCTACACGTTTTATTAAGATAGTCTCAAGCTAACGTAATTAGCTTAGATTTTAGCGGTGGTTTAAAGGGCAATGCATGCGAAGTTATTGACACTATAATCTGCCTAACCTATAAAAGGCTTAAGCAACTTGAAGTTGAGAAGCATTTAGGTACTACCTGTACTCGAAGCGGGTTTACCAATTACTTCGCTCCTATTAGCCACCGTATTGCTACGTGTAGGTAGTTATAGAATTATTTAATGTCTATCACACGGAGAAAACAAACATATTGTAAGGTCTTCCGTATTGCGAAATGCTTAGCCTTTCGGGATACCTACTATAGAGGTAAGGTTGGTCCGGTGCTTGGCTTCCTACCAATGATAGCAATTGGCTTCTTCAAATGCAAGAATATGGCAGGCCTATGTATGTACGAGTAATCATCCAACTGACCTGCTTTTGACAGGAGCCGCGAGTAAGTCGAACTGAGGCGAAGGCTGAAATGTATATGGATAGGCTATTGTGGCGTCTAGTTAGGAGTCTAGGCCTTTCGTCCATACTGGACATACCTAAACCTGAATAATAGCGTACCCTTAAAGGTACCTATGTATAAACTCTATTTGAGATTTGTACTAGTCTTCTCCCACGTTTGTCCTTGCGTCGCAAAAGTATACTAGTGTGTGTATGTACGTGGTAATTAACCCATGCGTTAGTGTAATTGCAATGGGATGCATCCCACTAACATCCAACTAGCACCCGGCCGTTTGGAGCGATTCATTACATATATAGTACGAGATATGGGTGGCAGGGTGATTGATAACGAAAAACCTGTCGGCGATCTCGCCATTTAATACGGCGATATAAAAAATTTTTTGAACGCATTACTCGTACAAGGTCACCTGTTAACGAAATTACCATAGCTTCTTAGAAGGGTCCTTTACAACATAAGCAGTTTTGAAATTTCAAAATAACTACCTAGTTAAAATCACGTATAAAAGATAGGTAGGCAATTAATACATACCTGCCTATGTACACGCAATATACTACATCTTTACCACAACCGACGTTGGAGGCATGACCAGAGTTATCATAAACCTTGAACGCGCAGGGTTGACTTTTGCTCGACGATATCTTTTTAAGAGCTTCCCATTGCAGGAAAAGCTGGCAGTGGACCAGGGTGCCTGCAGATCGATGCGCGCATCTCAACACAAGGGTCTCATTAGCGGGTCTGGCGGGGCAATTCGACAGGGGGTCCATCTCGAAAAGCTCTGGCCAAGTGGCTACTTTGTACATATGTACCTGTGTATACTAATGTACAGCAGATCCCACGTCGACTCCGCATGTTATTACTAACAATTATTACTGTTCCTAGTTATTCCAACTTAAGTCTAGCTTTCACCTTTGCCATCTCCAAGTTCACCGAATTCGAATCAAGGCAGACTCCCGCGAAAAGCATATGTATGTACATACATACAGGCACGTGAGGCCTTGTCTTTCTCGGCTAATCCTTACCGGTTCCCCCAACCATCTTCTCTTTTCTCTCTCTTAGGCTTATAGCGGCGACGGTCAAATCACGGTAAAATGGCAAAATTGACCACCTATTCCGTTATAAACGAAACGTGGAAAAGTCATCTTATATACCTATACCTACGTGGATACTACCTAGTAGTAGGGGTCCGGGTTTCCCCAGGATAACATGGTACATGAATCTTACGCGTCTTACATATTATATCATCTGCTGATGGGGGTTGGCTTGAGCCGCGTAAGGATATTTTGTTAGTGCATGTAGAACTTACTCGGGCGATACGGCAGTACGGCGTTGCATCGATAAGAGTTCTTCGGCCCGGTCAAAACTTTTAAGCTAACTACCTCAACCTACGTAAGACACGTTCGATGGGATAAGGCTAATAATACATACATATATAGCGTGTTGGTTGAGGCTTGTTTAGATTCTGTCTTTCACCTCGGGTTATGTGCCTATGCGTCTGTATGTCTTGCGCCTGCAGACCGTAGAGGCGGGCTCGATTTTAAGAGGGCAAAATCTTTATCGCTGATGATATGTAAAGGGAAAAACGCCTATCATATACGTATTCGGTAATCCGTTTGCCGGTACGTCGAGATACTTTGAGTCAAGATGTGTACATGGATGCATGTGGGAATCCATGTGTATATCATGATGGTTAACTGCATATTGTTTGCGTAGCGTATGTACCTACCTATGTATGTAATAATGGGGCGTAAGAACCTAGACCAGACGCGTGGAGCATCTTATCCTACCCAACAGTGCTCGTTTGATATTTCCTTTAAAAGTCTAGGTACCTCCTAGTTTACCTAAGTTATAATTATCTCTAAACTTACCTCAGACACAAGATCCTAGCTCCGTACCTATTTTCTCTTTTCTCTTTTCAGCCTATGTATGTCGAGCTTCACCTTGGTATGTTTCTCTAACTCCTTACCTTAATGGAGATACAAGATATAAAGCATTTAGGCGTATGCGGCAAAGGCCGTGCTGTCACATAATAGTAACAACGAGCGCTGTTATCCCCACGAGCTGCCTCCTTAGGAAATCGTCCTGCTGACAAAAATAACTGAAACCTCCCACGCACGTCCACTTATATCTTATACTATACATTGTACATACATACCTAACCTAGGTAATTCTTGCAGTCCTTCAAATGTCCAACTCACATATGATATATCTATACCCAATCCATCAAATGCTCATGGCAAACTTGAGACAAATCCCACGTCACGAGAGACAAGTCCAAACCGCTGCAACAAAATGTATTAGGCAGTGTCCCGAACTGCCCAGAATGATGAGCGCTGCTGTTCCAATTCGGGAGACATACACATATACCGATGAAACCTTCATCTCTTTTCGGCCTTTTTTCTTCGGATATCGGCACCAAGGTGTATTCAGTTCAGTCCCGTTCCCTCTATTAATTTCTTCCACCCGCGAGCTTAAGGACCTAGGTTAGATCATGTGCAAGCAGTCTACGTTTCATACGCATGGTGATCCTCATATTCAATCTCTGCCGCCTTCTAACGGCATATTTCTATCCGTGCAGTTCTTATTTTAGTTACTACTCGTCCAATCGCAATGCGATTCCCTTTTAAGTCTCGCTGATGGCCAGTGCCGTATAATATAGATGTAGAAATATTACCTGCAAGTATACGACATGTTCCTGGCGTAGCTGATAGGTACCCAGGTACTCCTTATTCTAGTCCAAGCTCTCCCGCTATATTCTTTACGTATGCCTTCTCGGCTTTACCCCAATCGACAGAGAGAAGCTTCGCGCGTTTCGTATCTCCGTCGTTACCATCATCTACCAAGCCCCAGAGTTCATCGACGACCAAGCATCTCGTCTTAGGCCAGGGGTGAACTAAAAGGACGCCAAGCCTCTTTCTCGCCTCGAGCACGCCCTCGCGTCTTTTTGTCGCTAGCTCCGACGATATACCCGGCACGTCGTCACCCGCGCCTACGGCCGCGATGGCGCCGTAGACCTTGATGCAGGCCTCGAGCTTGCGCACGTTGCCGGTCTTGTACGCCGCCTTCTGCACGAGGACGCAGAGCTGCCGTAGGTTTATCTCGGCACACTGTTGCAGGACGCCGACGTGAAACAAATACGCCACGACTTCCAACGTAGGTATGATAACCCGGTCCTGGCCTTGATACTGCTTAAGATTGCGAAGGAGAGCGGTACATGCCTGCTTCCGATTTTCTGTTGACTCTCCACAAAAGTCGGCGAGTGCGGCTCTACTGACTATGACCAAGTCTTCGTTCCCCGTGTCAGCCGAAGTTACTAGGCCGGCTAGAAGAATGGATATGCAGTCATCTGCGCTGAGTGTCCAATATTGCGCCACGACTTGATCTAATCGCTCTTTATCGCAGAGGCGAAGTAGAAAATTGAAATAGTCTTTCGAGGAGAAGGATAACTTGCTGAAGCTCTGGGCATACCTATGTGATAATTAGTAAACATAATGTTAACTTCGTACGGAATGGATTTACGAGCCTCGGATGTAAAATTAGAGTCAATGCTGACTGCGCTTCGGTACGAACTCGATCTAACTTCTCGGCTGCTAAACGAAGTATGCGTGGGAAGAGGGTTGAGATGACCTGTTCATCATCTCTCTTCGCGCCCCACAAAGTCTTTGTTGCCTTGATCGCTTCCAACCGAACATGGGAGCCAATATCGCCGCGCGCGTTCGTCGTGTAGTCATCTAGGCCTCCTGAGACGATCGTAAGGAAGTCCAATGGTCTATCTCGAAGCATGGCTCTACCAACTAAACTTTGCAGAATCGAGACGTGATTCTCGATATCGTTATCTTGTGCCCATCGTTCTGCAAGCACTTTACTTGCTAGAATACCTTCTGATAGATCATGCTGATTCTGTCGAAGTTGGTACGCGCAGGTAAGCGCATGGAAGAAGCCATCTCCATGCTTGGTACGTGGTGCTTGCGGACGGCGTACTTTATTAGACCATTCCTCGATTATTTGAGCACGGCGCTCGCGGGTAGCGAAAAGAAGTAGAACTAGAGCAGCCTTCGATGAAGTCTTGACTACTTCGATATCATTTCTGTCAAGCCAATTATTCAGAATATCTTGCAAAGTTTCTAATAACTCGACGACATATCGCGGGCGATCGTGGTGTAGCGTATCTAATAAATCCACAATCGAACTCAAAGATGCAGAATTGTCTTCTTCCACAATAGCGGGACCTGACAGCAAACTTGTATTTTGAGGGTCTAGAAACCCGCTCCGTGCAATGCTTAACAGGAGGACTGGAGTTGATGATACCACAAGTCGACCAGCAGCCTCTGCGATCAATTCTGGTTTTCTATACTTGGTATTGTTGAAATCTTGTAGAATCTTTCTTAAAGCGATGCAAATCTCAGTTGCCGGTACGTTTTGGAGGGATTCGGGTTTCCTGTCCACAAGAAGTTGCGGAAGGAGGTCGAAGACAGCCGCAAGGCTCAATAGGAGTCCATGCCGTTCTTCTATTTGCCTTACTTGAAGAGCTTCAAGCCGAGACAGAAGCAAGTTAACGGAGTCCTTAAAATAGTCCAAGGGGTCAGACATTTCGACGCCAACTAGTTCTGCTATAAGGGCGCCAAAGGAAGCGGCTGCTACTCTCCGAGCGTCGGCGTCCATATCTCCAATACCTCGCCACCCAAGAGTCGCTTCCAATAACCCGCGCCCATAATGTGGCGATAACTTAGTTGCCTGCAAGGCGACTTCATGTATCGCTCTGGAGCGGAGTGCGACTGCATGATAGTCGACTACCTGTACTACAGAAATACCCTTCTCTATAATGTCAGGATGACGACCGATTAGTTCCTGGAGAGCGGCAGATGCACCACGTCGAATATTCCCGGCGGGGTCCAGTGAAGCGGTCACTACTAATTCAGTGGCAATTACTTGTAGTATCGATGCAGTGGGATCGTGCCCTCTAGCAACTAACACGGATTGTGTCTGTACTTGAAGCAGCTCAGACGTGTTGTAACGACGAGCCAGTGCCCATATGCCAAAGCAAGCTGCGTCTCTGACGTTGGTGCCGACTGACCCCCCTGATGGACTTCGCTTCTCGAAAGAAAGTCCCATTAATAGGGCGTGAATAATATCGGATAGGTTGTCGGCGGGCGGTGACCTTCGGTATAGAAGGTGGGAGAGAGTGAGCATCAACCCATGCCACTCGAGTGGATCGACGGATGCAATATCGCGTGTAGGGGGAGCAGATGGGTTCGCCTTGTTTTTGACCCAGAGCACGTTTCGGTTGAGCGATTCTAAAACGGCTTCAATAACTTGCGAGGCCATGTCGGGCTCGAGTTTAAGTGTAACAATGCTAAGAGCTTTGCTGGCGGCAAAGCGTACCGGTGTATCATTATCTGCTAATCTTTCAAGTAGATATCCGATAGAAGTTTCTACTAATTCAGTATCAGCATCAGTTTGTTGTGATTTCCGCAAGACCAGAGTGACGACCGAGCGTGTCACTTTAATGAGCATTTTCCGAGCTAGCGCAGAACCGTTAATGACATCGAAAACGGGGTTCTCTCCTGCGGCGATGGCTTGTGTGGTACTGAAAATAGCAGAAAGATGCGAATCCATGATAGACGTATCTGCGGCGGCACGAAGGACCCCAGCTAAGAATGATATGGTGCCAATGTAATAATAAGGGGACTCAGCTGGAGCATCCCCCGACGGTTTCAAGGTTGACAGAGCCCATTTTATTAAAGCGTTAAGTATGCCTAGTTCCTGCATGTCTTTCCGCATCGCGACGCGGACAAGGAGAGCTTTCGCTCCGTCCCTCTCCTTGCCAGGCGATGCAATATACTTAACCGCCAGGGGAATAACCCTTAACGCGATACCAGGAACTTGGGACGGCCACTCGAATCCGGGGACGGTGAACCGATCGAGATCTTCGGCGTCACCAGATGATATAGTCGAGAGATCAAAGGGTGCGAAGAACAGTTGGGATAACCATAGTAGGACAATATATCTTTCATGCCAGGTCCATGAAGTAGCTGAATCAGCATTACGCTCTGATTCTTCGATGGCAAGCAGGAGAAGCTCTAGATATCTCGTCTCTACATTTAAGAATCTGACGATGACTTTCTCCCCTCGAATTTTGCAAAAGGTATAAAGAAGCTTGCATATTGCATCAGATAGCGGAAGTAGAAGTTGAGACCGCATAGATAGCGATCTATGTTTACGATGGTCTTGTAAGCACCCCAAGTATGCCTCCGCTAAAGTCGGTAACCACTTGGGCAGATGCGGATCAAGCAGCTGTGGTAGCTCTTGGAACGGTTCCAGAACCTCAATATTGCTTGTTAGCTCTCATTTGATTATTGTTATAACTAGAATTGTTATAACTAGAGATATATCAAGTACTCACATGTGACATCAATCTTGCCGTTTCCCTCATACGCACCCGTCTCCGAAGTTGGCCGTTGGGCTTCTTCAGGAACGGTATCAGAGAGCGATCAAAATCAACGACTAGGTCTGCCGAGTATTTCTGGACGACAACATCCCGATCTTGCTCAGGTGCATCCATCTTTAGGGTGAGGTTGGGATCACACTATTATGGGGGCCTCATTGAATTGTTATAGTGGCAGGGGTTCAATGGCAAAAGCTCTCAAGTCGTTTCTCAGTAGAGGTCTACTGAGGAAATGAACCAAGATTAACGGCGTAAAAGCAGAAACAAAAGGCCTCTTTCGATTTTATACTAGACAGGCAGCGACTTTTCACGGCCTCGAGGTTATTTAGATGCTCTTATTTAGATGCCTGATATTCGGCGGTAAACTTATACTTACCTAAGGTAATTACCCATAATTCTTTTCCGATAAGAGAATAATGTGGTTTACTTACACTAAAAATATGACTAAGCAGTCTTCTATTTTAAACGAGTCTCTTTTAAATACTTCCCCTTAATATTTGTTGACATAGCGCTCAAGATTAACACATACCTAAAGGAAGTCCGTCTCGTATTAATTCCACCAAAAGCTCACGCTAAAACTTACACTTAATCCGCGAACATAATGCCACCACCCGATGGGGATGTAGAGGGCATCGCCAGGCTCAAGGATACAGTCTAGAAACGGTATCTCTTTAAAACTAGCGAGGTCCTCCTCGCTAAGTCCGTCTTTTTCATCATCGGGTATTTCATCCCACCCCTCGACTACTCCAACGTCCATTAGACTAGTATTTCCCATTTCGACACCGTTCTCTTTCCCTCGTGCTTTCATACGTTCCGTATTCAAAGGTGAATAGAGCCGTACATACTTACGCCCCACCACCTGTGTTAATAAGTTATGATATGGATCGGTGTGCAATGGCGTAATAGTACCTGGTGGCCCAAACCAGGCATTAAGAAGCGGCTCATCAAGTTCCGGCTGGTCAATGCTGGGATCTGTTGGGTGCGGAGGTGGTGCGGTATAGCAATAATCCGGGATGAGGATATCGTTTCTTAGACCGGGAAGTTGAGTGAATAAAGGATGCTGGGCTAAGTATGCAGTTGGTTTCCCTTGTGATGAAGCGGAAGTATCACTGATGGAGTCGTCCTGGACAGCAAGGAGGGAGGGATCAATGTACCCGCGTAAGAACTCACCGAAAGTGATAAGTTTTTGACCCCAGCCTTCGTCAACATAGCTACGGCCAATCTCAATCGGCACAAGCCTACGACCCCCAAAAGTTTGTGAGAGAAGATACGATGGCTTATTCCAGGGATTCTTAGTTAGAGCTGGCCAATCACCAATAATACCACGTATAATAAGTGGCTCTGGTCCCAATTCTGAATCTCGAGGATTGTCTATATATGTCTGGAATGCCTCAATGGATAAAGAATCGGTACATTGGATGGGATGCTTCACAGGTGGAGTAAATGGTTCGATAGTCGAAAATATGACGTTGAGTTCATCCGGCACGCCTGTATCGATACCCAGTTCGTTCCAGACCTCCTGGAGTAGTTGAATAGCTTTATCAATCCATCTCCTGCCTCTCTGTTCGCCAGCGGCCCCAGCGAGAATTAATGCAAAATCGAGAAGTTTAACGAGTTGAGTAATCTGACGACCTGCCCTATCTACCTGCTCACGAGAAGTCTTGATACCTTCTACATCATGATCGTAGATACAAGGGGTCCAGAGGAGGATAAGACAGAATTTCAAGATGCTGGCGTCAGTATAAAGTTGCCGCCAGCAAATCGGAAGATCTTTGAAAAGAAATGCGTAGAACTTGGAGTAAGAAATCGAAACGAGATCAGATAATCGATCCAATGATAACTTTTGCTCTTCTGCTGGACCTTGAGCTGTGCCTATTTCTGCGGGCTTCAATTCTTGATAGTAAATACTGATCTGAGCCGCCTGTCGAAATAGCAGATCAACTAAAGCAGGGCCGCACCCCGTTAATCCTGTTGGGAGGGATTCATTGGGCGAATCTGTCACGGATAGTATCGAACTGCATTCGCTCTGGATTGTTGATATTGCTTCAACACAGAGCTCGAAAAGCTGCCTCGTAGGGGAGGATGATGATGTCATTGCTAAGTTACCCCTTATAATTAAGCCAGCTGAATTAAGCTAGCATAGAACGGATAACTATACCCTTCTTATGGTCTTCTCTGTTAGGTTTTAACGGCCCTCGTTGAGTGCTGGCCTTGATTAAGGTGATACAGAGAAATAATTAATCGTGGTACCTAATGTACATAGTTCAATTAAATCGATCAAACTAATAAGGCTGTCAGGTCTTCAGCTACAGGGGTGATGTGGCTGATCTCTATCTGATATGTGCAAGTACCTGACCCGATTGAACTTGCTCTTACTCACATAAAAGTGGGACCGTCCCGCGTGGTGCACAGTGTATCTGCAAGGTGCTTTACGCCAACACGCCCGCGATGTACCAAATCGCGTCTTGCCCACTTTAAACCGCGTTCCGGCCATCAACACTTATACCTTGTCCACACTAAAATTAATCAATTCTACCTGCCGCTCCTCCAACGTCACGATATATGATAACATTCATAGCCAAATTCTTTGGTTAATCATTTATGGAATATATCCTCTATATCCTCTAGTTCAATTCCTAATATCTTACCTCTCGAGCAATTGGCGTGTACTGACTCGATTTGCCTTCCTCGAATCCGAACCTAGGTACCTAAGGCTTGAGCTCGTCGCAGCTACATTTTGTTACCGGTCCTATGAATCCACCGTAGCAGACTCGAAGACGCGTTCAGATACTTCCAAACTATGTATCTGCCACGCGATCTCATATCAAAACTCTACACTCACCTTCAGCATACCCGACATCCCCTATCACCTCCGGTCCTCATCCTTGTCGCTCTTGAACCCGATGCCCTCTGTGCCTGTCGCATTTTAACACGGCTTCTCAAACATGATTATATACCACACAAGATTCACCCCGTGTCCGGATATGGGGACCTCGAACGCGTTGGCCAGGACCTCGTCGGTCCCATGATGGAGACCCGTGGGGGGAGTGGAGGAGTTGTCGTGTGTCTCGGCGTAGGTGGTATGGTGGACTTGGCAACTATTTTAGGCCTCGAGGCTGAAGGCGAAGAGTCGAGTTTTAGTGGTGTTGAAGTCTGGGTTATAGACTCGCATCGGCCGTGGAACCTTGGCAATGTTTTCGGCGGATATCCACTTGAACCCACTTCCGGTACCGTCACGAGTTACCAAGCTCGTGCTCCCAGTGGTGTAGCTTCGGGTCGAATAGGCAACTCGTATAAACCTGGAAAAGGCGGCATTATTGTGTTCGACGACGGTGACATCGAAGAAGGGCTCAAAGCCGAACGAGATGCGTACCTGGCGCTAATTGACATGCCTGATATTGAAGACAATGATGAGCCGTATGGGGAAAGTGATTCTGAAAGTGAAGGCGAGGTAGAGGTAGAGGACCACTCGCCACGTTCTGGCAAGAAGAGGAAGTCTTGGTCGGATCGAGATGATGAGAGCAGCGGCGACGAAGATGACCGACCTCGACAAAGGAGAAGGAGTAATTCTGTAAGATACCCTCTAATCAAAGCTGGAAACTTCCCCACTGACCTTTCTCAGTCTACCCCAATCCCGGAGTCCCCGCAACGTCCGGCCCAGCGTGGGTTGATTTCAATACGGGAGTCCGATCTGATTAGATCGGACGACCTGGAAAATCCGCCATCCGCAGCTCAACCCCCTAAAGGCCCGTCAGCTCGCACGCTTCGGAGACGACTACTACGAATGCGAAATGAGAATGAAAGTATCCTTCGGAAGTACTACAGAATGGGATCTTCTTACTCGGAGCCTATTAGCGCAATGATTTACTCTCTAGCATCAGAGTTGGGTCGGGAAGACAACGACTTGCTTTGGCTAACAATCGTCGGCGTTACGTCCATGGAACTATATGGTCGCTCTTCAGCTGGATTAGCTGTCATGGTCCGCGGTTCGGATTCTAGACCATCAAATGGCTGGATGGGCGTCCGTGGCGCCCGGATACGGCAACTCCTGCGGGACGAGGTGAGGCGCCTTAACCCACCGGAAATGGGCAGGCTCTCGGTGTCGGACGGCGCCGGAATTATCCCTACCACAGCTCGGAACCCGGAGGACACGAGTATTCGACTATCCCCCGAACCAAAATTCTTACTGATTAGACATTGGAGCCTTTATGACAGTATGCTACATTCACCATATCTCTTTTCAAGACTGCGCATTTGGAGCGAGAGCGGTATTAAACGTTTACACAAGCTGCTTGCCAAAATGGGCGTGAGCCTGGTTCAATGCAAGCAGAGCTATACACACATGGATATGATGCTGAAAAAGGAGTTACGTACAAAGCTACTGAAGTATGCATCTTTATATAATCTTGACGATATGGTACCTGCGGTGGAGACAGATGTCAGAGATCGAGCAGGGGCCAAGGACGGATGGGGATTTGTCCGGAGTTGGGGTTGGCGAGCCACGCTCAGCGCTCAAGACGTCGGGGTGATCATTGGCGCTTTGCTCGAGGTAGGCAAACATAATACGGTGACCGGTGAGGATGGCCGCTTCCGACCAAGCCAAATACAGGACCTCGAAGACGAAAGTGGAGTGGCTGAAACCCAGGAATGGGTCAGTCGCTTTTGGGGAGCGTATGATGCTCTTGAAAAGTAAGTTCCATGAACAAGAAACCGGACTAAGAAACTAATAGTGTCTAGTATTGATGCTCTAAAAGCCGGTCTTCCCACAGCAAAGGAACTTCATCGTGCCATCTTTCGAACGGGAACCACCCTAATTGGCAAAAAACAAATCAAACATTTACATGCTTTCCGTCTTTGCGTTATTAAAGAAGGACCGGACGTTCCTCTATTTACACACCCCGCTGCACTTACGAAGCTTGCCCTTTGGGTTGGTGAGGCCCTCGCCGAGCAGGAAAAAGATGTCAATGGGAAACTGGCACATGGCGGACGCGGTACACCGCTCGTCGTAGCAAGTTTAAATGAGAAGCGAGGCGTCTACGTTGTGGTTGGTACCGGTGGTGGCGGCGGACCTGATCTAGCGTTCTTGGATAAGGAAGCGGCCAAAAAGAAGCAGGCTGCTAAAGAAGCCAAGCTCAAGGAGCGGGAACAGAAACAACGGAACAGGGAAAAGATCAGGGAAGAGAAACGCGCTGCAAGGGTCGCAGCTGGTGACGACGATGAGGAGGAAGAAACAGAATCCGAAGACAGCGATGGGTCAGACTCGGATTCAGAGGACGAAGTTGAAGAGCATAAAGACCGTGGCTATGGACTAAACAAGTTCGGCACCGCATTCCAAGATGTGGTTAACGAGACAAACGCCCGCGTGCGAATCGACAGCTTTGAGCACTGCGTCGTCGAGGTTCGGAAGGATGACCTTGGCGGGTTCCTCGAAAGCCTAAGTCAAAAGACGGTCATCGGATGATTCCTCAAGACAGTCTTTCAATCTAGCAAGGTACTCCAGAGCGTTGGCGCAATTTTTGGTGTTCTACTTAATAAGCTACGAAATATGTGTCCCCTTTTTTTGACCGCTGAAGACATCTCACGAGAAGCGATATGAGCGTCTGCTATAGCATGGTGGAGCGCTTGGACGATGCATGAACGACGGGCGGGATATTGGGCTGGCGTTTGGTTCCGACTTTGTAAATACTCGGCCGAGCTGTGAATTAGGGGTGGTTCATTCAATTATTTGATACACATATATCATCATCGTGGAATAAATGCATAGGTACATACTTGATCGAACACAACCAAGTTTTTCACTGCCAAAGGTGTTCAATACCGTATATAATATAGTCGTACACATAGTATATTTAGGTACATAATAACAGCTATTGAAATAACTACCTGTCTATCCTTATCAATGGTGGTGGCGGCTCGCTCACTATGACGCAAAGTTCCAAGCCACCGGCGTTACTCAACAGGTAATGGACAGGTACTCTTATAAAATTGAGAGCATGGACCCTGCTAGATAGGTAGGTAGCTAGATAATTTGCGGATAAAACGGGATGACCCGTAACCCTGCATACTGAAGTGAATGATCCAACGTTGAAATATGAGATTTACCGATGTGTTTATATATCACGAGGAAACGGGGCGGTGGTAAATAGTTACTTGCTGTTATACGATAACCTCGGATAATTATAGGGTTTGTTAGCGTATAAGTCAATCGTGATGGCTTTTACGTGGCGTCAAGTTAGATCAAGCCGGTCTGTTTTGTATGTACATATGTATGTCTAACTATTCGGCTGAATTGCTAGACGAAAGCTTAAGTAAAGCCGAGTGTCAAAATCCGGTTGAAGTACCCGATTCGATGGAAGTACACGTACAGTAGAAGTTGAAGCAGAGAGTGTAACGCAGGTACTGGAACCAATTACGTCAAGTCTATACGCGCGTACATGCCTAAAAGGTAATTATGTACCTCTTAGCGCAGGTAAGGTGTTTGATATTGGCAGCCGGTAGGGACGACCCCCCATTCATTAGTATAAGGTAGGAGGTACTTACTAATGTACTACAGGTATAATCTAACTACCCCGCTATGTATGTAGAACTCAGTTTCGTCTGCCTTCTTCCAAGTTTCCAACTCAACTTGCTCACCAAATCTATATCATTTCCCTTCCGAGTCTATAGGTATCATTTATTATTTACAGTACTCTTTACAAAGTATTCCATTTTCCGGAACGAATCGCACCTAAGCATACAGAAATATACAGTTCAGGGTCGCAACTAAAGGTAGAGAACCTCAACTTTGCATTACACTGTCGCAGTTGCAGTTGTTCCTAGGTGATCGGCGCAATACATAGTTGGCGGAGCCCCAGAGAGATCATGTAAGTGATCCCAAGAGGCCCCTCTTCTTTTCCCCTAGTTCCTTTGTGTACGGAATATGTACATACAATACCTAGGCTGCTAGGTAGATATATCTAGTTGCATTTTATGTACGATATCTAATAGGTACCTGATGGTAGATTACCTTAGGTAGTTATCGTGCATGTATTTTGCACTCCATTGAACTTTCATCGCGCCTATTACACGCACGGATCACAGAATTCAATCTAAGTGCGAAGCTCGCATTTCATCTGCGTACCGCAGTCCAATCCCCGTCTTCCGGCCGCCTTATTCACCTACATATGTCACTTATGTCACCTAGGAAAAGCCAGCCTAGTCCAGCCTCAATCACCGGTCGAACCAGCCATTTTAGGTAAACCTAGGTACCTACCTACCTACCTCATAATATGTACCGTGTTACATATTTCTAGAGCTCTCTTATAAAGCAGAGAGGTACAATACATTACCTACCTTAACCTACCACCTAGATACATACCCATACCCATACCCTACATACATACATCCGAACTGCATACATCAATCAATCAGTGTACACTCTAGGTTGCCTCAACCTAAAATACAGGATAACATTAAACAACATTACCTTTCCTTATTGCTACAGCGTACTTTTTTTTGGTAGTCATTCAAACCTCTTTCATCTATTTGCACGTTTGCACGTTTCCGCACTTCCCACATATTTCCGCTTTAGACCCTCTCCCTGCTGCGACACTTCGAAGACTCCTTAAACCTGGTCGGACTTATTGTTATCTTCACCGTTGCGACAAAACCCCACCTTGCCATCATTCGCTTTCGCTTTGGAACTTGTCGCATAATCAACAACCCCCCCTTCACCCATCGGCCTCGCGAGTTTCGAGATTTGACACACGACGAACGCCAACTTTCCCGCCTCTCCAAAAGACATCATACCTAATAGAATAGTCGCTACCGCAAGGCTACTGAATCGAAGATGGGAAAATCGTGAGTTTTGCCTGAAATACCTCGCATTATATCCTTGTCACGTACGGCTGCGCGGTGATGCGAGAATTCCACTCCCTTTCATGTACTATGTAGGGGACGCCGGAGATAACTTCATCGCCATTGTCTCCCATTGAAATACCGACCGGTCCGACTAACACAACTATCTAGTCAATCGAAACTCTCCCAGGAACAACTAGCCGAACTCCAGAAATCCACGCATTTCGACAAGAAGGAACTGCAACAATGGTACAAGGGTTGGTCACCTCCATGTCGTTGTGTTGCTGCAATTTACTGGGCGGGTCTGTACTTATCGCGTCATAGGCTTCTTAAAAGACTGCCCATCCGGCATGCTCACGAAAGAAGAGTTCCAGAAGATCTACCGACAATTCTTTCCGTTTGGTGATCCATCTTCGTTTGCAGATTATGTATTCAACGTCTTCGATTCGGACAAGTCCGGCTCGATCGATTTCAAGGAATTCATCTGCGCTCTAAGTGTCACAAGCCGAGGAAAGATGGAGGACAAGCTTGATTGGGCTTTCCAGTTATATGACATCGATGGTGACGGCAAAATTAGCTATGAAGAGATGCTCAAGATCGTGGAAGCGATCTACAAAATGGTACATATATGCCATTTTAGAGTCAATAATAGTCAGCACGTGCTAATCGTGGTTCAAATTAGGTCGGTTCGATGGTGAAGCTTCCCGAGGACGAAGATACCCCCGAAAAGCGTGTTAGGAAGATCTTCCGCATGATGGATAAAGACGAAAACGGCAGTCTAGATATGGAGGAGTTCAAAGAAGGCAGCAAACGCGACGAGACAATTGTCTCGGCACTCTCATTATACGACGGGCTGGTGTAATTCTTACTACGTAAGAGTATAGTTAGACAGCAACGGGCCTTTCCAGAACAGACGACTTCGGGAATATAGGAAGAGGACTTAGCAGGGAATAAGAGCTCAAATCAGAAAGAAACCAAAAAAACGACAAAGTCGTCATGAAAGTCCCGTTTGGAGGGTTGCTGCCAGTGTATCAAATTTCCTTTCTCTGTCTCCTACACGGGCATTTATATTCCAAGAGAAGGATAAACGCGGTTATATGTTGTCGACTAGACGCCAATCTTTTTTTCCCTGGCGCTCTGGTTAAGGATAGTCTAATGTGATGATCAAGCACCGGCCAAGCACCTCGTCCTCCGGAGGCGCCTCCGGAACTAAGACCGCAGGCCAAGAAAGACCGGGCTCCTCCGACCACCGCAGCTGCAGTCGCTCTCAGGGTTTCTAGAACGAGGCGCAGCAAGCGAGGCAAGTGAGTAGCCTTCATATAGATAGGCCATCTCTACTTCGTACGAGATTAGACTTAAAGCCGCATACGTTATTACAGATCCGGGGTTTCTCATATACATATATACATGTGACGTGACGTCAGTTCCTATGTTCAAGCTTTTATGTTAGTTAATATCTGGTTGATTTGTTTTAGATATTATATCCGAGAAAAGCCGTTAATAGTCTCAATTCAAAGATGCCGTCATAATATTCGAGAAGGTTATAGTTTAGGTATGACATGACAACCGATGCATACCTAAACTGCCCCTCCCCCTTCCAACAAAGGTGGCTGAGGCCGGGGAAGTCTCTCAACGAGGTACTTTCTTATCGAATACCCTGATACCGTAGCCTTGAGGCTATGGTCCGGGCTGAGCTACTAAAATGACGTACTGATGCAATCCCGGTATGTACATACACACAGCTCCATGCGCGATGGGAGATCTGACACCTCAGAATGGAAATACATTAAGAAACCAAATATCTACCTAACCCTGATCTGCAAGAAGGGCCCAGTGTACAGTATACATGTGTGCTAAGCTATGTACCTATGTATGTACATACGGAATACATATGTTCAACTTACCCGTTTTTATTCTGGGCAAAGCCAACAGCGTTATTATATAAATTACCAAGATCTTGTTCACAGGTGATTACCTACCTACTGGCTGGTAACATTGGTCACCTGCGTATAGGTAAAACGAAAGGCCTGTACGCTGAATAGGAATATAAAACGAACAATTCCTACACTAAGACTGATTGTAACTATAACTAACGTAATTCGCCAAAAATATGAACTACGTATCTGAGCTACGGTAATAATACGTCATACGCCCTCCCACTTTATATGTAATAGAAGCTATTCACAGCTATAATTTAACTAAGGTATTGCAACTTATAATCATCGCAGTTATCACTCCCCATCTTAGGCGTGGTCTATTTGTATATAATTATGATAATTAGTTTACCAGCGATTGATGTCCACACAATACATAGTCTTTCTAGCCTAATACGCCCAAGTACTCTTCACCCTTTAAACAATCTCACTCGGAATACGCACTGCAAGACACGCACATACATGCCATAGGAAGTATAACTAGACTTATATATTATCTGTTAGGTCTCCCACCCTTCCGTCAGGGTTGGCTTTCAGGGCACAAGCATAATGCGTCCCTCGAACTATTATCCCTCGTACTATGACTCTTCTACAAATGTACACGCGAGTACAAAAACGCTTAAACCCAAAATTAAAAAAAACCAATACAGCATCCATCGTGAAATAAAATTCCGCAGCGTCGTCTCGATCGTCAACTCTAATTGCAATCTCTCCCTCACGCCGCCGTGTGCTATGATATTCTAACGATGTAAGCCTACTTAACCCGTATAGCTTTTCATCTTTGGCTAAGACCACCACCACCACCAGCCTAGCCAAGACACCCAAAAAGGCTCGAGGTCGTCTCCCGACACCTAGCTCGAGGAGGCATACGCCGATTTTACTTCCTTATCGTACTTAGCGAGAATACCTTTACGGTTGAGTTTCTGGGCTGCGGTTACGAGACCCTGTATGGGACGGTTAGCTTAGAAAACTAATTCATAAATGGTTCCGTGACTTACGTTATGCGGCGTCCATTCCTCGTCTGACAACGCAACTCCTTCAATGATCTCGATACCGGACAGGCCACCAGACCGTCCGGCATTTTGAAGCTCTCTCAGTACGATACCATTTAGTTTCTTATCGTGCACAAGCTCTTCCAGGCTACCCCCATGTATCCCGTTCTCGGCAGCTAGCTTCTTCAACGCTGGTTCTGCCGGCACGATGATCGCAATAGGCTTAGCCTTCGATTGATCCGCGTATACGCAGATATTGGCCACGACCTGCGTTGAGCGGTAAATAGACTCCAACTTTTCCAACGCAATATATTCACCGTTCAAGGTCTTTACTAAGTTCTTCTTGCGGTCGATAATCTTTAGGTGACCGTTGGCATCCCATTCACCAATGTCTCCTGTCTTGAACCAGCCGCCAGGGGCCATATTCTCCTTGGTCTCCTTCTCATTCTGGTAATACTCTTCCGCTACACTGGCGCCTCGGATCCAAATCTCGCCTTGAGGGTTTGGTTTATTCGTCGCGTAGTAACCCGCATCCGGGAAGTCAACTAGCTTGACTTCAATGCATGAGGGCATCGCGCCAATCGTCTCGGATGTCCACTCAAGGGGGTTCATAAGGGAACCCATAGCATTTGTTTCCGTAAGGCCGTAACCGATGATCATCGGTGCGATGGCCATAGAGATGAATCGTTGAGTGTCCTTTGCGATAGGACCACCGCCGTTGAGGCAGAGCTTTAGTCGGCCGCCGGTCGCCTCCTTGATCTTCTTGAAGACGATAGAGTCAAGCAGGCCAGTTCCGGGCAGGCCGGTGGCCAACAGTCTAGCCTTTAACGCCAATGCGCCCCAGAACATATTCTGGACGACCGGACCACCTTCGTGGACTTTGGACGTTATTCCCTTCTTGACCGACTCCCATACTGCCGGCACACCCACTAGGACGGAGGGTTTGAACTCGCGAATATCGCCAAAACAGTTACGAACTGAGGCATCTGATAATGTCTTTGGGTTTCCGTAACCCATAGTGCATCCCCAGTATAAAGAGGCATTTTCGAAAACAAGCTCGAGAATATGGGCCAATGGAAGATAAGTTAACAGACCATCACCAGGACCAATGAAGGGCTGGACTACGACGCTGACGCCGGCAACTATTAATCGGGTTAGCTTGGTATAATCTCCTTCTAGAATGAGGATACTTACCAGCAGCAACGAGGTTCCTGTGCTTAAGTGGGACTCCCTTAGGGGTGCCCGTGGATCCCGAGGTGTACATGATACAGCAGAGATCTTCGGGAGTGGGAGGGACAGGGTCAAACGGCTCATCCCTACCAAGCTTTTCCAGTTCCTTAAAGCTCACGACCTTAATGTGGGGGTAGGCGCTCTTCAGGTTGTTCATGTGTTCCTGTCTAACTTGATGCTGGTTGTTCCAAATCACGTAACGGACTTCGGTGGCATCCTTGAGGACGTTGCCGAGCGTAGGTATTAGATGAGGGTCCAAAAAGATGGCCTTGGCACCTGTGGCAACCATGGAATGTTTCAGTCCTTCCTCGCCGAGCGTGTCGTAGGCGGTTACAATTGGCATGGATTGGGAGGAGGCGGCATGTGAGGTAGCCAGCCAATTGGCGCTCGTGGCAGCGAAGATATGAACTCTGTCCCCTTTATTCATACCAAGTTTCCTCAGGCCGGAGCCAAGATTTAAGACCAACTTCTCGAAGTCATTGTATGTGAGGTATTCGTAAGGACCGAGTTCGAAAAATGTCCAAGCCTTGTCCACCTCTTGCTCCTGGCCATCCACTATCTTCTTGACCTTTCTGCTTTCCTGGTGGGTGCGCACGAGGCGTCGAGAGCCCATAGCTTTTGCATTGCCGAACTTGGCAACGCTCACTCGTAGGAGCTCATAGGCGGTGGTAATGTCATCGGAAGGCTTGGTGATGAGTCCATCCTTTGTCAAGGGATGTCTACGGGGTTTCGTCTCGCCCGCAACAGCTTCGGCTCCAGGCGATTCGATAGAATAGGGCGGTTTTGCAGTGGCTTTGGGTTGAAGGACCACATGCCTTAGCTTTGCTTCTCGCCACTCGTCCGTGCTCGGCATAGTTTCGAGTTGGATAATGTAAACGAAGGGCCACGAATTGTTTGGATTGGTGTAGGGCACAGAAGGCTGGGGATAATGAACTGTCTAATAAATTATGAGAAATAAGTTATGAGAATTGGGTCAGGCCGGCTAGAAAGGTAATAATCTCTCTTATTCATTCATTCATTAATCTATCCAAGCGACGTTAGTTACCTAAAGGGTTACCTAAAGGCTTATTGAGTTGTTATGAAGAAGAGATGAAGAAGTCTTGAACGTTTTGGTTCTTGTAAGTCGAAGGTGTAGGCGGGTTTTTTCTGGGGCTTCCCCAATGGATCCAAGATGCTAAGCTGCTTTCCTGGGCTGCTAAGCTCTTACCTTCCAGGCTTGCCCCATGACGACACTAGTGTCACTCCGTTCCAATAGAACGCATACCCCTTGCCAATTTGAGGTGCCGAGACTTAATCCCCTAGAGTTTAGCGTCTTGTGGTTATACCCATAGCTGCGGCACTAGTTGCTCTGTAGGGTCTAGTATTGTACCTACACTAACTACATTCTTACATGCCTAAACATTAGGTACAATACATAATTTGTATGTACATGTGTGTGTATCTAAACCTCCAATAAGACTGAAATTTTACTTGGTACATAGTTGTCTCTGAGTCTCTCATTCCTATAATCCCCAACGATATTTGGACGCCAAGAGGACAAGCTTTTTATCGTTTCATCAATTTCTTTTGTTGAAACGGGGCGAGCGCACGAATCTATTCGAATGGACACACCTCCTGACAGCTTACCTCAAATAGCGTTGCAGTTGCAAAACTCTACCGCCAACATACATACCTCTTACATACATACCAGGTACAACAACAGGGACGAATGCTACACTTCGTACACCCCTAGGGGAATTCAGCCAAGACATTACAAATTCCACCTATTATACAGCCATATACCTCTATACCTCTATACCCAAGGTAATAAGCCGCAACTCTTCTTCTAGGAGGGTTTCGGGCGATCTATACCATCTCCCAACCGCCTTGTACACGTAATTCCTGTGAGCAACTCTCACACTACGGTATGAATTAAGATGTGGTGTTTCTGACATGTGGCTGTAGACTTGCGCGTCAAGAGGCGTTGTCGCTAAATCGATCAATCAATCAATAATGGCGTTCCCGTCCCTGCTTGATCAGCTCGGTCCAGAGATATCAGACCCAGAAGAAGGCAAGATTGAGACCGAGTCTCCGTCCCTCTTACATACCGACCTCCCGTTCCATCTCCACTAACACTCAACCCTCATCAGAAACCTTCTTACTATACTCCCAGGATATCCCGTCCCAGAACTTAGGCTTCGTGGATCCTCAAGCGACCACGTTGGACCTCAGCGTTGCTGGCAAGGACTACGTAATTCATCAGTCACCAACCATCTTAAATAGGCCAGGAAGTACCACAGGCGCTGTCGTGTGGAAGATCACTCCGCTTATAGCCGATTGGCTAGCCGCTTCCGACAATCCCCTCTGGACCTCTGGCGTTTTATCATCCTGTTCCGACGTGCTGGAATTGGGCTGTGGAATCTCTGGCCTAGTGGGATTGGTTCTTGCGCCATTGGTCGCAAAGTATACACTTACAGACCAGTCCTACGTCGCGAGACTAGTAGAGAAGAACATTGACGAAAACAGTCCCCTGAAGAACTCAAAGCAGACTAAGACTACTTCTCAGACCACTTCTCAGAAGCGGAAAGGCAAGCCGTCGGCTGTCTATCCTAATAAGGCTGAACTACGATTTGTCCCGCTGGACTGGGAGTTGGACGAGGTGACACGGTCCCTTACAGGAAGCGATAAGGTCAAGAGCTTTGACCTCGTCATTGCTTGCGATTGCATCTATAACGATGCGCTAATCCAACCACTGGTACAAACCTGTGCTGACGTATGTAGATTGCGAGCATCGGACGAGAATGGTGCCGACAAGCCCGCCGTCTGTCTGGTCGCACAGCAACTTAGAGATCCGGAGATATTCGAGTCGTGGATAAAGGAGTTCAGCAGGTATTTCCGGACGTGGCGCATCCCAGATAGCGCTTTAACTGAGGGGTTACGGTCGAACCCTGGATTTGTAGTCCACCTGGGTATCTTGCGAGATGCGGCAGAGACACGCAATTGATCCATACTCCGCAGCGTAATCCTCAGACCATAATTAATATGCCTTCATGCGCGAACCCGTATGAGTTATTATGAGTAGGTAACTTATAAACCCCGGAGAATTTAGGTAAATTTAATCCGTAAAGGAGTAATCAAATAGCTACAAGTAATAAGCTAGGGTATATTATAACGAATTGCGAATTTCGGCGTGATAGACCTACCTTGGTATGTCTATATACAACGTAGGTAATCAAGCGAACAAATCCCACAGGACTTCGCAACAGCATCGTTCAATAAATATCATATCATATCCATAAGGCTCCCACTGTCCCAGGACCCCCTACGCAGATTACAAACCTACCCTCCACTGCTACCCCCCCTCCCCGGTCCGGCAGTCTATATATTTCACTTTATCCCAGACGCCGGGCCTTACCACTAGCACTTCTCCCCGGCTCCCCGCCCTAACCAACCTATCCTTACCTAATTACCTATACGAGTCTGTCGTATCGCATCATCTAAACCACCCTATACATATAACTAGCATTAATACCAATACTAATACCCGAGCGGCGATTCTTACGGGATCGGCCCGCCTTGGTATCTATCTAAGCCGGCAGAGCTGTCCGGGGTCTATATACCTAGGTACATATATATATAAAAGAATATTTACTCGCAGATATGGCCTGCTTAGGTAACTACCCGTTTTCCTACCTAGATTTTATACGTGATTAATAATTGCTCATTTCCTATATGTATTCTCACAGCACCGACGTGCAATTACCGAGAAGAAGGAAACAACATAAATACCGTAACAAGTCAGTCATCTAGTCATCTGACTCGCCGATAATAAATTTCGGTAGATAAGGCAGGTTAGGTAGGTAGGTAGGTATTCATCTTTTCGACATTCACGAGCACGGCCGACGAAGCCGGGCGCTACTAGGTACAAACAATGGCAACATGCTATCCCTTACGACTTACTACTTTGGATATCTGAAAAAAAAACAAGACAAAAAATACATAGCAACCATTAGAGTGACACAACCCCGGCCCAACCAACCAACCTCGAATATGAATCACCTCGTACACAACAGGATATGCTGCCGGCATATCTACCTACCCAAGTAACCACTCACCCTAAACGCCTAGTTATGAAAAACGTCATGTCTGCCCCCACCCCCTTTTCTTTTCCTCTTCGCTATCATGCAACCCCGAAATCCCCCATGGCGTGCTTGGACCAACCCACCTGCCTACCTACCTGATAACCACTTCTCCTATCGACTCTTTTTTCGCTGCTTGGGACCTTAAAACTCCGCCATCTGCTGTAGGTACTGGAAAGACGAGTCTGGTAGGCCGTGGATTAGGGCCGAATCTCCAAAGGGCATGTCGGCCATGGAGAGTTGGGAGTCGCCGCTCGAGAAGTAACCGAGGTCCCCTATCGTGCCGATACGGCGCGGTTCTTCCTTTTTAAAATTGTCCCAGAAAAGTCGATCGTGGGCTTCGTTGGCGAGGGCCGTGTTGTCTAGTAGTTCTTCCGGCGTTGGATAGACCTGGGGCGGCGGTGGCTGTTCCTGTTGCTGCTGCTGGGGCGGGCATCGCCAAGCCTCGGCGTACATCTCAGGGTGAGGTGTTGGATAGCCTGCTTCGGTGGTGAATGTACGCGCGACATCTGGCGCTAACACCGCCGGAGTGCGATTGATTGCCGTAAAAGATGCAGGCGGAGCTGGTTTTTGTGCTTTGCTCTTGGTCGACGTATCCGGAGCTTCCGTCCCTCGTGATGGCATAGGACTGCGCGATGTTCGATGTGGACTCTCGATATGCTCGTCCTCGGGTCGGAGACACCCAAAGTCTTTCAGCTTCCCGGTCATAGGCTTATATTCTTCAAGCGCTCCGTCAGTGCCGCCTTCGCGAACCCGGGAGGATCTTTCCGTATTTCCATGGTTCTTTGCCGCAAATTTATAGTAATCCTGCTTGATGTTCTCGAAATAAGTGTCCATCTGCCGCAGAATCATCACATATGTAGATGCCATCTTAAGCCACATGGACATCTTATGGAGCGTTACGAATGCGAACGCCACCGACCCGCGCCTAAATACTTCGGGGTCGGACTCAGATTGTCGTGTATTTTCGAAATCATATTCCAACATGTGTTTTTCGGTGTCCATTTGGGGGAAATGTTCTGCATATAACCCTACAAAAGACGCGGTCCAGATGGCGAAGAGCACGATGGTGGATTGAGGCAACTTGTCCTTCCTTTGGCATATCTCAATTAAGTCAATGATCCCACGGGACGCCTTAAATACCTGTTCCGCACTAGATATCCAAAAGTCTTTAGGGGGTGGGCCGAATTTGTCTTCGTGAAAGATGGGATTATCGAGAGGCCCTTCTGGTTCTGTGCATCGAACCGGTACGAAGGGTATATATTCCCGGTGTAGCATGATTAAGCAGACACACCTAAGCATGTGCAACAGCACGTATACACTAGAAGCCTGGTGATTTTCATGCTTGAAGTAGTTGGACCGCGAAAACGTAAAAGTATCCGGAAGTTCCGCATCGAATTCTGCAAGCTTCTCGGAAAGCTGATAAAAAGTGCTGCCCTTGGTCCATGGTGGGTGCTCCTTTTCCTTTTCGTTGAGGCGTCCACCTGATGAGCTAAACTTGGAAATATCTCCCCATATATCCACCAACTGAATAAACCGAGCGAGTACACTATCGTCCATGCCATGCCGTCCTCTATCCTTGAGGAAGCCCGTGCGAGCCTCCATAGCTAAATCAAACTTATCCTCGGAGCATGGAAGTTGGATTTTTATATCCTCTGATTGTATGATAGACACTCGTTCCTTACCGCAAGAAAGCATGCGATCTAGAATGAAGCAGCTGAACATAGTCCGTCTCCTAACTTCTTTCTCTAATGCTTTCTGAGACGAAGACTTAGGCTGATCGTCTTCCGGGACAGGAGAATCGCTAAACCCAAGTCCTAAATACTGTGCCATCCTAATGGCAAGACCAACGTACATCCAAGCGCCTAGCCCTCCCGTCCTAGGCTGAGTTTGACTCCAGTCGTATAATCCTAACATGAGCAAGGCTGCCACCCTCTCGACGGAGGCGGTTTTCATCGCCGTTCGTAGCGGACCCAAAGCCATGGTAAGGACGTCGGCATAATATTCAGACGCTGCAGCGGGATCGAGCGGCGTCTGAACCGGTCTGGTCCTAGCGTTGCCGGGCTGGTTACTGCAAATATGGGCGAGATATTTGACGAGGTCTGGGTGAAAGCGTGCGGTAAGAGTAAGGACGCCTAGCAGCACCAAGTTGAAGTTGAGATCCGAGTTAGCGTCCGATTGTTGACTTTTGAACTTGCGCCCCAATTTCTCCTTCATCGTGGGTAAGTGTAGAAAGGGAAGTTCCGGGGCAAAGTGTAGCTTGTAGAGATCTAATACTTGCTCCCACAGGTCTTCAGTTAAGAATGGCGCTGAAAGTACCTCCTCTGCGTAAACACTTGCTTTTTGATTGTCACCTTTTGATATCTCGTCTATCTTTTTGAGCTTCTTCCTATCAGATCCTCCGTCCCGCTCTTGCCTAGCACCCGTAGGTGGCTCGGTTCTCTTTGGAGGTGCCGGTTCGGGCATTTTGAAGATGCACTTTTTCCCCGTCTTGATGCAGCTATCGCAAGGCTGTGTACCGCCAGTATTCTCACCTAGATCATTCAGATTAGTAGCTGGTCGTGAGGAGGTGGGAAGTGCCGAGTAAGGAAATATGTCAGCAACTTTCTCCTTGGCAATTTGACCTACATTTTATTTTACTCTTCCGGCAATGTGTGCAGGCAATGCTAGATCGCATCGGGGGACGCATCTTCGGGGGCTTCTTCCCCTCAATGCCGCCTGCTGCTACCATTGCTTTAGCCTTAGCCTCGTCATCCCCCAGCCCCCGAGCGGCGACGTTTCCAATAGTCTTTATCCGTGATGTATCGGTGGTAGAAAGCTGTTGACTGGGCGGCACTGGTGGTGTTTGGTGCTTAAGGGTAATATCTGCGGAAGCGGAAGGGAGCGCTTCGTCGAATTGCCTCTGCGGAGCGGCTTGAAACTGTCCTATATTCGAATTTTCACCGGCGCCTGACCGATCGGGAGAGGAGAGTATCGACTGGATGCGAATTGGAGTGGAAATGGTGACGGCTGGGTCCAAGATAGACCCGGAAGACTTGGATGGACTGTAAACGGCCTAGTAGGCCTTTTCGAGACAACTCGCGGAGCGAACGACGCCGCGGGGTCGGACACGATATTTCAAAAGACAAGTTCGAGTGGAGACGATTGTGCTCGTATTCCCAAGGTGATTGATATTTATTTGAGTAACGAGAAGACTATGTGTTGTGTTCCGGGACCCCTTTCTGGGTCGTCCTTTAATCGAATTGGATGGCCAGATGCGATTCCTGGTAATGTGCTACAGCATCGAGGAACTGCGACTGTCCGTAAATGGGGCGCGACTCGTAAACTACACCTTAACTGTAGAAGCGCGGTCGTAGCTGGGAGTTCTTTAACACTATCTAGTATAGAACTTGGTCGTCTTTCGGTATAGTCTTTCGGTATAAACACACTTAAAAAAGTGTAAACACCTGTACGGCAGCCGTATAGCTACCTATGGACAAGGGGGTAATCTAGTAGCTATAATATCGAGGATACACATTGACAACATGAGATGAAAAGGGGCCTATATGTGACCTGCAGTAGTACGAAGAATGGAAATATGAGGAATATCAGAATATCAGAATATGATGGACAGAAAATAAACCCCTAAGCGTGCAACGCTTTAAGAGTATTGGAAGTATTGATCTGATATTGGTAACGAAGATAGGTAGATGGGATGATTTTACAGTGTCTACGTCGGAGTGGGCACTGGAGAAAGGGAAATAGCTCGTCCTTGTCGGGTAAAGCAAGCCAGCCTAGGTAGCAAGCCTAGAAGGCTCCAAGGGTTAAAGTTCCCCGGACACGGACGGGTCGGGTAGAGACCAATCTACCCAAGCTAAGCAGTTGTTGGAGGGCGGACGAAGATCGGCTTTCCTTTGGATATCCAATGAACGAGCAGCTTGGACTTGATCGAAAGCGCTCATCTGGTGCACAGGCCGCGGTTGCGGGTCCCCGACAAGGCTCATATGCACGTTGCCCGGGGAGGGCTTCCTTATTCCTAGGGAAAAAGGAACGAACGCAGGTATCAGGGCCGATGATTTGATCAAGGTGGTTCCGATGCTACAAGATGAGAACTGAGGATGCACAGCATGAGGAGATATGCCATTTACCATAGCATATAATGCTGCAGACTATAATTTAAAGATGAAATAGTACTTGGTAGCAGGAGGGAAAAAGCAAATCCTGGAATCCTTGACCCTTCTCATCCACCTTGGTACTCGTTGGTAGGTACTCCAGGTACTCGTTCGAAGGAAGACTCGGTGTGGTAGGTCGTATTAACGTTTTCTGACACGTCCACGGGCCGATGTGCTCAGATGTTACCCATCCGTCACCTTATGTAGGTAGCCTGGTAGCCTGTCTCCTTACTCTTAATAATGACAAGGGGTGTTTATTATGTATGCGGATAAACTCCCCTACTAGGTAAACCAACGAGGCACTGTGAACTTTGCAGGCTGCATTCAACAAATGTACGTTAGGTTAGGCCGAATAATTGCAGTCCTAGATATTGGTGGAAATAGTTATGTATTTAGGAACATCCAACAATCATTTTTCATAAATCCTTAGTGATGTGTTGTTGGTGTGGAAGACCGGTCATCTTTTATGACTCGAAAATCGTCAATGGCGGTAGGCTGTAACGTTCCTCGGGACACATACTTGGATCCCGGTCCAACCACCAGCGCTTGCATCCGAGACTCGTGGGTGGTGGGGGGCTCTAGTTTCTGGCGGCAGAAGGTCATCGCTATCTATTATTAACCCTTAACCCAAAGAATTATAACTTGGAATATAACTTGGAAGAGTCTCGGATGAGAAATGTTGGAGCCAACTTTTTTCCTGAAGCTGACACTTTTTTGGGTTGCTCAAAAATCGAATATGACAAGTGAGTCAATGAGTCAATGACTCGTTCTAGGTATTCCTTCCAGTTGATATGTAGGGTCTTGAGCTGCCGACCAATGCAGAGATAGTGTAGTGTGTTTATTGCCCATGTTTCGGCAACTTTGACCGGTTTCATGGTCTCCGCTGCATATATGCACGTTTAGCGCACGGGATCGATTTGGTTGAAGATATTATGTAGAATCTTTTCCGGTTTCCTTGAGACAGATCTTTGAGGATCTATATCATGGTTATCTCGAATAAGACATTATATGTCCTATTAAATTGTCTCGCCTCCCTTGTCTACGCAGCGCATACATGGCTAAAGGGCTGCATTGTCGTCGTTGTCGTCGTCAGCAGCAGCAGCAGAGGCAAAAGCTCTACCGCCACTGACTTGTCATGAGGCTCTTGGTCATGCATTTTGTAATAGGTGGTCAACTAAGAGAAAAACTGTCAGGGATTCAACTGCACCGGTTACCAACAATCCACACTTTGAGTGAATGTAGGACAGTACTTTTTTTCTTTTTTTTCTTTCTTTTTTGTTGGAGAAGTGTCACTAACGCCCCATTAACGCTCTGCAGAGGTTAGGACTGGGAGACTGGGAGAAGGAACGGAGTAACTACATACATAGAACTGGCAGGACCTTTAGGTGCTGGTAGGTAGCCCTTACTATGTACAAGTACATAGTAAGCCCTTAGGTGAGATACGCCCTCTTTCCTCTCTGCCCCTCAGCCCCCACCAACATACCTGTAAGATGTACTATATTTTAGGACTCACCATATTGTACACTAAAAGTTGCCCCTCGGAAGGGATAGAAACACCTCCAGAGAAGAGAAAGAGATACCTGGGTACATGTAAAAATACGTATGTAGCGCCTACCATAGAGGGTATTAGCAGGGAATCACAGTGGCGATCACATTGAAACCACCCAATGACGTCGCTGTGAGGCCTCTCCTACACACTACGTTCCAGCCTTGCAACCACACGGCGCTTGTCTTTAAGCGCTTGAAGCTCCTTTCATTCACCTTGGCTACCTAACTTTAGCGATTTAGCGATTGTGCACGAAATATACCAGAGCCAACGGCATTTCGATCTTGTTTATTCTTATTCTTTATTCCTGTTGGCTGCGCCAGATAATTCCATAATTCCACATCCCCATGCCTTCATACCCCCATCCCAATCCTCCCATCTAATAGCCGCCAAATTTACTGCATCTAGATCTTGTTACTATTAGAAATTAGAATACACAACAGTCCCTCGTGTAGTAAGCCATTCGCTACCGAGCGACAATTTCTCAGGAATCAATCCCAGGTTGCTATATTGTTGTGCAGCGTGCTTCGAGAAAAGATGGCATCCGGACACAATGTTAGTTGATGCACTCCATGATGCTGTCATTATGCATACCGTAGCACCGCAGTTAGGTACTGACATCGCGCCCCCAACAGGATCCCAGGCTACTATACGCTATTCAAGGCGTCTCAGCCTACCATCTCGCCTATGGGAAGGAAGAGTCCCTCACACCTGCTGGACCGCAGACATTGTCACTGTTAATGGTTCCGACATCATCTCCTTTCGCTGAACCTGTTTCGCCAGATGGCCAGGATGAACCGGCTGCTGAAGATTTCTACCTTCATCTTCATCTACCACCCGAATTAGACCTTCCGTTACCCGCGACTACTCAGATCTACCACCAACCGCCTAGAAGCTACCTCATCCCAAGATGGGATCTCGGTCCCGACAGCGGTGCCTTCACGCGCATCGAATTTCCTCCAGTCGGCAGTCGTAAAGGACTCCAAGAGGATATAGACACTTTCGAAACAATCCTGGCGCAATGTACTGCGTTTCTCGAAAGGGCGCCGCCGCCAAAGGCTGCAAGAAGAGAAAAGGAGAAAGAGAAGTCCTCATCGTCAACGCCGCCAACTTCTACTAGATCATCGCCAAAAACGTCCAAGTCTAAGGCTGAACCTTCCGAACAACTTCCAGCATATAATCCGGGTTCATACAAACCTGGTGAGGGCTACGTGAAGGGCAGCCAAAGTGCTCAGTCAGGCGGCCAGATCGTACTGGTCGATGAAGAAGATGGTAGTGTTATAGGAGAACTATCGGATGGGTTCCAGATCATCGAGTCTGGCGTGAAACCAGGTTCTAAAGGTATGGATGCATTGCTCTTCTCTGGAGTCTCGCTTAGCAGCAATTAACACGATAATAGATCCCGTCGAGATTACTCTTCCGGAAGAAGGAACGAACAAGCTTGCTGTAGTCCCTGCGTCGCCGGAAACCCTGGAAATGGAACTACATCCAGCTTACAAAAAGTCGTTCATCGTATCAAAAGCCGCATACGCATCTCGATTGATCATAACCACCTCAGATCTAGTTACCAATGCTATGCAGAGTGGCTCGGATAGCTTTGTTAAGAATACGAAACCCACCAGTAAGGCTGTGACATTTACGCCTGCAACACATGAACGAGTCCGCCGGATAGGTACGTTCTCGGGAGGCGTGGCCGAGCTTTCGTCCAAAACGGTTGGGCAAGTGACCAGATTGGCCCAAAATGTGGGAGCTACGGTCGCAGGGCGCGGTGTCAGAGAAGGAAAAAGGGGTTTCGGTCCGGATGGGCAACCACTTGAGTCATTCAAGCCCGGTCTGTTGAACAAGAGTCTAATGGCTTTTACGACCGTTGCGGATGGAATTGACCATGCAACACGCAATCTCTTAACTTCGGCATCGTCGTCTGCGACAAATATAGTGGCTCACAAATGGGGAGCCGAAGCTGGAGAGCTGTCCAAGCACCTAGGTGGGAGTGTCAAGAATGTCGGTCTGGTTTATATTGATGTTACGGGAGTCTCTCGAAAGGCTGTTATAAAAGCGGTAGGAAAGGGTATGGTGGTTGGGAAAGTAAAAGGAGGAGGCGAAATCATTGTAGGGGATGATACTAGTAGTGCAATGCCGGCAAAGAGGTCTAATAGCTCTAAGGCGTATTTGGTTTCAGATTCAACAAGCAGTAGTAGCGCATCAAACAGCAAGGCGCCGAAACGTTAGCAACGTATTATAGAAACTTGGGAGGTTTGTACAAGTTTACGACCATAAGAAAATATCTAATGAGATAAGAACAAAAAATAGCAAACATGAGTGTGTAATGTAATAGTGTACCTATTAGATCGTATCAATTGGATGTGACGTAGAATTATTACAGGTACATGGTTATAAAGTCACGTGCACTGCTACGCTTGACGCGCTTAGATTTTTTGAAAGCAGTCGCGACGAAGAAGTCGAGAAAGGAGACAAGTGCTTTATACATAAACAAAGTGCGGCTCAATCCTAGATACGTCTATTAACATCCCCATTCACAAAGATCCATTTTACAGGGTTCATTCCATCATCATGGCTTTCATGCAAATATGAAGATGTCTGAAATTCCGAGTACATAGCTCTGGCTTTTCTATTTCTTTTTAATTAACTAATTACAAAGTGAAGAATGACTTTGCTCTTTATCGGCAACTACCTTCATCCCAATCACCATTTCATATCCACGATACATACACAGTAGTGTACCATCACCGTGTTTACCCATTCAGATGTGCCGCTACGAATGCCTCGGTTCCATTATTCTCTTGATTCAGGATATCGGTGATAAGATCCGGTCTAAGAAGCCTCCACATGTCTTACAAGGGTTAAGCTCCCACGGTGACGGTCGAATGAATTCGCAAGTCTCTACTATGTAAAGCGACTTTCTAACACCCTTAACAGCTCGTCAGCTCCACAATGCTCCATGAGATCCTGCTCTCCCTATCGGGGCACCCCTCGCCCCTTCTCAGGAATGATTATACCGAGCCCAGAGCACAATCCATCTTATCACCACCAGAGAGAGAACTATTGAAGACCGCCGGTCATCTAAGTGATCTTCATTGCAAACTCATTACTTATACTGCTCAGGTCAGCGCCTCTCACCCTTCTATCATATGCCGTGCAGTATCGACCGCTATCAATTCTCTCTATCTCGCCGCATTTCAGAGGAAAGTGCTACAAGTTGAAGAAAGCATCCTTCGAAAAGATGCCTCCCTCGTTGGTGCTTATAATATCGTCCCCCTAACCGCCGTTATTGGCGAGTTTTCGGGCTGGACTCGGAGGATGGAATGGCTATGGGATCTGGTCCAATTCATGCTCAAAGAGAACGAGGGTTTTCCTTGTCGAGCAGCGCAGCTTATTAACAAATTACGCGATGAGCTTCAGACCGGCTACGCTGATATTGGGGAGACTGCGCTTAGCCTCGTCAGAGTCGCCGAGACTGCTTGGCTAAAGCAAGTTTCCGCTTGGGTCCTCTACGGTACCATACCTATATTAGGGGATGCGGATTTCTTCATCCAAAAGAACGAACGTGACGAGCTGGTGAGAGATTTCATTCTCGCTAATCCCGAAGGTTATCGTTACTAATGGAACTAGGGATATTCGATTAACCAGCGGTTATTGCCATCCTTTGTTACAACATCTGCAGCCGCGTCCATGCTGTTTATCGGAACATCCTTGAATCGGGTGAAAACCAGGAGCAGTATAGAGCCAAGCAGTAATGGACTTGGCCACCTCTCGTCCCAACTTCAAACCATCGCAGATTTAACATCTCCCCTCAATAGCGCTGCGTTTTCTAGGGCCATTACCTCGATTCGGCTCACATTGTCTCGGACAATCTTACAAAAGCTATTACCCCTATCTAGGATACTTGAGATGTTAATTCTATTCCGTGATTTCTTTTTGCTTGGACGTGGCGAATTTGCTATGGCCCTTACACAGCAAGCCGATGAGGTAATTCGCAACCGCTGGCGGCGTGCTGACAACCTCGCTTACGAGAAGCGGGTTGGGCTTAGCAATGTGATGGTGAAAGAAGGCGAAGTCGCAGCAGTTCTCACGAAGACATGGACTGTGTTAGGTTCAATGCAGGGTCAGCATGCAGATGAAGATGAAGGTCTAGAGAAGGCACGAGAGGTACTGCGGCTGAATCTATCCAAGACCAAAGCTTCAACCCCTATGAAGAGCAAGGCTGGTCTGGACCATCAAGCACCTACTAGCATTGCAGACACTCCATTCCGAAATCTTCTTTTCTCTGTCCCGGTGGTCCTCACATCGCAGATCCCACCACCTCTGGACCTATTTTTGACTGCATCTGACGTTCAGACATACACTTCGATTAATTCTTACCTGCTATCAATCCGCCGCTCCCACCTGCATCTGACGGGTCTGTGGAAAATAACGGCCCTGCGTCGCCACCATCCAGCCCCCCCTAGACCTCCATATAGTACTACTAGAAGCGGTGCTTCGAGGACGCGCGTTCTCCGAGAGCGTTCGTCTATACGCTCGTCTATAATGCGGAGCGCGTGGAGTACAAGTAGTGCCGCTATCTTTTTCCTGGCTGAAACTGAAGCATACCTCCAGGTTGAAGTCGTAGAAGGCCTTTGGGACGACTTCCATGGCTGGATAATAGGCGAGAAAAGCCATGAACAACATGATAAACCAAATTCATCCAACAATAAGCGTACCAGCAACAGCAACGAATCCTATGGCCAAGATAGCCTCCGCAATACAAGCAATCCTTCAGAGACAGACCAGACACCACATAGCTCAAGCCCCCCTCATCACGACCCCCAAACCCTCGCCATAGCCCACCGACTATACCTCCGGACCCTCATCCGCCGCCTTCTCCTGACACAACCATCCTTCACAAACCCCTTATACGAACTTTTAGTGAACACCGACCACCTCGTCGCCCTTGTACACCGCCTCCACGGCGTCTGGGCGGCAGCCGACCTCGAAGCAGACGAAGGCGTCGTGGACGCATTCGCGGACCTGGTTGCCGAGGAAGCCGACGTGCGTATGCGTATCCGCGAAGTCGAGGCCGGCGTTAAGGATGGCGTGCGCGCTGTCGTCGCCGCCCTTAGAGCGCTGAGTACCGATTCCGCATTTATGGCTGAGCTCGAGGACGGGGGGTTAGACGGCGAGGAGGAGGGAAATGACGCTGGCAATGATGTGTTGTTCGATGAAGAGGGGATTGGGTATAGACCCAAGCGGACGGGCGGGATAGATAGACTGCTTATGAAGTTGGATTTCGGCGGGTGGTTCGATGCTGGTATACCAAGGGGGGAGGAAGCGGTCGGTGATGATGAGTTTTGAAGGGAAGAAGGCGGTCGATTATGTATAGGTTTTAAGCTGTTTCGTTAGTCCATGTGCCTAGGTAGGTAGTCAGGAAAACCGGTAGTTAGTTGGTATATTACCTTAATGATACTTTAAATAGACCCCTTCGTTGATCCATTCATTGTTAACTTGGAATACTTAGTTACCTAAGGAGCGTGTGGCGGCCAGAATAATATATAGAACATGCACGTCCGAAAATGAGCTGCGTATGTATCCTCCCGTTACGCTACGAGGAAGGTCATTCTTTCACAAGCCGAGTTCAATTGTTTCTCACGTCGACGATACGAACGAAAAGTGGTAGTTAGTTAGAATATATCAAAATGTGTATATTTGACAAATTCACAGCCATCGCAGGGCTATTTCTGATTGATTCCGCCCATAGCCGGGTTCCCTAATATGTAGGTACCTAAGGTATATATAACTAGTTCGTTGATACAAGTAAAAACAACAAATGAAAAACAACGCTAGCGATATGCGTGCTGTTCCTCGCAAGGACGATGATGATGGTAGTGGTAGTGGTAGTAGTAGGAGTAGTAGTTTTTTTTAGAAAGAAAAAGAAAAAGAAAAGGGAAAAAAAAAACCAATATTGTAACAGATTTGTAAAACACTCATGCGCCGCCGACCGATGCACCTATACCCCCAAATGCTCGTGGCCCGAGAAGAACAGACAAAGCAAAAAGGATATGATATGTACAGCGCCGATACCGTTTGTGTAAAGCAGTATATCTAAATGAGTATGCATGCGCGCGCCTTCGCCTTCGCCGTTGCCGCTGCCGCCCAATGCGATCGATGCATACCCTAGATCCGATATATATGTATATGTATAACATGCCGTAAGTGATGCTGGAGGATGATTGCTCCATCGACGTTCAGTCTAATAATGCTGGCCGGAACGGAAAAGAGATAAAGAATTTCCCAAAGATATGAAAATAAGACAGTAGATGAAGCAAAACTTTTGGTGGTAACATAAGGATGAGACGCTGCGCCGTCAATCGTCGTCATCGGTCGTTAGCTCGACAATTTATTTCGAACTTGAGGAGTGCCTTTTTATTTTCCCTTTTCAAAAAATAATAAGAAAATGTCGGATTAGAAGAAGCGAAGGTGGTATATGCCCTCGACGGGACGCCGCCCGTGTCCGAGGTGCTGTGGTCGTCAAGATGATGCGTCAACGGAGAGAATAAAAGAAACAAAACTGTGGCGGCCTGGCCCCGCATGCTCAAATATAGGTAGTTTAAACCCGTCTAAGTGATCGGGATCTTCTGTCGTCGGTCGGCTTTCAGTAAGCCGGGACGGCCTTGTGAAAGCGTAATGGACTCGGATGATGATCCGAATTCCTACGGGTAAACATTTGTTGTACAAGAAACTTAGGGCTGACATCTAGGGATCTAGATAAGAGCGGGAATACGGTGCGAGGGCTCTTCTTTGTTTGCCAACGCTCCACGATGCAGTCATCGACAAGCGCCATGATGCCAGTTGCAACGACGATGCTACACTATTGTTAGTACTTGTTTAAGGGGGAAAAGGAGGCTGATTTCATCAAGACTTACTCAGCAACATCGGTCATAGCCTCGATTAAACTGTCGTCACTAATCCACATGTGACAAGGCGGCACCCAGCCACCAGCAGCTTCATCAGCGGCAACCTGGATCGGTGATCGAGTTTCGGGGACGATATGCGCTACGGGCGAGTGATTGTGGCCATCTCGTAATAGATGATATGAGACGCAGCCCGTGAGCTTGTCCACTACTCTCTTCCACGAGTACGTGTGGCCCCACCATTCGAACTCGTACTTCGCATTCTTCTTCCCGCGCCTTACAACATCAACACGCGCATAATTAGAGAACTCGAGTTTGATCGTATTCGTGGGTGTTGGGCGGGCCTTCTGCTTCTTGTCGATAGGAATAGGACTGGCGACAGCTTCGGTACAGTCGTCATCGGTCGAGGCACCAGAGTGGCTCGTACCTGGTCTGCTCCTCGATGAGAAGACGGAGGCACCAGTAGGAATGCGCATGATTTGCGGTCGCTTGGTTAATGTCTTCACCGCCGTTGACATCGATCGCTGCAAATTAGGGCGGGCTGTACAGGGCGGCTCGACGTATTTTCGTTTCGAGTTGCATACTTCGCGGCCAGAATCTCGGCTATACCGTCTCAGAGAAAACTCTCGCTTGTTCAGGTCGTACATGCGCAGGTGAAACAGCTGGAGCGTCTTCTTTCGCCTGCCCGGAAGAGTGGTGTCCACCCTTAGGTTCATGTTCCCATCCGACGTAAAATCATCGTGGCGAATAGTTAATCGATTCAGGGACGGAAATGCATTGGCGAATTCCTCGGGGGTTGAAGCTCTAACATTGAACTCCTCGATATCGTGTCGGTAGGGGGGCAAGTCAGGTATGTCCGTAAATTCGGGGTACTCATCCGTATCCGAATCGTCCGAAAAGTTAGCACTTGAAGCTTGCGACGAGTATGTGTCAACCGACGACCGCGGGTATAAACTCGTAGCCGGCGAAAGATCCTCCTCGTAGTAGCATTCTGGCTGGAATTTACGAGCTTGGGAACTCGAGTCCTTAGTTGACGCGGGGCTGTCATAGAGAGACGTAGGGGCAGTACTCCTTGAGTCATATGAGTCGCTGCTTTGCCTGGTATCCCGAGTGCTAGCGGAATGACTAGAGAAGTCTGTATCTCGCCTTCGTGCCATGGTGAAAGGAGGATATGAAGTCATGTGTACGGTTGTACGGTTGAAGAGAGAATAGAGTATAGGGGTTAGTAGGAGAGTAGTCTGAGGAACGGGGGTAAAAGGTAAACAGAGGATCCTTTTATCTATATCTGCTCAGAGGATATGCGGCCTGGTGATCTCAGGGTCTTGGGATGCGCAGTCGGAAGTGGAACACTTGGGATTCAAGTAGTGGTAGTTCTCGGAAGCCCCACTGAGGCCTGATATGTGTATAGATGGTGATCTTTATAGACGCAAGGGTTTGTTTGAGAACTGCTCGACATGCGCCCGAACCGGGTAGTGGACGCGAGACCCGGTAGGATGAATAGCTGGTCAACGCGAGAAGCGAATGGGCCCTATGATGGAATAAGTAAGGCGAAATGGTAGTGTTTGGTAGTGTTTGGTCGTCAAAGTGGACTGAAAATGGAACGGGAGTTTATGCAAGAGTCTAACGCTGAATGAGATCCGTTATAAACGAGGGGAGACGAGTGGAACAACATGGCACAACGAGAGAGATATAAGGTCCCGGTGGAACGACGGGGAGGCTTGACTTTGACGATATTGGTTGGAGCTGAGCTGACGAAAGACAAACGCCCGCAGGCGGAGGGAAGGGTGGGAGTGACAAGAACAGGAGACAAATAGAGAGCGCTACTAACCCTGCTCAGCATCACTGATACCTACTTAGGTAATTGTCATGATGCTAGCTGCATACATATACTTGGTTACTTGACTACCTGACTACCTGACAGGAGTCTCGTAAGAGAGGGGATCGCCGTTGGTTGGATAGAGACGGTCGAGAGCCTACCATGCCCGCCTACTATAGTAGTACATAGGCCGAAGTACCAGAGTATCCAAGAATCTTCGAGTGGGGGTTGTTTTGGTTTGTTAAATTTTTTTTTTTCGTCCCTTTCCTAGGTCGAAAGGTTGAACGAAGGTCCCAAGACCTCAAGACCCCAAGGACCCTAAGGTCAAACTCAAAGCAGGACTTGAAGGTAACATTCGGTACAACGACAGTTACGCATATCCGGCATATACCTAGTATATTGGAGGAAGTAAAGCGCAGCGCTTCGCTTTCTTCGGCGTCGTACATAGGTAGTGATCGAGTCTTCCAATCCAGTATTCTGTTCCATCATACCGTCGTACAGCCTTTTTCTCAAGGTATAGCCCGGATATGTGGTGAGTGGCGAGCTTTCATCGCACCACCATCACACTACGCTTACAAGCTCTCGGGGCGTTAGAGAAGAAAAAAAAAAAAAGTGAAGCTATCGCATTAGCCTCAGCGCCTCTTCAGGTACAACGCCTATAATTGAGCTACAATACCGGTGAGATTGTCACGAGGTCAATAATTATCGCGAATTGGAAGTTATTGGTCTATAGGTGTCGCGGAGGAAAAGGAAAAAAAAAAAAAGAGCACAACTCAGCTTACGAATTACATGTTAGTTATACGGTGTATGCGACAGAGTGACACTGTTTTGGAGAGAAACTTAATCACGTATCATTACAGGTACTTCTATAACCCTAAAAGTAAGGAAAGGTAAGCGCTTGCCGGATAGTGTATACTTTCTAAATACCTTGTAAGAATGGTGGGGGTTCTAGTAGTTACACCGTTTTTACTAGTCGGGTAGGTACGGTATAGTATCGTGCAAAGGCATGTAATGTAGGTAGGTACCTAACCCGAGCGTCTGGGGGGTTCCTACCAGCTGGAACTTAGTACAATACCTAGCTCAATTCTCTCCGAAGATACCTTAAACTAGACGTAAAAAACATGAGAGAAATTTATTTATACTTGTACATCATAAAGTAAAGAATCGTCTTCCCAATTCTTAGCCAATTGGCCGTCAGTATACTTGGTAATTCGCGCATTGTAATTTACCTATTCTTCGCAAAATCTCGTTGCACATGTTCATCTCTCTGCTTCTCTCCCAGTACGCTCTTCGGAAACTAATTGAGTTCACCATGCTACCGTCGGTCAGCATCAGACCTCGTTGAAGATGGTCGGAATAAAAGCGATTCAAGAAACATGTCTGCGATATTCTCATCCACGAAATTCATTGGTCCCAATAACGACCATGGGTTCCGTAGTGATGCTTGACTAATGCGAATTTCGAAATCTCCCATCTGTAAAAGCCACGAAGTCCACGCAGCAAAGCATGTCTGACAACTCGTCACGTTAGCGGCTCGCAGCAAATTATGGGGATATATTAAAACGGAGAGTAGACACAACTGCACCGTACTCCGTTATGACGTTTCAGTGAAGGCCGTCTATCCTATAGCAATCGTCTTCCACTTCGGAATAGTTACGGTCCTGCACTGCCTACCCGTCTATCACTAACATACATTGTGCACCACCGTCGTCATTCCTTCCACCATCCGTTCCGGCAAGGGACAAATAGATGCGAGGCTCAGGTCGCTTGGATCTGGGGTGCCGCTTGTGCCCAACCAGAACGCCTCGTCTTATTATTTTTATTTTTATTTTTTATTTTTCCCTTTTCCCTTTTCCCTTTTGTACCAAGGCGATTATACTACCTAGGTATGCTACTAATCCCGTCTGGGGACCTGCGTTTCTTGATTGGAACACTCCTCTGCGTTGTCGACAGCGTTCGTTCAAAACTCAATATGTTTCTAATTTGAATTTTTCTGACTGCCACGCCTAGGTTCTAGATGCTGCGAGAGAAATAGAGGCACTACCCAGAGTGCCATCGCACCCCCATTACGCCAGGCCAATCTTCAACTTGATGTTTCGAATAGGCATGGTATTGGATTCAAACGTCTCTTTACTTGCATCTAAGAGTAATTATTGGTCCAAGACTTTACCACAAGACAGCTCAATAGATTGCCATCTTGGGTACGTATGCCATTACCTAGGCCGCGATGCTTTAGAGGGGGTCTGAAGTTGCCAATTTTTTAATGCCCCGTGGTTCGACAATTCAATCGAGATTTTTGCTTGTCTGTCAGTCTGTCTGTCAGTCTGTTCAAGCAAGGAAATATCTCTGCACTATCTCTGCACAAGTTGTACAACGCTGCACTAGCTAAGTGCCCAGTTCACATGGGCGTCAATCATACGAAACATCTGTCGCCATCAATCTGCGTCTTCCAGCGCGCTTGTATTTGTGCGACAGCTGGTGAGCTATCATCGGCTGCTCCACGAAAGCTCGAAGCACATTCTGGTCTAGCAATAGCTAGTGCAGCTGTTCCTGTACTTTCCCTGGCCCCTCTGCAGTTCTGCAGGTGGTCAAATACGGGTCTTGTTGTGTGTCAACCGCTTATTCGCTGGCATATTTGGACCCGACCTCAGCGTCAGATGCGAGACCATGCGCACAGGGAGGCTCACGCACGTGCTTCTAGCAACTTGGACCTTTCTCTACGCTAGATACGCTAAGATACTCGAGATATTAGTCGTGAGTATTATTGGGGCAGTCTTCATGATTGGTTATTGCGTGTCGTTCTTTTCCTCCACGCAAAGCGTTGCCGAGAAATGCAGAGTAAGAGATCCCCTCTAGTTAGGTCACTTTGCATATCCCCTAGGCACCTTGCCTTTCCGAGAATGGAAAACAGATTCCTCGGTTGCTCTTTTTTTTTTTTTTTTTTTTTTTTTTTTTTTTTTTTTTTTTTTAAATTTTTTTATTTTTTTTTTTTAATTTTTTTTTAATTTTTTTATAAAAATTTATTTTTTTTTTTTTTTTAAAAAACCCC